GTCTTTAGCGTTGCTATCAAGGTCGATCGTGGTCGAATGGGAGCCAAATTCTTCAGGTAGACAGGATAAAGTAAACGAGTTTCATTGTCCTAGCTACGGTAGTCCAACCTTTGCAACTTCAAATAAAATATGTAACCGGTAATGTTAAATCGCAAGAGGTTGTTTTTCCCACGCCAAGCCATGCCCATGTCGTTTCTACTGTGAAATCATCAAGGCATGCCATACTGTATCATCTTCTCTTGGGGTAAATGCTGGTCTGTAACTTTTCTTGTCCTTGACACTTCGTATTTTCTCTACGTGTGGAATGTTGTTAGAACACCCTCGGCAGCGGTCATACCCATCTAAGTAAGTATCGCTCGTTATAAAGCGAAAGGAAAAGAGGAAACAACCTGTGGACCTTGCAGCATGGTACAAACGCCAGCCGTAATGTTGCATATCGTTGCTAAAGAACGCCTCGAAACCCCATAGGTGCTGGTACGATGCAAGCAACCAGGTGTGCTTCAAGACCAATTGAAGAATAGTTTGAAGGTATGTGCCAGGTAGGGAGTTTGTCATCACCTTATATATGCCCACCGGGGCACCTATGCTGATGAAGCTTAGCATCACGACAAGAAGGCGGACGTAGTAGAAACTGATCAATTAGTGGGGTTCGGTACAGAGTTTGATGCTGGGTATTGACGGCCCAAGCATTCTCGAGTTTGGCTAGGACGACGGTCCTTTATTCCCTCCAGAATCATCCCAACTGGTTGATGCGGTGTCAATTGTATTTACTTCCTTGTCCTGGGTTCAAACCGATGGAAGCGTAACGGTGTCTACAGAGACTGAAGAGAGTGAGGACCAGTCAGATTGTTGCAGGCTGAGCTGATGCTTTTGCTTCAACATGTCTTGGATTTGGGCGCTTGCTTCATCTCGTTGGAGCTTCTTTTTGGCTTCATCTTTCTTCCTTTGCTCTGTCACACGGTCAACAACCTATGAAGAAGTGAGAAGTTTGGTGGAGTACTCACTCTTATCACGGCTTTCAATGAGTATCTATTGGATTGTGGGCAAATGGTCTTGTATTGAAAGTGTCATGATCTCTGGAGAGTCCTGAGAGAAGTGAAGGGCGGCCATAGGGGCCTTATATAGGTAGAAATGACTGATGCCTGCCCCACAGCCAGGACTTGTGTGGTTCAATGGGTAGAGGTCATATTGACCCATACTTCGTACGGTTTGCGGCTTTACTTTTCTCCTTTGACTTAGCAGTCTTGATGGAGTAGCCTTGAAGGTCCGACAGTACCCACCTGTTCCTGGGAGCAAGGCGTCCCTATGAATTTTGGCCGGGTTCCTAGTTCAGTAGCTTCAGCAATCTTTGCCAGGTGTCAGGGTACGGCTAGGCCGAAGACAATAGTACAGAGTGATGGGGAGTAACGGGCGTCCCTCCTACGTAGCGCCGGGTGGTCACTGGCGGTCTCAGGTAGGGGTGCCCACGATGATGCATTGATCTCTACTCCTTCCCTATCCTACTTCGAGATGGTCCTTATATAGATAGCTAGGCCGCCGCTTGGACCCGGCGTAGCCGCAGGTTTGGCGATGCCGGGAATCCTGACTCTCGGCATCCCGAAACTTCACATAGATTGTAATCATGACTCGGGAGGCTTTTGTCCGAAACACCCCACCGGCACCCCACCGGTGTCCTGCGTTCAGTGTCTCTGACACCAGGATCCCATGCTCCTCTGCGAAGCGCAGTCCGATGATGAGATCCAAGTCCGACTTTATATTTGCCACGAGAACCTCTCGTGCTTGGACATCGAGGTTGAGATCGCGTTGCGCAATTTTGACGTCTACCTGCACCAAGGGCACTGTGCTTCAGTTGATGTACAGAGGCTCTGGATCCAGCGGTTGCGAATAACTTTTGTGGAAATGGGAATATATCGATGCTACGGTGGCAACGGGAGCAAGGCTACGGATTGATGACGCGCGTGAAGGAACGTCAGCGCCCACGGGTCCAACTCGCGGCACTGTCACTGATGTTACAAGTCCAAGGAGGTGGAGTTGGCCAGTATGGAGTGAGCTGTAAGATGCAACGAATTGGGTGTATAATGAGGCATTGGGCATGGGAAAGGAGATAAAATGAGATGCCGCCGCTGTGCCCGTCATTAAGTGTCTTACACGCCATTGATCTCGGTCATAAAAATTATTGTATCTTTCTCGTACTTCAGATCGCAGAGCTTCGCTTCGACCAGCGGCGCGGCTGCTTTTCTTGGGCCTCTTGCTTCATCACCAGCGGTATAGAAGGTGCTTGTTAGTACGGCATTCCAATCGGGATTAAGTTGGGCTGCGTTGCAAGGTCCATACGCCCCCAGGCGAAGCGCAAGGAAGCTAGTCGGATCCAAACGTGGTTCGACAAGAAATCCCAATACAAATGGCGGTGCCTTCAATCGACGTGGTCTTTCGAGATGGCATTAGGAGGCATGGTCTGGCCAAAGCCAAGAGAAGGCCAAAGGCCGCCTACTGATTCCAAACACAGCGCAAGATAGTTACTAAAGTGAGAAATTATAACCAGGCACACGCACCTTCAGCCTTGAAATCGAAGTCCTCAAAGCAATCACACAAAGCGCCGAAAATGTATCCTCTCGCGATCCAGTCTGGCATGGCTGCCACTGAGAACCGATTGTGGGTGAGAAGCGGTTATCTGCAGCATCGATAACAGCTTTCTTAGACCCTCGAGCTGGGAAGAACCTAGTCGACGTCCTATGGCTACAGACACGTTTTTACAACATCCATGCCCAGGCTGTTACCGGGATATATCTAAAGCATACTAAGCGCAAATCATCTCCAGGAAATACTGCAGGCTCAATGGGCTACAACCATAATGGACTGCTACTCGGCACGTCTGACTCAAACCAAGAAGCGGGCAACGATCCTCAGACACAATATCGACGGAATCATCAAATTCAAATTTGCTCCTGCACCAGCAACTCAGTGTATACACAAGGGAACAGGGCTTCATTAGAGGATGCCATCCACAGACAACAGCTACACGTCCACCTGGTTTACATGACGGACTCAAACTGCGCCCAGCCGAGAATGCTGGTGTTTGCAATTCGATGGTCCACGTCATTTGCTGTAACATGCAGCTCGACAACTAGCTACTGAGAAAAGCATGAAAAAAATAACAAGAGTAGATTCTAATATCACACCATTTGTCTGCGGTCTAATATGTGGAATGGGACGTATGTTGACATTCAGCCCTGGTGCCTGGTGGGCTAGTAGATTGGGACCCCAATATGCGTACCTGTATATAGCTAGATGATCGGACAGAACGACTGCCATTCCTTCCTCATGCTCTAATATAATACAAAAGTTATACTTGAGCGTTAATATTGCCAAGCATTGTATTAGAACCTCTAAGTAGAGGCTTAGAAAAACTAAAAATAGTTATGATAGCTACTTAGTAAGCCGTACCAACGGAGTTTCATGGGTGTCAGTAGCTTTCATACTAAAGAGATTATAGTAGGTGCTTAATTCCAATCGTGATCTGCGTGGTTGTGATTTCTATCTTTCTATAGAAATTTGTATGCGTTTTACTTGCCGAGAAATGTGGAGTAAGGAGGGGCGATGATGTACAGCACTAACACCCACCTCAAATGGAGGAGAAGGTGTACATAATGGATGCAACTGGGTGGGGTGCAGGCGAACCAACGTGTTGCAGATCAGGTTCGTATGGAAATGCTAATGTAGTATGCGCGGACAATGGCAGGCTTGCAGTTGTGGCTGGCTGCATGGACAAAATGATTGTTTGATAGCTCAGGCAATGAGCTGACAGACAGACGACGTCGCCTCGCGTGTAAAACCCGTCCCGCCGAAAGTAAGCCGAAAGTGAGCCGACGGAGCTATATATAGTTTACACTTTGGAATGCTCTCATCAACTGAGTACGGGACAGCTGCTGACTGAGATAGCGTGGCTGCGGAGCGCTACAGATATCCGCTGGGCTGCATGTGGGATCTGTGGATGCATCTGTGCAGGCCGTAACCTAGCTGTAACAGGAAGTTATTGAGGGCTTTTATTTGGTCCGTGGAGCATCGGCCATCCACCGGCTCCTATGATCTTTTCAATAAAGTGATTTGAAAGCTCCGTGGTTATAGAGGGTTCAGATAGCCGGCTGGACTTGATACGAATTGCGACTTGCCGCGCGACACAGGGCAATGCAGGTGGTGAAAGTGTACAGACTTGGCGGAAGTGGCTATGTCGATCGTCATCGGTCTTGCGTGGGAGTCGGACAAACCCCATTGGATTTACCGCAGCTGAGTTGGTTCTGTCAGAGAGGATTTGTTCATCAACCAAACCTCGCTCCATCGTGCGCCCTTGCTGCAGACCGCAGGGTTCATGGAGACGGGAAGCCAATCCCGTATGCAGTTTCCAGGTCTTAGAGCCAAATAGATTTCGAGGCGACATGGCAAACTTGTCAAAGTCGATGTCGTTTGCTCCTGTCAAGGTGGCAGACTCGAAGCTCAAAGTACGGGGGGACAAGGATCAAGCACCCTAAATTACCAAATTTTGGAGCTTCCCGAAGTGTAGCCGTGCGCTGTCATTCACTGCTATTGGTTCAACCCCTGTAATTCAAGTCGCGCTTGCCACATATTGGCTCGTGACGCTACCATGCTTTTGGCTGTGCCAGGACGGATTGTGCATCCTGCCGCGCCAGGTGGAGATGCTTGTGATTGATGGTTCTCTCTCACTGACTTCATCTTCTGCCGGGTCTATTGCACCGATTTGTTCACGATATCTTTCGCCTCCTGCTCCTCCTTCCTTTCGCCTCCAACCTACTTCACTCTCTGCAACTCATTCCGCGCCGATTTACGACAGCAGTGAGACTCAGTCGCCATTTACGTCTGCTCTCTTCCACCTTCAGATCCCTCGGCAAGCCCACTCTCGGAAATTGCCCCTTGCCGCAATTGGGACACGACCACGCCTGCGATCTACACACCGTGAATTGAAAAAACAGTATTTGACCTACGAAATGCCGTCGCTCTGTGGTGGCTCAAAGACTGTTCAGCGCAAGCTGGTTCTTGTGTAAGTTACCCCGCCGTCCGCCCCTTTTGATGCCGGTGCCCGGAATGCTAACGTGATGCGACAATAGCGGCGATGGTGCATGCGGAAAGACCTCACTGCTGAATGTCTTCACAAGAGGCTACTTCCCGACAGTTTACGAACCAACCGTCTTTGAGAACTATGTACATGGTCAGTTGTTGGTTTGGGCCGAGGAGCACACAATGAAGAATCAAGTTATGGCTGACACCCAAACAAGACATTTTTGTCGACAACGTACACATTGAGCTTTCCCTCTGGGACACGGCCGGACAAGAAGAATTCGACCGATTACGCAGTCTTTCATACGACAACACAGATGTCGTGGTGCTCTGCTTCAGCGTAGACAGCGAGTCCTCGCTAGAAAACGTCAAGGACAAGTGGGTTGGCGAGATCCAAGAGAATTGCCCGACGGCCAAGCTGGTGCTGGTGGCCCTGAAGTGCGATTTGCGGGAGAACACAGACGAGGAGGACGCCCCGGCTAATGGCCGTGAGAAGCGCCCCCCGATCGACTACGACACCGGCCTCCGATCCGCACGCGAAATCAAGGCAATGCGATATCTCGAATGCTCTGCCATGCGCAATCGTGGAGTCAACGAGGCCTTCACCGAGGCAGCCAGAGTCGCGCTGACCATGAAACCAGCCGGTGAACAGGACTCAAAGTGCGCCATCATGTAATGCCGCATATCCCGAATATCCCGAATGAATGAATCGGGCTTCGATTTTCAACACCCTACGTGAGCAAGATCACCCCTTCCTCCTACTCGATGAATCCAGGGGATAGGATGGGATAAGATGGGGATATTTTTGAGGGAGGAGATACCATCAGGTCGTTCACATTCTGGAATCCTGGCGTTCTTGCGGTCACACATCATGACTTCACTTCGTTCCCTGCTCAAACCCCGCTGTTTCTTGTGCTCTGTTGTATTATTGCATCATATGATATGCATGTTGTCATGGAGCATCCCTTCTTGTCTGTCTGTACATAATGCCTTTCTTCGATTTTCTGCACATATCCCCCCATTTTTGAGAGCCTCCCGCTATTTTTGTTTTAATAGACCGCAGACTACTCAAGGAGGGTACAAAAGAGAGACGAGACAGAGCAAAGCAAATGTTGTTATTGCTACATGATTTCAAGGGTTTTTGATTTTCATCTTTCAGGTGGCCGGCAAAGCGCATCGACTGGCGAAGGAAGCAGGGTCCTAGACAAACAGGAGGAAGATGACACGGCAAGTGAGGTCAACATTGTTATCTGTGACGCGTTGTTTCTCTTTTGGTTTCTCTTTTGTTATCAAAGACAAGCCTGACAGGACTGAGCTGCGCCGTTGTTGCGAGTGCCACCAATGACTGGTGTTACGGCAAAAGCAGGTCAGGTAGTCCCAGTTCAAAATGCAACTTGTTTCATCATCCGGGCGCTGCCCTGGGAGCTGCACTGTTGTATCTACGAGAGCTGGAACCACCGCATTGAGCATCCACCGTGGATATTAGGGTCGCAACACTAGGACGGCTTCCCGGGACTGTCACTTATGGAGCTTGACCTTATTACCACATAAACCCCAATCATTTCCACAGCATCCCTCTTTCGGCGGATATCGCGTACTCCATAAATGCCGGTAGTGTTCATCATCTCGTTAACCATAACAGATGTGGTCGCGATAATGTGAATGCTACGGACCAGGCCGAGTACGATTGCATCATCGGCATAGCAACAGTGTACAATGTTAGACAAGTCGCGTTCATAAACGGCAATGACAGTTGTTTCACGTCAAACATCACGTCACAACGCTAGATAGATATTTCAACACAATTACAGGGAAATGTAGTCCAAACTTTCATGCACCTTTGCGTTCGAGTGCATTTGAGCACGGGTGCTTGGTAATAGATGGGCCGTCCTTTTCGGAAAAAGGGGGGTTGTTCTCGGCACGAGAAGATAATCCTTCAGCAGATGGGCACAGAGAGAAGCCGCGCAGCTGTACACACTGATGCCGTTCAAAGGGAAGGGAAGGGGAAGGAGGCGGGGAAGGAGGGGGAGGTTTGGTGAGGGTCGGATTCGTTTGTGCGGTCTATTGACGCACATCCCCCATTCATTGAGTTCGGATGAGCTTCACTGACACTTCTCCCAGGTTGACATGCTCTTTCCATGCAGCACTGGTTTGGCTTTGGACATAAGCAGTTCCTGGATGTTTCCGGTGTTGTGACAACGAGCCGACCTGGATTGAACCTTGGAAGGTCTGCCATGGTTGCACGGGTTGATGCTTCTCCCGCGTACAAGTCGCAATCTTCTCGACTAACGATCGTGGACAATATTACGTCACTTGTCAGAGTTCGAGACCAAGACCATTGACTCATGGGGTGCGCGAGGACTGCTGCGACCTCTTCTTGTCTGAAACGAATGTGTGGTTCAGCAGACCCTGTGATGTGGGCATGGCGTCTGAGGCGAGTGACTCGGTTTCGTCGTTGGGTCTGTTTTAGTGACCTGCAAGAAGCAAAGCTCGTTCGTGACTAAGTCTCAAATGGCTTCAGAGCCATGCTTTCACCGTCGATTGACTCTGGATGACATAGAACAACTCGAAGTTGGGTTGGGTGAGGAACATGGGGAATGCTTTGTTGGTACAGCCAGAATTTTCACAAGGAGAAAAGCTATTATCTTATCTTGGACATCGAAAAATTTCAGGTCAGGGGTTTTCTTTTTTCGGACACACATCTAAATATAATCGGACCCGCACAGGTGTGTTGCATGAATCACGGCGTTACCGGATGGGTGGAGATGCCGCGTCACGAAGCTACTACGTATGTAGTCGGGGATCTGCGACACATAGTAATGGGAACTCTTTACTTCAACGGCGATCGTACGAACAATGCCACTTGATTCACCAATGCCACGATATATTGTGTCTAGGCGGGTGACGGATGTCGGTCGGCTGGAAGGGTACCGGGACCTTGCAGTGGAATTCTTATTCGGAATCTCCCACGCGTCGTCAGCCCTACAATGAAGAGCCACTGAACACATCGTGGCTGTCTGCCGATGATACTGCTGCATACGAAGCTGGTAGTGGCGCGGTTGATTTGATGGGGAGGCTAACTTGGTTATTGTAGGTCAATGTCTCTCCTTATTGCGTTGCCAAGTGGCCCGTTTGGTACTCAACACTCGATCTCTTCTGTCTTATAATTTGTGTCCAACTTCGCCGGTGTTGGAACAAATCATTATTAGTTGTTTCTGTTGTTGGGTTGCAAGCGTCAGCAAGATGTTCAACGTTCGCCTCCTCTTTATCATCCTGGCGTCACTGATCAGCCAAGTGGCCGCCTCAGACGAGTTCTCGCCCAGCTACGACGCCTACAACAGCGCCTCGTACGGCGCCCGCCCGGACAACATATTCCACTCGACCGATATTGTCGCGCCGTTGCTGCAGATCAACACATGGAACCATGACGCCGTCTCGACAGCCGGGTCGCACATCTTCCTCCGCCACGACGGCGAGAAGTCTTCGCCACTCATTCTCAACGCCGGCGATCTGAGCGTCGTTTACGTAAACCGCAGCTACGAGGCCGTCTTCGACCTTCGCGTCCAGCAGAGTCGGGGACAAAACTACCTGACTTTCTATGCGGGGCCTATTGTTGACGGTCATGGAAACGGGTATGGGCTCGTGCTCAACGAAGCGTACGAGCTGGTGCACATGGTTTCTGCGCAGAATCTGAGCGTGCATAGCGACTTGCACGAGTTCCAGCTCACGGGGCATGGAACGGCGCTCGTGACAGCGTATGAGAAGGTCAAGAAGGATCTGAAGCCGTGGCGCGGATCAAAGTATGGGTACATTGTGGACTCGGTGTTTCAGGAAATTGATTTGGAGACCAATGAGCTGCTTTTCATGTGGCGCGCTTCGGATCATATTGATCTTGCGGACTCATACCAGAAGGTTGGGCAGGACTGGGATTTCTTCCATATCAACAGCATTACGAAGGTAATCAGCCTCATATACGCCCCTCACTCGGGGCACAGTAGTTCATGACTAATATCCTAAACAAGACCACAGCCGGCAACTACCTCATCTCGGCACGCCACATGCACTCCATCTATCTCATCTCCGGCACGACAGGCGACATCCTCTGGACCCTAGGGGGTAAGAAAAACGATTTTATTGAGCCGAACCGCGGCATCGAGAGCGGCTTCAGCAACGATGCCCTCGCCTTCGCGTGGCAGCACCACGCCCGTTTCTTTCACGGCAACGAGAGCGAGCTGACCTTCTTCGATAATCACGTCCTCGTTACGACCGTGGGGTGTAAACAAGACTGCTCGCGGGGTGTGCATGTGGCGCTCGACACCTCCGACCAGAAAACCGTCACCTTGCTCCAGGAGTACCTTCACCCCCAGAGCCTACAGGCGCAGTCCCAGGGCAGCGTGCAGCCGCTCGAGGGGGGAAATGTATTTGTGGGCTGGGGGAGAAGCCCGAGTTTCACGGAGCATGATGCTCAGGGAAATGCGGTGTTGGACGTGCAGTTTGCGCCGTGGCATTCAAAGGGCATAGATAGTCTGGATAATTACCGGGCGTACAAAATGGACTGGACTGGACAGCCGAAGTGGCCTCCCAGCGTGGCGGCCGTCAAGGATCATAAGGATAATTCGAAGGTGTACGTGAGTTGGAATGGGGCGACTGAGGTGAGGGAGTGGGTTTTGGTGAGTTCCCTTTTTCCGACTTCCTCGGGTTGGCAGGGGCAGGTGCTAACTGGCAAATCAGCTCGCGAGTGAATCCCGATATGACCTGAACGGGTTCAAGAAGGTCGTCGCTAGGGTGCCCAAGAGCGGTTTCGAAACAAGCTTCGACCTCGGGCCGAACATGAAGGAGAAGTTCGCCCGTGTGGCGGCGCTGGATGTCGAGGGGATGATCCTGGGCTCGACGGGCATCGTGCAAATATCCACAGGGAGGGTTTCCGAGTCGAATACTGAGATCACGTCGGTGGTGCAGACGGAGGCCGAGGCGGCTGAAAGTCAAAGTGAGGACGATGACGAAGACAAATATGATGACCACGGCTCGAGCAGCGTGGCGACTACCATGGACGCAGACATACCCGGTGCCATCCTATTCCCCAAGGGCGTGCATATTGCGTTAGGTTTGGTCATGATTGTCGGCTTGGTGCTAGTTACAGTGCTTTCTTGAGGTTCCTGCGACCGAAGTCAAGATGACGATACACCAATCACTCGGACGACTGCTGCGTCTTGTGTCGAAAGACATGTTGACGTGTTGACGACTATCAATACTCTGCGCCGGTACGGCCATGAGCTGCCACGGAGCAGCGGACAAGTTTACCGGCACGCGAGCTGCCTCCGCGGTCCTAGCGATCACCACCGGCGCCACGACTTGGCCCCTGCGTCGCTGTATCAGCATGGAAGGAACCAGTTTTTTCCACGGCTGAGGATAATTGCCCAGTGGCAGAAGAGGAGGACGATATCCACTGGTACCAACGGGGATAAGCGATAACGAAGCGTTTGCGTTTAGCAGAGATGCATATCAGGCAAACCGTACGCCCGAATTCCCGCGCCACGGGCATGCGGTGGGTGAAGGTGGTCGAGGAGGTGGCAAAAGTGCCGAAGGGGGAAGGGACGGGTGACACTGGGTATCAGAATGCGCATGAGGAGATGTACATCGTGGAATTTCCAATCCGCGAAATGAGGAGTCTGCTCCATGTCAGCGAGATGCTGTGGGGTTGATAGAATCATGTCTACAGTAGCAATGATGCAGTGCTCGTGATCGGTCATTGGAACGATCCGGATTAGGCATGGACAACTCCCAGGTTCCTGTCTTCAGCGTTGCAAGTGCAAGTATGTCCAAACGGATACTACGTGAGGGGTCACGAGAGTGAACTATATGACTACATAACTACTCATCAAATTCGCAATGCTGCATGGTGACCTTCACTGCCTTCACCCAAACTACTCTCTGTGCCGTCTCACTCGATTCCCGAGTTCCTGGCCGTCAAGCACAGCTATCAGATCCTCGGTTGCTACCATCCATCATGATCAATCATGGGTAGTTCATTTAACGTCGAACGATAAAAATAATCGGTAGTGAAATACCTAGTTGGATTGGAAACCACAGAAAGCACTCTGGCGCTCCATTCTCATCACTCTCGTGTGCAAAGCGAAGGGTTTGCAAATGCTCGAGGCATTCTGGGATATGAAAGTGGGCATGCGCATTGGTGATGGCCTCAGCGTGGATCTGGTACGAGCTGTAGGGGAGATTCAGTGACTGGAAATTCTCGATCTTCAGGGCTGGTATGCCAAAAAGTGGCTGGCGCATCTTCCGTCTGAAATTGGAGCAGGTACAACAAACAATGACCAGGAACACATGTTAGAAATTGAAGAACACGTGGATGCCTCCTGTATAAGTTCCCGGAAGGGAACAACCTATGGTTAATGGACTGCAAATATAACCATCAGAGCCAAATTGGTATGATGTGACCACACAGGCCGTCTAGCACGTCACTTCAACAAACTCTGATATCTGCCCGCAACGTTTCAGGCCGATTGCACAGGTTTGGCCTCATAATCATAACCTTGACGACAAATCGTTGGACAAGGAGATACATCGGAGGAGCTTAGTTCACTTCAAGCGTTGTGTTGGGAATTTCGCACCCTTTGAGTAGACGTTGATACTCAAATCTAATCCGGTCCAGCTGCCGATATTGCATGCTGTTGGAAAAGAGCCATTCCATTTTGGACGAGGCAGTGGCCGGCAATCAGTAGGGTTTCTTCGATGGACAAGTGCTTCTTATGATGCAATTCTGCGCCAGCAATATATATAGCACGCAAAGAAAGAACATAGGTTTATTATAAAAGCCTTTAGAAGAAATGTGGTTTGCAGTTACTTAAAAATCTCTAGGGGCTCGAAGCAGCATCTCAGGACTTGATTTAGCATGGGAAACCAACCTGTAATACGAAATATAGTCGTTTTGCTAATTACACATTCTTGTTCGATGGACACCAGTCAGGCCTGCTTCTACCTTCGCAATGGTATGATGCTGTACCCGTCAGTTTAATGACCGGCTAAAAACATCCCAGTTGCTAATTAGTGCGAAGTCGAGACACAATACTACTCGCCCCCGCAAAGTTCAGCTCCTCCATCGTCTCCTCCCACAACCGATCTCTCAATGCTTCACCCGCCTTCGTGTACATAACAGGGGGATACCTATAACAATAGTAAGCAACCCATATTAGGAATATGAGGAGGAACACGGATTATCTCACGCTTTGATAGTCCAATCACCCACGAAGCTCCCGTGGCTCTCCTTCCCCACGCCTAACAAGGCATACGCATAGATGCTCGCACCCGCCCTCAGTTGCCGGGCAAAAGCCTTCACGACAATAGGCCATAAGTATCGGATCGCGAATCTTGGATCCTCCTTTGTATTCCCGATGTTTGTATCCCTAGTAAATCCCGGATCGAACACGTTGATGATGACATCCTGGGGACTTATCTGTGCGGCGAGTTTGGACGTGAACATCATCAGCGCGAGTTTTGAGTTCCCGTAATCCCCGAGTTGTGAATATTTATCCGGGTTGTCGAATTGAGCCAGAACAGGACCGGTCGTCGCGAGCTTGCTGGTGTAGATGATGCCGGATCCTGCGACAGACAAAACGGGCGGGTTTCCCGTCCTAGACGACTGATTCTTTTTCCCTTTGAGGACGGATCCCATTAATACCGTCAGCAGCGCGGTGGACAAATAATCGATTTGGAACGTCATCTCGTGTCCAGTCTTGGGATTTCGCTCAAACTCGCGCATGATTACGGCGGCGTTCAGTATAACGAAGTCGATTCGATCTAGTTCTTCACAACGCCGTGCGAACGCCGTGATTGAGTCGTAGTCACACATGTCCAGACTAGAAGTCTCGATTTTGGCGTTGGGGAACTGTGTCCGCAGTTTGGCTGCTGCATCGTCGCCTTTTGACTGCGAGCGGACGGCCAAGACTAGATGTGACAAACCCAATTCGAGGAGTTGTCGCACGGCTTCGAATCCTAGACCCCTGTTTGCGCCGGTGATGATGGCTGTCTGGCCGACAAGGCTTGTCGTTGGCGGGAGGGCCTTTGGTCGAACAATGAGTTGATTGTAAAGAAACGAAAGAAAACCAGCCTGCCAGGCGGCTGAACTCTGAAGTTTAGATGACATGATACTGAGATTGTGAAATATAAATAGAGTTTGCGACAAAATCTATCATTGCCAATGGTCACCGTCGACTATCACATATTACGTGGTATGCGTCGAACGACTGCGGGAGGAACAGATTAAATAGGCAGTGCGCCGGCAATTCGGAATTATCATATTACCGAGCATGAATCTGTCGTATGTTTGATGACGGCGCAGTTCGCAATTCGGACAGGTTATATTACCGAGCAGCATCGGTTGTATGTTTGTTGACGCCGGAATCTGCAACAAGAAGGCACATAGTCGACCCATTAAAAACATGATGACCAGAGGGCCAAGGTGGGCATGCTAAGGTGTATTAACATCAACTTTGACTGGACTTTCCGCCGGGACTGCCAGTGGGTTTAAAGACTCAGTTGGAATATGCTCCTGAGAGATATCTGTACTGAAAGTATTCATTGTAGTATTCCGAGAGCTACAAACAAGTGTTGCAAGGACCTCAATAGGAGCAGGCTCTCATATCGACCCCAGAGGGTCGTCTCATCCTTTATCCTTGGAAATTGGGTTGTCTCGCATCTCTTGCATTCGCCAGAGACTAGGTCTGCCGCCTGGCCCTTACAGCTATATCACAGAGATAAGGAGATATCGATATCTGATAGGGTTTATCCAGACCGTGAGTGCTGATATCGCTAATACGTATATCACAGACCGGAGCAGTACCATAAGCGGTTACGCCGTAGAAATACACTAGCGTTTACTATGGGTCATATCGAGAAGGATAGACTAGGATCCAGTCATAAAACAGGTATATCGGCTGGTGAGGAGTCCGGCTTTAGAATCAGACACGCCATGGCGACTTATGATAAAGGCATCAAGGAGTTCAATGATGAGTTCTGTCGGAGGCTGCTTGAGAATGAGCAGCCAACACCCAGAGATTCTCTATTCAGCGACGACCAGTTTCAGGACACGATGGACCTAATTCAAGACCGCAACGAAGCTATGATCAACGAAACGATTTCGCAGCTTATGTTTCCAAATGTCGAAGTCATGGCTATTCGAGACGCAAAGTTCAGCCCCTTTGTCCAAAGCGTTGCCGAAGGATGGAACAGCTGCAAAAAAATCACTCAAACCCGCCCTCAACCAGACTCAGCCGTAGGATTCAAAGTATCCGCATTTTCAGCCGAGCAACTCGAAAAGCTGCAGCCCTTCCTTGGAGACTTGGATGAAAAATCCTATTTTAGAGCTACATATTATATGCTCTTCCCATTCATAACACGCGAAGTGAACCGTGGAAATATTGGACTTGATATTGCGGATCGGCAGAACGCTCATAGTCACACCGTCGCTTTACGAGGCCTGGTTGCACTCTTCAGGCTTTTCGGGAGAGAACACGAACTTCATGGAAAAATTTTGACTTACTCTATATCTCATGATCACCGCATGGCTAGATTGTACGGTCACCGAGCGATAATCGAAGGCCAAAATACACTATGTTGGCGAGAAGAGATTGATGCGTTCGACTTCAGAACTCGCAAGGGTAGGGATAGATGGAAATGCCGTCAATTTTACCTGAACGCCCTGGATGAAGGCCTTCAGCTCCTGGAAACCATTCGGACAGCAATTGATGACTGGATATCGGATCCCGCATTGGAACCTCTGTAGAGATCTGACACGCCATCTTCAAGGCCTTGGGGCCTTTCACAGCAATTTGACGATCAAAGACTATCAGGTAAGGATACCAAAACTCCAGGCTTGAAAAAACTGACACCAGAGTCATCCGCGATATCCCAACCAGCGAAGAAGAAGCGGTAATTGGGTAATACTTCAAGCGAGAAAAATGGCTTGAAAGCATCCGAGCAATGGGGAATCAAAGCCTTGTAGACGAAAGCAGCCCTTTCCACAGCATCTCTTTAATCTGCCGAGCGCCGCGACGGGTTAAGGAGAAGTTTGCTTGCTAGCGGCGTATCGGTGACCATTTTTTGTAACTCTTTGTTCAGGCATTCAGCTAACTCAATTTACTCTGTACTGCAACACTTCAAGTACTCTGACAAGTCTGGATAGCGTCCCTATGTGAAAGTTGATATCAACCTGAGCAAGATCATTGACATCTTCGCTCAGCATTAGCGACGTTTTTCGTATGGTCTGACGAATTATTCCTTCGACATGTACCTCTTCTCGTTCCAACTTCGACAGAGTATGTCTGGCTTCGCCTCCGGGGCCGTCATCCCGTTTCCTCTTTTGGCCTTAACTACGGATCAGTAAACCCGATAACAATCGGACCTTGCGTTTGTCTCGATTGCGTGATTTATGGAACTGTACGGTCTCCAGATCTTCTTCAGTTATCATCAACAGATGTAGCCTGCAGATGAAGGGTCATCAAACTCTCAGTGCCCTCAATGTCGATTGCAGCGTCATGGTTTGTAGTACGTGAGTCAAACTTACTCGTGTCAGCGATGGTGGATAGTACAACTTTGGTCAAGAGTACGAACCTCTCGGTCTCGGACCTTTCTCCGCGGTGAGGATAGTTCTGTAGGCATTCGAAATGCGGAAACAGTGTCGGTGATCGGCTGGTTCGTGGAGGGGACACAGAATCGTTTGGCGCATCGAGTGGATTTCAGAGTCCACAACTGCCTTTTATTCCAAAACACGCTGGCTGAATGATTGCTGACCGTGCCGGACTGTAGCCTCGATAGCCGACCGATACGCCTCCACATCATGCAACGACCGTAGGCAGTGATGGATATCCCTGAGTGGGATTTCGTGCGTCAAACCGCTCCCTGTCATGCCGAGTGGCTTTGCCAGCAGCTTCGCACATGAATGAGTAGTGTTCAAACATTGCTACTCATTGGTTGCCGACGTGTCACGATCAATTGGTTGATCGTGTACCATCAAGCATGCTCCAAATCCTAGCAGAAGGCTGTGGGCTGGAGTATTGCTCATCTCTCCAAACATCTTCAGCCACTTTGATGTCATCTCGGCTTCGTCAACTCGGCGTCGTGTCATCAGTACTTCACGGCCTGGGACAATACTTATACCTCATTGCAGTCCGCCTCTGCTGCTTCAAGATCCTATCGCTTTCTCTGTTGTTAGCACAAAAGTGCCTCTAAACCGTCGAGTTATACGTCCCAACTATTGAATAGTTAACAAGCGACCATATCCCGCCTTCCAAAGAAACCGTTTTGAATTGAATTTTTCTCTTCGCGCCTGCTACGATCGCGATGGCTAAGATGAGGATCGAACGAAAACGGGTGACCCGCCGAAAGACCCCAAGCGCTGCGAAGAAATCCAACCAGGACCGCGCGACACAAGGTGTGGCCAAGCCGACGCGACCGAGAGGCAGATCGACTCGCCTGGAAGCTGGTAAAGGAGTTGTGGACAAGCCAAATGATGTTAGAGGCAGACTACGCAAATTACGAATTGGAGAAGAGGTGGAGGTGCTCGCGAAGGATAACCTCATGGCGTCAAACGAGGCGAACACAGCAATCGTGAATGAGGCTGGTGCTCATAGATTTCTCGCCATCGACAGGATCTCTTCCCAAGATGCAGAAGGGGCCGCGAAGAGTGGGAGAAAGTCAGAACACATTGATGCCGCTCTTGATACATTGTCAACTAGCTCCAACCCCGCGACAGTTATCACTATCCCGCGACCAAGAGCAAGGTTCGCAGCTAAAGGACAGAGTCAGAACCTTGGGATTCTGATGGCCGACCTTGGAAACTATACCACTATAGCATCTAGGGTACTTGGCCTTGGCGAACTCGAAGATATCGATTTCTGGAACGGAGCGGCTGCGGCGCGTGGTAGCCAAATACGGTAGAGTCTACCCCTGCTGCTAGGTTTACTTCTACGCCGAAGCATACGCCGCTTTAGAAGCAGTGCTCGGATCCTAAATCCGTAGATATCTATCGATCTAGGCAAATTCCTAATACGAAGGGCGCGGGAATCCACGGGGATATACATATATTTACTGTCTACGAGTTTAGGAAAGTACGAAACCTTAGTACGCGTAACCTTTGCCTCTTCGAAATAGATACGGCTCTTGTTAACGATAGAAGCCTCCCCAATGTCAAAAGGTGATTTTCAGCCTTCGATATAATATTGCCTAGGTCGCTTTATAGTCCTATCTGTGCAAAGGATCGAAGTACGACTAAAACTTTATCATCTCAACTGTACTATTATACTCGTGTACTGAGATATTAAATCTGCTGTATCTGTGAGATTAATTACTATATTCTTCATAGTTAGGCTAGCGAGCAGGTCTATTGACGTGGGGTTAGGGTTTTTTTGGGCGTTATTTTTTTCGTTTTTCTTTTTCGATATTCAGACGAATTATGTAAGCGTGTTCCTAGCGGGTATTTAAGACCTTATGTACATAGTCACTCTCTTGAGAAAAAGATAGAAAATCAAGCGGCCTTTTCCACAGTAATCTGAACCAATTTCTCTTTACTTGGACAGGCATTCAATGTCTGACGTACCTGTTGAGGTACTTTCTGTTCCCCTATAGATCTGATTGTGCCTGTTGAGGCCATTGTTCCCATCTTTCACCTGTTGAGGTGACTGTTCAAGGGCCTGTTGAGGTTCCTTTTCTTCCCCAGCCTGCTGAGGCTACAGTTGTTAGTACCTGTTGAGGTACTTGTCGTTCCGATCAGGGCAAGGAGCTCTTGATCTTGTTATTTCTTTCCACCTCCCGGATAGTAAGGTCTTGTTGAGGATCTTGTTATTCGTTGCCATCATCTTCACACCTTAAACCTGCGGGTTGTGACGGTCAACCCTCGCAGACTCACTACAACCAGGTGACTTACAGCTGGAACACCTGCCGTGGCAGTGTGAGATGGGAAGCCAATCATAACCCTTGTAGGAGCCCCGCCAAGCGTGGATGACTTAGTCGCGCTCCCTCAAACCTAAGTTGTCATCTTCTTTCCTTCGCTCCTTAGAGTAGAATCTTCGTCGATAGCACCTAATCGAGGTCTATACCAATGCGATGCAACCCAGGTCGTGACACGGGTGGTTTCACTGCCCGTCGTCACTATATGCCGAATTATATCGTATAGCTAGGGCTGTAGTGAGCTTTTAGATGACGGTATAGATAAATGTCCGGCTGTACTTGCTGATAACCGAGATCCTTATTATTGCACGAACCTGGAAGAGGTGGAGAAGATATCCCTGGATGTGGTTGGAATTGCGATTATCTAGGGGGAAGGATGCTATAATGCAGCAGTGCGCAACGTTATAGTATCTAATTGAATGGGATTCACCTAACCAGTGGGTCCCCCTACCTTTTCGTATCAGTATGCTATTAGCGTCAGCAAGTGACGAGAATTTTGAGGACTATGACGGTAATGACTATGTGGAAGAGGAAGAAGAGGAAGAAGACGAGGAAGACGATGACGTACCTATATCTGTGAATGAAGCAGTGCATATGGGGGGTGAATTGTTGTATTGGGAAAGGATGGCTAGGTCAGCTATTCTGGCCTGGCAGAGCTCTTGTATAGCTCTTATTTATCTTATCTATAGCTATAGGGTAACCCCCCATGGGGTCACGTATCAAACTGCTACTTAGTGTGGAGGCAGAAGTTAAAAGTCAAATTCCTGAAGCTAGCGAGGGCGTGGAGGTTAATGTATGCGTTCGCCGGTGTTAGGCAACCTTGGTGGGCTTTGCCAAGGCCACCAAGGTTACCACGTGACTTAGCTCTTCGGGACTAAGTCCAACCTTCGTGCTCCGTAGGATTACATAGAATGTCATGCTTTTACAACCTCACAAATCTTTGACCACCTTTGCGTGTAACAGCCGGCGTCGCCGCATTTCTGCTCGCATATCCGATACTCGCGGAAATTTGAGGTTACAGTTAAAATTGATCTCGCTGCAAAGCTTTATCTATCCATTCACACGCTTCCCGATCTCTGATCTCTGGATAGCGGAATTCCGTGAACTTGGCTAGCAGTGAAAAGGAATATAGATATGCAAAGATATCAGGCTAACTTAAGCTGTCCGTAACATTTTAATTAAAGATAATGTCCACGACTGTGCTGTAAGATTCTCGCCGCTTGTCATTGTGTTTGCTAGCCCTCTCCTAACCCTGGCCTTCATCATCCTCCCAACTGTGCTTTCTCTTCTGCTTCTAATTATTAATCTTATCTGCTATCCTCGTAATCAAATAGCGCAGATTAGCGGATTCAAATGTGTGGAGAGTGTATACGTAAAGTTGTTGAATAATCAGATTGCTAGCTTTTTAGATCGATCGATGATGTCTTTATAGGTCTGATAATATCGTACGAATAAGGATTCGTGACGGTACGTTTGAAGCTAGTGAAAAACTTGCGTCTATTCTAGAATCGGAAACTTTATAGTATTAAGATAGTACAGGGAGATATAGATATAAATATAAACGGTGTTTAGTGTCAAAGCTACCGCCAGCCTGCTAGTCTACTAGAGAACTGCACTGCGTGCTTTGGTCACAAGTGCTAAGAGAACCCCACTCAAGCAAAAGACCAGGGAGGTGCAAGCGTCCCATCCTCATATATCGGAGCGACTACGAAATAACTAACTGTCAGCTCCACGGTTCAAACTACGAATTTGGTCACCATTATGTCTGTCTTTCTTCGGATTTACGATGTTTTGTTGAAAAAGTTTTGATGCGGCTCTCGTTAAGACGTATGCGGTGCTTTTTACTGAAGTCCGTCTAGACACGTGATTTACGTGGTAGTTGTCTTTGCACTTATAGTTGGTGGGCCCTTAAGTTCTGTGTTCGGAATACATAGTCATCCCGGGAAGCTGAAAGTATGCTACGGGTATTTGGAGATCGAGAACCAGAGAATCGTGACTTATGCCTATACTAAACCCAAATCATTGTGGGAAGAGCCTCAGATTCTTAGCGCGCAGCGCACCCGGCTTATCTTTGCATAGCTTTCGCCACCTCATCTCGGGATCGCTTACAGAACTCCCCCACACAGCTGGCTGTCGGGTTCGATTGGAACGAGAAATGACAACTTAGACTGAGTTATAAGGCTGCACAGAGGTTCCATCTAGGGTTCGGCAATGTATGTAATCAAATATTTGATATATCAGTAGTCCATACAGTGGATGTGGATGTGGATGTGGATGTGGTTTCATTTGCTCTGACCTCTCCGTCACTGGGATATGCAGGCTGATGTTACTATGCTAATGCTACTGGGGTGTCCCTACACTGTACCACTTCATGAATGCTAGCCCACACAGCATACACACCGAATAAGTTAATTTGCTTCGTTACAGCGAGGTGAAATCACAATTAATAGACTACGGAGCAGAATGTTCTTCAGTTCTCGATACTCCCTTGCCATTTCGCCTACCTTCAAGCAGGCAAAAAGATTTTGAGTATGAAAAAAGATGCTGACAGGTTCTCCATCCCCACCCAAGGGTCTCCATTTCCACCCAAGGGACTTAGAGGTTTGCTTGGCCAAGTGTTCTACTATAGAGTGGTTTCTTTTGCTCCTACGTCGAGCCACAAACATGACTATAGCAATCAAAAGAACGATGACAATTAGAGCTCCGAATGCTATGCCTATATATAGTCCGGCTCTGGTTGTTGGCCTCGTTTTCAACTTGGTGCGGGAAGCTTTTCGAATTTGATGATTGGCACGGTGAGAATGTGGAAAATACATCGTTGCAAATTATTGAGGAAATCCTCTTAAAGTGGCGGGGTCAAGCCCGTCAATACGATTTTATAGAGAACGGAGGTCCCCATAACCATAATCCTGTGCTCGTCTAACCATCACATATTGAGCTCGTACTGTACTAGCCTATTAATGAGTCGATTACTTCTTTCATCACCACTATTACAAGGCCTTTCATGGACACCGATGTGCACCGATTGAGCTCTGCGCAAACGACAGCTGTTCACTTCATGTGTCCTTAGAATCTCGAATGATTCCTGCAAAGTTGACCACGAAGATATTGATTCTGAAAATGATCAAGTTTGTCCTGATTTTGGCCTACGTCTGAATATTTGACACGATTTAAACTCTACTGACATCCAACATCTTCTTACGCGAATCGAGGTACTATTCCATGTTGTCTGTTAGCTGGAGTTGTACGAGGGATATTGTAGACTTAGGCAGCGCGTCGGATGCTTAATTCGGGTTGCGATTGACGCGCCTAACACGCTAGAATCATATTGTTTTTTCCAATTCGATCCCATCTTGGTGTGTGTAATGATGCTGATTACAAGTTTGTTCGTGCGGTGCTAAGAAAAAGTGGCCAACTTGCTGGTGGGGTACGTTAGTCTTAATTTATGCTTATAAGTTATCTAGGCAAGTTAGGTATAGAGATTGATTTATATTTGTGATGCTGATTGATAAAGATACAATACTAATACAAATCAAATCGTAGACCGGATTTGCTTTGCTTTATGTCGGGCCCTGTTCGACCGTGGCTTGTCCAGATCAACCTGTGTACATGGCTAAGCTAGTTAGACACAAGCCACCTTGCGCATTTGGTAAGACTCAAGGCACACAGCAACACGACACTTGTGGTCAGGCTGCATATTGGCAAGGTTGTGTTAATCAGTTGGGAGAACTGACCAGCTGAGATAAAGCCTAGAAGGCGAGCATCCTGCTTTGCAGATGCTATGCAGTTGAGTAAGGCACAATCTTGACTGCAAATAATGAGGAATCATATTTGGCGGGCCTTCTTTCGGGATCGATATAGGCATGGAATGATGCCTTGATTGATATGAAGAGATACCACAGCCAGTGGAACGCCCGACTATGGGCTTTCTCAGGTGCGTAGCCTGCGGCTACGATCATGCCATGGGTGTTTCGCAGCCGACCAGGATGGGGCTGCGATCTGAAGAGGCCGCCTAGATGCATCCAGCAACATTGGAACGTCACATTTCCGCAATGCCGTGCCACGCTGGAGCAGACTGCTGAACAAGTGAGGCTTGCAGGATGTCAGCAAAACTCAAGCCAGCGCATCGATCAGTGCTTTGATTGGATGGGGATGCACAATATATGCAAGTGCTTGCATATGGGCTGGGAATCCCCCAATCAGTCCATGGGATAATATCGCCCACTGTTGGACGGCTGGCAGAGAGAAGTCCCATTTCTTTTAGAGTGCGTGAGGAATGCGGCTCAAAATACCCCTCTTTCTCGTCTCGAGGTCTTTATGCTCCGTGTCTTTCACGTTATGGCTGACCAATTGAGCATGGGCTGATGTCTGCGATAGACGAAGAGTCTGGAGACGATGCAGCACATTAATAGATAAATGGCAAGGCGTTGAAGTCATTTCCACTTCTTCACAAATACACTGCAATATTAGCAGGAGATCGAGAAGTCCCCTGTGCATGATGCTGTAACTTGAAAAAGAATATTAGCCTTACTTGAGACGACGATCGACAGCTCAGTCATTATGACCGAACAAATGTTCATACAGGCTTATCGCCTCCGCGAAGATGCCCTTTTGAGATACCTCAGAACGTTGTTCCCTGAGGAAGAATACGATATCGAGCTCGAGGTGAGTTGCGGCTCTCTGATAATTTTCCAGGCCTTATTGTTTTGACTAGACTCATGACCTTGAAGCAGGTTCACGGGAAGTACTGCGCCAAGCTCCCCCGCAAACTAACCCGGGTATTCACATGTACCGATCGGCTTAATTAACTGACAAATTATTGACTTGACGGCAAACAGGAAGAGAAGAAACACATTGACAAGAAGGTGCGATATAAGGATGATTAGTAGATATCAGCTTTTGTCGACTTGTTGGGGCATCGAGGGAGGACCGCATTAAACGTTGGAAAGGTCGTTAAGGCAAGATACAGTCTGAAGATATCAAGTACATGCAGACGTGGATGTAGCGAGGTGGGGTTGGGGGAGACTTGCAAGCTCCAAGTCCAGTCCCGAGAAGGGGGGGCCTGCCAGCTTTACGATTGCTTTGGCAGTGTGTGGCGGGGAGAGACAATGCGGGTTCTATTCAATGGCAGACATTCATTTGCTTTCATCACTTTGAATGATTACTTACCGAGCGCCCTTGCAGCGACTGCGCCACCACCCTTCGCCCGATCACTGCCTCCAGCCGTATGGTAATATGGTTAGATAGGTGGTTTCGGTCCTTGTTTATTCGCAGATTGATGGGCGATCCATCGGCGACTCAGTCTCCCTCTTCTAGCTGAAAATGGCACTTTGCGGGACATTAGATCTTAGTGCCAGTCAGCCTTGCAGCTCAATTTTCTGTCTACGATAATGTCTTGCTCACCTGCAGCTGATCAGGCACTTCACCCTTCGGGCGGCATTTCAAGGTTTCCATATACCCAGGCACTACACAAGGCTTTCTTGACATTATTTATAGGACAATCTTGCCGCCAATGGCTTCATTTTAGCCTCGGATAGGGAATATGTCAACTACAACGCAGCGACACTGGCCACACGAGTGACAATGTGCAGCACCAAAATGTCGCCCGGCGCAGGCAATCTCGCAGAGTTTCAAGACTCATGCAGAACTGCAATCATCTTCCCCAAAAATGTTCTGCGGAGTGATTTGTGGGAACATACCTTGGAAAAATACCACTCGACATTAGACGCCGATTCGACGTCAGACGATGCACCGGAGTTGTTCGATGACGATCATAGATCGATCTATACACTCGACTTCTCAACAGACACCGAGTGTAAGCAGGTGTCGAAACGCAACTCCAACAACAAGCTGATCATGTTTATTCTATAGCCTTCAAGCTCTCGGACGAACTGAAAACCCTAGATCAAGTGCAAGACTTGGTGAACGAAGACGCCGAAGACCTGCGATGTCGATTCATGTATTTAACCCCATGGATCCGCGTGCAGCGGCGCGTGTGCAGTTAACTGACCAGGTCTAGCTTCATCCACGCCCTGTCTGCGCGCAGCCCTCTAGGATGCTCGAAGGAACAGCTGCTGCATATTCTGACCCACTATCAGACTATGCCTTCGTTCCTGGACAACGTCTTTTCATTCTGTCAGCGGAGTGAACCTCACCTCAGGACGTGTTTTAGGTCCGAGGACTATCTAAATGTGAAGGATCAAGCTTTCCAAATCAAGGAGCTAGGGAGATCTGGTAATCAAGTGCAGCACTGCTTCAACTTGGTAGGCATTGAATATGGAAAAGACCAAAGCTGGCCCTTCTTCTACCGACAAACCGCCGCCTATTTTTCATTCGATCCTGTAGAATCACGCTCTCTCTGGATCATCCTTAAAGCGAATGCAGAAATCAGAAACCGCATAAAGCAATCATCTGATTGCACACGGCGGGGAAATAACCTGGGCGACCTCACAACCCCGGAATCGTCCTTCTCAAGTGCAATGAGTGCCCACTTGCTGATATACGAGTGGAGTACAGACAATTGGACACCTTATATCGACTTTCTAGAGAGTAAGATTCTGGAGTCCTCGACTATCATCAATTACAGTCCAGTCACCAGATTTACACAAGAGAAACCCATCGCGCAGGCCCTGTCGAGGAAGTCGACATTTCAGTCAGGGGTCCAGTCTAGGCAAAACTCGGGCTTACAGCAACAGCTTAATCGATCCTCCAGAACCGCAAGCTTCAGCAAGATTCTTAACCCGAGACCGGGGCCCAGGAGGTTCTCCAACAAGATTTCTAGAAAGGGACGGCATTCTGCTTTACCCTCTGCTCAACGACCCGCAAAAGTCAAGATGGACGACCTAGATCTTGACGAGATCTTTTCATTCGACCAGCTGCAGAGCCTTCACAGACTCGCGGCTGAGCTTGAGACTGCAAGTCTGGTAGTCAACCAGAACAAAAGGGTCATGGAAGAGATGCTGGAACGATTCATAGCTCTTCGGGGATCACCCGACCTTGTTAGGTGCCTCCCGGTTGATAAAATCAACTTTGAAGGATTCTTTCGGAGAACGCAACGGTGTTTGCGAGAGCTGGAAAACCAGCAAGCCCGCCTGACCACGTTGCAGGCCGGCTTAGAAAAGGATCTATCATTGGTCAGTCATCGAAGACTGCCCGTCGCAGTTTAATCTCACGTACTGACGATTTCGTTCGCATACTACAGTTCAATGGGGTTTTGCAGTACAAAATATGCCTGTCTTATATTAGTTCATGCGTCGAGACTGGTACAGAGTTCGCCGCATGTCCGTCGGCAAAACCACGTTTCAACAAGCGATTGGAGGCATCAATGCCTTTGCCTTCCATGGAGGCGAGTAGGCCCTTCTACCATGCGCCAGACGCGAGGCAGGATCAAGAAACGCTTTCTTTCATCGACTTTGTTGAGACACTAAGGCCCCGTGGCAGCGATGGCAACCGTGAGCGGCAACACTACGTATCACTGCCCGCGCTCGAGGAATACTGGGACGACGACCACAAGATTCAAAATGCCATTGGCGACAACCCAGTTCTGGTCTCATTCAGCATTCTCCGAAAATGCTTCCTGCGCATTTTCTCCACATTGGTATATACCAACCAAGCGAACCGTCTCAGCGCCTTTACGAGACACGGTCTAAATGACGACTCCTTTCCTGTCGTCAAGTTCCCTGAGACACATTGGCCTAACGAGGGCCTTTACACTACCATATTCAGGAAATTCTCCGAAAAACAATGGATGTTCTTCCCCCTCGAATTTCATCGCGAGCGGTTGATAGACCTGCACTTGGCGCCGCAGAGGATTTTGCCGCTGGAGTCAAAGAAAATGATCAACGATGGAGATGCTGCACAGGTTTACGAGATCAAGGTTCATACGCCGTACAATATGTTGCACGATGTTCGTTAGCGCTCCGAGCCACCCGCATTTCTGCCTTACTCTGCTAACAATCAATTGTGCAGGATCCTAACAAAGCGAATCACAACACCTTTGTTTTGAAAACATATAACGCCCGAAGACCCTACGACAACGAGCGCGAAGCACTTACTGCTCTTCAAAATAACCCTTCCAAACATGTCATCGCATATCTTGGATCGTTCGAGCAGAATGACACTTATAACATCATTCTTGAGCATGTCGACGGCGGCAACCTTCTCGATTACCTGAAACAAACAGCGCGTCCGGAGGCTGAGAAGGATATTCGCGACCTTTGGAATAGCATGCTTGGCCTTTTCAAGGGGTTCCATCGAGTACATCAGTTGACCCAACACCACCAGCACGAGGTCGATTACCGCGTGGTGCACCAGGATCTCAAACCTGATAACATCCTTCTTGTCAGGGACCCCTCATCACGGTATCGATTTCTACTCAAGATTGCCGACTTTGGATGCAGCCATGTACGGATAGTTCATCCTGATGGAGAAGACAAGCAAGGATGTGACCGCCACGGCAATCCCACATATTCAGCCCCCGAGTGCAGTCACCACGAACGCTTCCTCGAACGCGGGCCCAGGGGTATAACTGCTAAGGCTGATATCTTTTCGCTCGGATGCGTTCTAAGTGAGGTCGCCGCTTGGATCGCTTTGGGCATGGAAGGCTGCTCCCAATACAGCTCGCTGCGCAAGAAAGAGATTGGACACATGTCCAGTTTCCGAGGCAGTGCATATACGGATTGTTTCCACGATGGGCTTAGTGCATTGAACGCTGTGAAGGTAATGCATGCGCGCATTGTCGACAACATTCAGATGCACGATAACATCACTCCTCCTATCTTGAACATCATCCACAAACACATGCTTGCGCAACGCCCCAGCGACCGCGAGGAGGCAAGACAGCTCAAAGTCATGTTCGAAAAAGTCCTCGAGGGAAATCAGGACATCCGCATAAGGAGATTATCCCCCCCTTCGACGCCGAGTCGTGGCTTTGACGAAGCCTCATCGTCAAGTAGCCATCGGAGGATCTCTTCCACTGGCAGTGCAGGAGGTTGCCATTTTACACCCACACCACCAAATACCACCACCGCGGTGCGCCACAGACCTGGACCAACACCCTTCCCCAATAACGGCAGTCAGACTCCAACCAGACGGACTTCTCGAAGGAACCGGCTTAGCATTTTATCCCCTAGCTCATTGACGTCGTGGTCATCATCCGAGCGGCTGAGCTACTCGTCCAGTTCTCCTGGCGCGACATCGCCACTTGGCGAAGTTCTGACCTTCCTTGAGGTTTTCGAGTATCGGGAAGCGAAGAAGGGCAACGGAAACATCGACGGACGCGTCGCGAACCTCATTTCGAAACTGAAGAAAAGTCTGGGCCACCGAGACCATATATTCCTAATCGATGACTCGCCTTCCATGTGTACACATGCCCAGAACGTACTTCACGCCTTTACCGTCTTGTCGTATCTCGCCAAGCTTATTGACGACAACGGAATTGAGCTAGTCTTTGCATCTGATCCTTGTAAAGTGCACAAACGTCTCGACACCAAGAATCTCATTGAGCTTGTCGAGCAACAAAAATATGACCAAATTCCAGGCACGGGAATGATGGAGCAAAGCCTGGGGGGGGTTCATTGACAAGGCGATTATCAGCCGTCTGCCCGACGCCGATCATAAGCTTTTCGGGGCGCATATACCCTTCGGCTCAAGAAAGCCTATCAGTGCCATCATCTTGACAGATGGAAGTTGGGGACCGCGTCTAACTCAGGCTGGAGGTGTGGAAAAACCCATCAAGAAGTTGATGGCCAAGATCAAGAGCCTACATCTTAACAGGACCCAAGTCATGATCCAATTCCTCCGATTTGGCGATGATGAGGATGGCCAAAGATATTTAAAGTTCCTTGATGAGTTTGGTAACGATGAAGACTGGTAAGATTTGATTGATCCCCAGGCGGACGGGTTCGTGCCCATGGCTGATATCCATTTACAGCGACATCGTCGACACGAGGACGATCCACGACGACGTTGACGTGAATGACATATTCATCGGCAGCCTGAGTCAGGCGCGAGATAATATGCAGGATCCCGTCCACGAACGAGTTGGGTTCTAACCATGTTGATGACTAACATTTACTCACGCAGTGAAAAGAATCCTCCCAGTTTTCACAGCTCTGCCACAGGAATGGAAATAGACGTGTCAATTGTGGCTGATGCATATTTTACCTCGACGGCCGAGCGAGACCTTGGGTTCCCACGAGTGTATCCATCGAGAATTGGTTAGCTTGATGAAATAATAGAAACCGATCAGCCTAGTAATCGAAATATAGTAACACCTATCCGTCCCTATTGCTAAGTTGATGATTGAAGGCCCTTGGAATATGGAAAAATGATGGACTTTGGAAACCAGACCAGCCACCTGCTAAAAGTACAGAAAAGTTATCACCCACCCTCGAACCCATTGGCATTACGAAAGACCAGTGTCCTTATTAGAGCCGCTCCATCCCACATCTCAAGCTCAAATCGAAGCACGCTCTCCAGCTTAGTCATCGTCGTCTGCGACATCCACCTCTATATACTCATAGTCCTTATCTTTCAGGTTGTCGGGTTCCTCCTCGCAGTCGCTGGTGCTCCCCCGCTCGAGCATCTCCATCCACGCCTTGGCTAGTTCTTTCTCGATGTGGTCTTGTTGAGGCTTCCACTCGAAGTATAAGTCTGCCCACTGAGCCAGGAGCTCGAAGAAAACGTCTAGAAGTCCGTTGGGGTCATAGACTTCGGCGAATTTAGTGGGGTTCTGGGCCATGAGGAGGATCGGCTCGAAGACTCGCGTATTCCAGAGGAACATGGTCCATTCGTGCGCACGTGGGAGACGGACAAGACTCGTGATTGTGGACAGCTTAGTAGCATCAATAGCTGGATTTCCAGCCAACGTGTTTTTGTAGTGCTCGGCCGTCCCATTCATGCCTGTCTCACATTTCAGTCACGGTCTGTTTGCATTATGCCGATATATTTCAAGATACACCAGCTCCTCGGGAGAATAGTATCCTTGGGTAGAACTTACTAGGCTCGTCAGGCATGCTCTGACTGTAAGCCTCCTGCGAATCAACGTCGCTTCCGTTGATGGACTCATTCTTGCCCGCAGTGATAGTAACTGCACATTCCTTGCCAGGTCCATTTTGACCCTGGCTACTTGGTGTCATTAGTCTGATCGGCTTGGTCGTAACGCTTGTAAGAGTGAGTGGAAGTCCCATCTTGTAGGCGATGATACGACTTCGATAGTCAAGCATCGGTTCGCCTCCCTTTTCTAAGAGCTCTGGGCTGATAGCTGCCCTGTAGTTATGCTGGTCAATGCCTCTATTTCGGAACAAACTTTGTAGTCAGCTTACATGTTGTTGATCATCGTCAGTAGCAGAGCTAGCTCTTCCTTGCTCAGTGGGCAAATAGCCAGGATGTTACCCTCGTAGACATCTGGTACGGCTACATCAAAGAAGCCAAAGGCATTCCGCAGATATGGGCGGATGGCAATCTTGCCAATTGGATCCATCTTGCAGCCGACTAGAGACGAGCAATAGCATATTCTTGAACTGGGCAAAACCTGCGACGAGAGGTGCAGAAGCATGCGACGAAAGCTGGAAAATATTAGGACAAAGGTGCAAGTAGGCCAAGAGGGTAGGCACGTATGTTCCCTAGACGTAGGAGGAATTTAGCTGCAGAGAAATTCACCTGGAGACGATCTTTCCAATAAGTGTGTGACACAAGGTGTGTGACGATGTGTGCGAGCGCCGAGCCGTAAGTACTGAATCGAATCACATCACTATCCAGCTCTGGCTTGATGCAACGTGTGGTAATAGCAGGAAACATTCATATGTTCTTGTGCCTTCTCATACTGGTTGCGTCTGGCGGCATGAACGTATGTGTGAAGCCGCATTCTCAAATATGCGGCTGGAGCTTGAGATCTGATTTGCAATCATGAAGATCTGAAGATCCCTTTGAAAGGGTAAAAGCGGACCCGGAGTGGATGATGAGAATACATGTCTTTGTTTGCAGCTGTGCAAGAGATGAACAATGAGATTTTCAGCACAATGGAACGCGATGTGCTCTTGGGAAAGACAGGGCCATGTTGATTTCATCACTGGAAAGCACTGGAAGTTCTTATGAGCCAGGATCACTTCATACGTGAGTAAATTTCGACATCCATCCGTCACAGACTGATGATATTCAACATTAATCTTGGCATGCCAGATTCCATTTTTGGACTGAGCCAGCCCGAACAAACTGAGCAGACATTCGGTAAACTGAGATGACACATTGTTACCCAGTAAAACCTTCCATAGCTGAATCTGGTTATACGGGGCAAGTATTTTGAGTGGATTATGTGGGAAGTTTTGGCCTCAGGTGTGGAGGCACGCATTGTAGTATTTAGGGACCCCCCCACGGGGCCAACTTGGAATTGGCCCATTACGCAACTTCATAACACCAGTATAGCCTCTAGTACTTGAATTCCGACAGATTCCACCACAGCCAATATTAACCCAAGTTCACTTTGTCCCGTGAAGCAGAACTGGAAAGAGTTATGGATTGTGGGAGCTATAGAAAAGATTATTGGTCATGTCGAGAAGACTAATCTCTTCAAGACATTATGGCCCCTTTTGAGCTGAATGTTACACCCAAATTGTGGGTGCCAAGTCGTTTATTACTTCCTGCACCTGGTCGGTAGAATAGGATTGGCAATACCCCTGTTGAGATCCAGAACTGGATCTTAAAAATTCTGCAGCCTCCAGAATTGGCTCTTAGGCAGACTGGGCAAGCTCCTGCAAGATATGATAGAAATTGGCACCAACTGATACTGTATGTTCCTGCCTTGGGACAAGAGTTTTTACATGCCTGTAGCAGACGAAGATCCTTACGTGCACAGCTTCTAAAGTTGGTTTTAGCGTATTCCTCTATAGTCTTCGTATGGATCAATCAATCTATAACCTCCAAAGGCAGTTTCTTTCCCTACTAAAAAGAAAGGTGGGAAACTCTAGTCTTATACCCTAATCCCCATTCGCTTGCAGCATCCAAAGGTCAGTGCGGAATTTTATGGAACAGCTGAGAAGTATACTGTAAGTAAATTGCTCAGTTCAAAGTGCTCCGAATTATAGTGTTCACTAAACCGATTACCTGTCAACACTCTTCTACCATGGCTTCCCATGATTTTGTCCAGCTACCCAAAGAGTTGCGTGTTGTCACCTGGAGGGAATGTCTCCCGAACCGCGTCATCAAGCTGGACGCACCGTTCCCAGACTTGGTACCATGGACCTCGACCCAGATCTCGAAGGCAATGGGTTCATACCATGGACTTCGGCAGCGACGTCGCCAACGGCAGACGTTGCTGGCACTATAAGCTACACCATAATATTTTGTCAGATGGCGATCTGGAGACTAGTCAGCCCTAGATTCGAGGGGTTGCGAGAGAAGAAGTGAATAAACTTGTGAGACTATGAATATCAGTCAGACCAGAAAATCATCTACAAAGTGGGTACTATGCCAAGCCCATACCGCATTCAACCCACTTGGCTACTTCAGTTGAATATTTTCTTGCGCAGCCCGTTCGAAAACTCCCTTTCAGCGTATTTGCCTGCTCTGACTTTATCATCTGCTTCGCGTGCCAGTCGTTCCTTCTCTTCCAAGGCTGCAAGACGTTTCTCCCGATCCTGATCCAGCTCTGACGCAGCTGATTGCATGGCTGCAAGTTTCCGCGCTCGCTCGTCTGCAACAGCTGTGTCTGAACCTGCGCCAGTACTCCCGTTATTGGTATTTTCCCTCGCGTCGTTGGGTCTACCACCGCCATTGTATTGTGGTCGTCTGTCGTGCGCTCTTGATCTGTCCTCAGGATCGCGTGGCTTTCGACTGCGGGTATCTCGAGTGTCCCCCTCTTCTGAATCAGAGCGCCTCTTCTCATAATTATCGCGACTTCCTCGTTGGACTATGTCCGCGGAGTCGTATGTTTTGGTACGACCGTTCGTTGTTCTGTCTTCTAAATGATCCCGCCTCCTCCAGTATTTATCCTCATCAGACCTCGATAGACGCGGGCTTCTTGATCGGTCGTGTGAGTCGGTTCGTCGATGCGGGCGTCGGCGCTCCCTCGAGCCATCCCTGTCTCTTGAGTCAGACCTCCTGTGACTCCGATGTCTGTGTTCTCGTTCTCTCGAGTGCGACCGGTGCCTGTGGTGATGACGATGCCGCCTGGAATGTCGATCCTCCTTGCTCTTGGCTGATTTCTCGTCGCTTTTCCCCATTGATGCAAGCAGCTGCTGCCTTTTGGTTGGGTCGCGCATCATGGATTCGTATGCTTGCTGTTCCTGTTTCTTGATTGCAAGTAACGGGTCCTCCCTGATCTTCGCAGCAGTGTCGCGCTCGGTATTCGCGTTCTGCAATGCCATAAAGCTTTCCTGGCCAGCCTGCTTCTCCAGCTTCTGATGATCATTCCCTTTCAGAATGGTGTCGATTCGTCGCTTTCCGAGAAGATATGCCTCGAGTTCTTCGCTCGTACCGCCCTGTCCATCGCTGGGGCCATTCTGGTACATCCAGTCCACGCGGTCGAGTCGTTTCCGACCACCTGCGGCTTCGAGTTTGTCTTGGAGCTCCTTCTGAGCGCGTTCCTCTTTGATTTCCTGCCGGCGCTGCTCGATTCGTTTACGCTCCTCGAGCGCCTTCTGCTCTTCCTCCCATACTCGCGCTTGATTCTTCAGGAGCCCGGGATGGAAACTCTTCTTCGTATTGAGATCACCACCCATGTTGGCTAGTGGTGTTGTAAATGAGTAATCGTGGTAGTTATTCGTATGAGTTTTGACTTAGTGAGATCCAGCGGCAGTTGTTAGCTTTGTTTAGTTTTGACGGCGATGTTGGGCGTGATGAAGTTGGGGATAAATATAGGTGCAGCCTCGTGTTTTCGGTCGCCTTTGTTGCCACAGCTCCAAACGCCAAGGCCAAGAAGCAGCCTGCCACCCCGGGAGCTGACAGGGTGGCCCACTAGCCACAATCGTACCTTCCCCGCCGTCTCCCTAGTATCCCCTAATCGATAAGATAAGTTGAATTATCTGAGTAACGATCGCCGTCCCACCTCAGCCTTGTAGCGACATTAATAGCTTCAAGGCGAAGCAAACAGCAGCTTTTCCCCTCACCTACCATTCACAACTCCCCTTCTCGCATCCTATTTTATTGAGATCAATACCCATTTTTCCCAAGACCATACAATTCACCCAAATGCAGCATTGACCGCCAACCGTCACCATGTCAGATGATGATTTCATGCAAGAATCCGACGAGGAGCAGTACGAATCGGTCCTCCACTCACCGAAGTCGCATGCTGACATAGTCTCTAGGTACGACTTCGAGTACGAAGATGACGACGAGGAAGAGTCTGGCGACGTGGGTATCGAGAACAAATACTACAATGCAAAGCAAATGAAGAGCAGCGACCCGGAGGACGCTATTGTCGAATTCCTGGGTATACCGCCACTAGAGAAGGAGAAAGGTGACTGGGGCTTCAAAGGACTGAAGCAGGCCATCAAGCTCGAGTTCAGACTGGAGATGTATGACAAGGTGCTTTCTGCCCGCTACCATACCTTTGTGCTCCAAGATCTGAACTAACCGATGCTGCAGGCAATAGAGCACTACACGGAACTTCTGACATACGTCAAGTCCGCCGTAACCCGAAACTACTCGGAGAAGTCTATCAACAATATGCTCGACTATGTTGAGAAAGAGTCCGAAACAGAAGGGGCTCGCAAATGCCTGGAACAGTTCTACTCCCTCACACTGAACTGTTTCCAGAGCACAAACAACGAGCGGTTATGGCTGAAGACGAACATCAAGCTTGCCAAGTTACTGCTGGATCGCAAGGACTACCTCGCAGTTTCTCGAAAGCTGCGGGATCTGCAGAAGGCCTGCCAACGAGAGGATGGCTCAGACGATCCCAGCAAGGGCACTTATTCGCTCGAGATCTACGCTTTGGAAATTCAGATGTACTCCGAGACTCGCAACAACAAACAGCTGAAGCTGTTGTACCAAAAGGCGCTTAAGGTGCGCTCGGCGGTACCTCATCCCAAGATCATGGGGATTATTCGTGAATGCGGTGGCAAGATGCACATGAGCGAAGAGAACTGGAAGGATGCGCAAAGCGATTTCTTCGAGTCCTTCCGCAACTACGACGAGGCTGGTTCGCTGCAACGGATCCAGGTCCTCAAGTACCTGCTGCTCACCACCATGCTCATGAAATCCGACATCAATCCCTTCGATTCCCAAGAGACGAAGCCCTACCGCAACGATCCGCGCATCGCAGCCATGACGGAGCTCGTAGATGCTTATCAACGCGATGATATGCACCAGTACACGAAAGTTCTGCAAAGAAACCAGGATGTTCTTACTGATCCCTTCATTGCTGAAAACATTGACGAGGTTACGCGTAATATGCGCACCAAGGCAGTGGTTAAGTTGATCGCCCCCTACACGCGCATGAAGCTTGCTTGGATCGCGCGTCAACTCAAGATCACCGAAATTGAAGTACAAGATATTCTGGGTTTCTTGATAGTCGACGGCAAGATCCAAGGCAAGATTGACCAACAAGCGGGAACTCTGGAGATCGAGTCGGATGCTGACGCTGAGCGCATCAAGGCTATCGATGCCTACGCAAGCGCACTGGCCGGACTCTATTCTGCCATCTTCGAAGGTGATGGCTTCAAGAGCACGGATACCAACGTACCCGATGACCCGATGGTGATGGGCATGGGCCCGATGTCTGGTTTAGAGGCGAGGACATTGCGCTTCGGTAGCAAATCAGGCAAAGGAAAGAAGGCAACATGGCTGTAGTAGAAGTATTTATGCCTTGGGAAGTTGGTTGCCTAAACTGGCGATCCTTAGCCTCACCCTGGCTAACCAGGACAACGTGGAGATGATGCATGAATTGATGCCGAATAAGACTTTGCTTCCCAGTAGCTTAGAATAATGATATATTGGTGGCCTGCCAATTGGGAGATTTCTAGTACTCCAAGTCGTTAAGTCTTGGTCAATATTTCACCGGCCCCTCAAGCTGGTAGCACCTATGCGCACAAGATTGTGGCAGATATTGGAAGTCGTAGCTGCTGAAGAAACGAAAGGGCAATGATGGGAACTAAGAGTAGCACGTAACACGTCACACATTCAGTCGAGCTCGACCGTGAACTTCTGCCTCCATCTTTCTCTAACCCGTATGAAAAGGAATGGCAGTGCTACAAGCCCCAGGGCGAGGAAGACGAGAAGAGAATCTCCCCAGACTGTCGTACACTTGAAGGCCTGCAGCACTGCATCAGCAATAGCTCGCAGTACGCTGGCCGCTGCTATTGTACTTGGAGCGTTTTGATTGTAGAAATTAATCAAGTACACATGGGGGGACCAGATATTAGGCTGACCAGCCGTAGATCAACAGGCCGGTGTCAGGGTACGGCTAGGCCGCAGGCAATTAGTACAGAGTAAAGGGGAAGAAACGGTCACCTCTACTGCTAGTCACCTGGTGGTCACAAGTAGTCTCAGGTAGGGTTAACCAGACTAGTTCATTGATTTCTGCCCTTCCTATCTTCCTCCGAGATGTCTCCCTTACATAGATAGCTAGTTCCCCGTATTCGGAGAAGCCGAGCTCGGATATCGGACCAGCAGGGCACCAGGTCCTCCAGTTCCTCAATATACTAAGATTTCTATATTAGGTCATAACTCGTGAGTCCTTAGACCGGCGTCTCACCGGCGCCCAACCGGCGCCGAACCGGTGCCTCTGTATCTAGCACTCTGACAGCCGGTTGGTGTGGCAATGGCGTTATATATCAAGCCTTCCAAGTGGTATCCTGATGGGACATATCCCAGTGCATTCCTCAAATACGGTTTCTTGCACAATATCGGGGGCTTACTCTGGCATTTCCTTTCCAAGTTTCTTAGTCAGACGTTAGTACGTGTCATCGCAGACGACACCAGAAATCATTAACGAGCGCAACATGCACATAGTTAAGCCAAAGTATAGCACGCCAAACCTTGAACCGTTGAAGTGGTAATACTCTTCAGAGAAAAAAGAAAAGGTCGAAAAGAGGAGGTACAGGAGTTCGTACACGGTGGCAATGTAGACATAAGCCGGTCACAATAGGCGATCAAAGTAGCATTCTCACAGGTCGGGCGACAGCGCGTTCCAGAAGCCGAACCGGTGACAGCGGCTGTCTCTTTACGCAGTCTTCCGGCCTCGCGTCTGAGTAGCTAGAGTCCCGGTTAGCCTGTCGTCCGAGTGGAAGACTTGGAGAAGCTGAGAGGCAGTGAGCGGAATAGCTGATGAAGCTGGGGATCTGTTTTTTGTGAGTTAATTCGTGGTTCTAATAGGACAATAAAGCACTTTGTTATAGATCAAAAATAAAAGAACTTGAACCTATATGTAAAAGCTTGATTTCCCTGTAGATGAACTTAGATGACACACCTACGGACGCACTACTATAATACATCACAATAATAACCTATCGTACTCATTACTCTTTTACTTCACGAATCTAGCCGGTAGTAATACACAAATATCCGCTGTACACTCGCAGCCTTCTAACAGTTCTGCTCTTTACGAGTGAAAAGAGAGAAGGGTTGCTACCTTATGGTGGTCATGAGCTTGACAACTCCGATTGTGTATGCTCCCGTAAGGACCAACTCCACCGGTTCTCGGGGTCATCTGATCCATCCCAGACCAATCATTTGAGGAGCTTGGGTTTCCATCAGTAGCTGGATTTGGAGCGACTGCGGCGTTGCCAGCTGCTGCTAGTTCCAAAACGTGATCGGATAGAATTCACGATTCGTCCCCCGAAATATAACGGATTGTGTAAGTCTTACCTGCAACTTCTCTGGATTTGGATCTAGGCCTGAAGCTGGAATCGCAGACTGTCCTTTCTCATCCATCACGCTGACGGTCGTTTGTCATGGAACGGTTTAGAAGACACGGAGACACCATTGCTCCTGCTTCTTTGCGCTGAGATACACCCAGTTAGGCAATCAATTGTCCGCATAATGGGGCTGAATTGAAGCCTTCTTGAGCATCTGGGCTGAATCTGGTCACGAATATGCCCTGGAACACCTATATACTTGCCAATCCCCAACTTCAGTCAAGACCCACGGTAGTATCCAGCCGCATTGTCCACCTTCTGCACGCACCAATTATCCACTTATGAACCTTTACACGTGTAGAACGTGAGACGCCAAGAGACAACCGTGTCTTCAACGATGGAGGTCAAGGGATTCAGTCCTGTATTGATGACTCTGTGTGGATCCTGGAGTGATTGTTCTGCGCTACGTGTTGTACTTCATTGGTTGGGGGAAGTGCTATGTAGAAAGCTATGTCTGTGAAGACTAACTACACTTACCGCTACACCGCCTTCGCCGTAGGGTATATAACTGGCGCTCAATACCACAGCAGTCAACCAAGTAACAGGCCAACTCTTCGACAAAACCTTGGAGGTAACACCCAGCAACTCATATCCATTCACCAGTTCACGCACCATGGCATCCACAAATGAAACGCCCAATCGAATGAACCTCGGCCTTCCTTTCAGGGCCTGCTCCAGCCCAGGCTGCCCCGTGAGGTTCAACCTTGTCAGAGGTGGTACCTGCGCAGCCACCACCACTACTTAGTTCCAGACCAACAACACTAGCCTAGCTTTCTTTCCTCACCATAATACACTTCATTTCTATTGTGTGTCCCTCAACAAACCTCTTGCAATGCGGGGGCTGCCGTGTGGTCGTCTACTGCGGCCCCGAGCACCAGAAAGCCCAATGGCGCTTCCACAAAACCACGTGTAACCTGATCAAGGAATCGCGTGAGAAGCTGCGTGCAGAGGAGGCGGCGCTGCGCGCACACCCGCCAGACCCCTTCAAGAGCGTACCCGGCAACTTTTGGTCCTGGTCGGGCACCAGACCCTACATGCAAGCAAGGCATGATTTGATGTCGGCTACGCTCAATGTTCGCACTGGTGAGGCTGTGCAGATTGCGTTGGATAATTGTCTCGAGACGCTGCGGCTTTGCCGTGAGGATAATCTGGGTGTTAGGGAGCAGGTTCCGTCTTTGTACCTCCGTCTTGGCCGCGATCAAGATGCGTTTGATTTCCTCAAGTGGTACGATGTGTGCGTCACGGATACTTACGACTGGAGCGACATGGATCTTCCGTTCCTGGATCTGCGAGACCAGGATGCCTTTGCGCCATGCGATTTGGAGAACTGTTCGGAGTTGGCGTTCTTGGTGGCTATGGCGAATCTCAAGATGAAGCTGCTGCTCGATATGAAGATGTTGCAGGTTTGTATCAAGAAGCATGGCAACAAAGACTTCGAGACGAAGATGGAGTGGGTGCGCCAGGATGCCATGACGGATATTGTCTACAAGCGACGGGATATTCTCGAGCGTGATGACTACGCTGAGATCATTTCCAGTCTGGAGAAGCAGGTCCGCACGACCTATGGTCGTGTCAAGAAGGCGAATAAGCACTATTGGCCTGCGCTGCAAGATCCGGACCGCTATGCTAGTGTCGCCCCGACGACATATGCGCCTGGGTCGCGGGAGCAGGTTGTTCTCACTTTCAGGTATACGTGGTACACCTAATCGGAATGCGCCGCCGCTCTCGGAATGGCCAAGAAGCTAGGAAGTGGTCGGTTATACTGAGATAGACTGGGTACAGCATGTTGTTAGAAGGTGGCATTGAGCTACTCTAAAAGTAAAACATTCAACTAAGATGGTGTAGTAGCTACAGCAATGTCCAACAGGCGCAGACGGTATTATCACATGACTACAGGAAGCAGCTGATTTGGAAATGTCGAAATCATAGAAAGTTAGATGGAGCAAAATATCAAAGTTGACGCAGAGGCATAAGTGGATTCCAGTTTTGGCCGTACATTCATTTCTTGTGTGTCGTCATTTCGTAATCCACGTAATCCGATGATACATGTCAGCTTACATATCGAGGTGTAAGGCCTGCCACCTTAGTCATACCCACTTTCCACTCTTTGAAGTAGTAAAATGACTGACCATGTCAGATCTTGGACAGGGTGCTCCGTTGGAATCCGGATCCAGAGGCAGGCGCAAACTTGCTTGGTTGAAACTGTATTTGGAAACCTTCCCTCGACGGCTGGAGGTCAGTCCCCAGCCTATTCCATCTTATTCACATCGACATTACTACTACCATCCTGCGACCTCCCAATCTACCGTCTACACCTCATAGAACCAACAAGGCCGGGACTCCCCAACAACTAGAGAACACCAGTGGCCGATTGGAAAGCATTCGTCCCTCATAGGTTTAGCCAACAGTGTCTCCCAGAACATACACCGTCATCACGTACATGTCCTTGGGTTCCTGTACTGAGTGTCTGAGTGATATACATACAATTATGCGAATCGTCAACCTCACGAAGCCTCCGACAAATAAGGTCTCCATGAGTCACGACGCCAACCCCATACATCATGGCAACACTCTCTGCACATACAATTCAGTCGTATATATCAATCTTCAACTAATCAAAGACGATAACCGACCAGACCCTAGTGAGGTCACGCCTGCTTTCCTTTGTTTGCGTACGTGGATTTTGGTCGATTCATTCGCTAAATATGGGCAAGGGTAAGTTCAAGTTCCCTGCGTTTGTTCCACTTCCTACAATTCGGTCATTGGTGTTCTTGAGATTGACGGAAGTTCGATATTTCTTCCATCTTTCTTTCATTCCAAATCAAGTTTTGATTGCTCTATTTATCATTGCAGATGTGGCAACATGAGCAATCCCGAGCCTCATGTTATACGAGTTTCGTTCTAATTATGTTGCAGTAAATCTGGCAGTTGCCTTGGCATGTAAGCGCTGCGTACCTTACATTGCCACCCCCAATCTCACCCACGGCTAGATTTGCAGGATCCTAAAACCGGTATTGAAACCTTGGTGATTGGTCACTCGCAACAATTTCGCAACCTATATTTGGCAGACCCGTGCGAACAGCTTCTGTGCAACCACGTCCTGCATCTTCGGACCGTTATGCAAGGGGCCAGCTGAATAGCTGTCATGGGATAGAGTCTCCCAGCGACTTGTGGAACACAAGACATGGAATGTAGAAGAGTTGAGAATCCTTCAAGCAACTTTTCACTTTCTGCGTCTCCCCCTTTCTGGATCTCCTTTTTCTCTATTTTCTCCTGTAGCACAACATTAATATCCGCAATTTCTAGTCCCAATCCACGACCAATCGGATTTAAACATGGGAAGCGAAAACCGTGGGCCTCTTACTACGACCTTCACGGCCCCGAGCTCGTGTAGTACCGACCTATCGAAGCTATACCAAGTCGTCACTAATGGTGGCGAAGAGTACTGGGCTCAGGGACCTATCAATTTGGGCAGTTGTTTCCCTAGTGGATACGGTGGAAAGACGAGCGAGTACTACTCTCCAGGCGTGTGTCCCAGTGGTTACAAGCCCGCGTGCACAGGGACAAATGTCAAGGAGATGGCAACAGAAACAGTATATACGTGCTGTCCGACAGAGCGCGCATACACCTGTGCTGACGACAACCATCAACCTGGATGGGGTGGTTGCTACTATGACCTGCCATCCTCGGTTCTGACATCGGTCTACCACGTCGAGGGGGGCTCGACAAGTCTCATGAAGACCGTGACTTCTGCGTCTGGTGCAATTCATGCGCACAGCATACAAGTCAAGTTTCAGCCCACCGACTTTGATTTACTAGTAGCAGGATCGGTAAGTGAGCACTACTTAGTCTTCGGACAATGGACGGATCATCCATTGTAGCTAACCAAAAGACAGGCTGATTTCCGGCAGACCAAATTCCCGTCGATCTCGGGAACTAGCACCACCGAAATATCAGCAACCAGCACGGCCGCCTCGTCCAGCAGGGGTAATAACACATCCAGTGGACTAGGCACTGGCGCCCTAGTAGGAATCAGCATAGCGGCCGGCGTCCTCGGGACACTGATCGTGGCTGCGGTTGTGTTCCTGTTCAACAAGAGGAAGACGAGGATGGAAACCTCGGCAAAGAAGCTTCAAAACGAAAAGATGGCAGCATATGAGCAGGCGGGTTCAATCACCAAGGATTGGCATTTTGGATTAAAGGAGATATCGACACACCCTAGGCGTCTTGATTATGAGGTAGACGCCTCACTGGAACAGCTCCAGGGGCAAACAGCGGAGCACAACCCGCTGCCGACATTTAGGATGGAGGTGGATGCCTCGAGCCAGCGGAAGTACCCAGCGGTGCTGCCTAGCAGTTGGATATAACGGACGAAAGGGGAAAAAGCAAGAACGAAGATTGATATTTGATAGTCTTGTCATAGTTGGGGCCTTCGGGGTCTGAGTTCTTGTCTTGCGGATGGCAGTTCGTATTGGCTCGTGGAGTTCTTCTACGCATCAATGGGAATAGGGGACAGCGCGAGCTTAACATGATTTATATTCAAATGTACTATTTACGGGTAGATGTTTGGCGGAGCAGGATGGTCGGAGTATTGGGTGTTTTTATTTTAGTCACTGGGGATGATCCCGAAAGTTTTTAATATGTATAGATAGAGACCACAACATGTGTATATTAGTCGATAAACTATGTTGGTGTTAATTGATGGTATTCGTCTTCTCAAAACATCCTTGAATTAATTACTAAGCGTTTTCTAGATCAAGCCGTCCACAGAATTATATCAGCAACCTTTGATTGGATACTTGTACTTAATGTGGGTGTGAGTTAATATACTTGTATTACGATTTCTTCTCTCCATCAAACACCCTCCCACCCCCTCCCCCCAACCAAGTCTTGCAATGTCAGTCTAGAGCATCGTCAAATTTATCAGAAGAAAGTGTCGTAGGAAGGAAGTTCCGAAATTAACTGGTATCCATTGAGCGATGGAACAAAGCGGTACAGAATCGGACAAATCCAGCTGTTATATAAGAAGCACCTTGATGTCGAAACGACTCCCAAATTAATTCTGTGCAGGGTTTCTGTCGGACAAAAATAGCCCTTTGGTGCCCACAGGCTATATTAGAGTTTCTGGGTATTGGAACTATTGGCCGGGCCTTCCAATCTCTTCAGCCAAGCCGCTTACCCCGTAGTATCCGCTCTGATACGGTGCGTACATTGGAATCGTTGCATATCTTCATTTACTTAAAGACCCTGATGGCCCATTGCGCTCATTGTCAGATTGGGTAGAGACACATTGAATTCTATGCTTTGTTGTAGCTTACAATAAGTTCGATAGTTTCCACTGCATACACTCCTTTCTTTTCGCCTGCAAAGTGTGGGAGAAGCTATGCACAAGCACTGTAAAGTCCTGCACTTGACGTAGAGACCTGGTAAATATTACCATCAATTGCGCAGCGAATGAATGAAATATAACTCTTCAACACTAGGGGTGTCCATTATAATTAGGTCATATCGTTCGGACGGCCGTAGCCCGGAATTTGTGCCGCGTGGAGAGGCAACTCAGGCGTATTTCGAGAGTTGTGTCGCGTCTCAGCTGATATTCGCAGATAGAAGCGTATCTTTGATGCCCTCACGGGATTGTGCGGCAATTCGGCCGGGGGCGGAGGGTGGTGGGGAAGCTCATATATTTCAGATCCTTCAACGGGTAGCTCGGCCTTCCCATACCCAGGGGCTTGTGCCCAGTCTGGTTGTGTCTCGAGATATTGATCAGATGAGTTTGGTCTTTTTGTTGGTTTGTTGGTTGCCGCTTTTCGTCTTCTGTGCCACCATACACCTAACAATACCAGAATAGCGATACTGGCAACCGTCACTACAGCTGTGCCGGAAACCTCGCTCCCCGACACGCCCGGTGTTGGGGCTGGAGTACTGGTCGATTTACTGGATGGGGTGGGATATCCGTTGGTTGGCTGTTTTGTCGCAGAAGTCGCCGTGGGTGTAAGTATTGTCGAGGGTGACAATGTGCGCGAGAGCGGAGCTGCAGTCAAGGCTGAGGATGTTTTCGAGGTAGAAGATATCGTCAAACGCGGAGCCGACGTCCCGACCATCATCGTAACCTGGAGAGGGTAAACGGGATGATATATCGTCAAAGGGACCTCCTCCTCCCCCAAAGCAGAGAGAGGCGAGGACTGGAATAAGCCTGCTTCGCCATTGGCGTCGGTCCAGATCTCAGTGAAGGTGCTAAGTGAACTGGTGCAGTCTCTTCGGCCGTTCTGGGGTGCACAAGTCCACGCGCCAGGTGGGCAGCAATGTATTTGGACGTAGTTTGTGTCGTCAAAGCCGCTCAGGGTACGAGTGCATGCCGTCGTCCAGCCCTCTACACATTCTGTCCCGGGAAGTGCCACAGTAGATATGTCTTCTGGATCATGCGGGTCTATGTAAGCGGCACAATGCATATAATACGATTCTAGAACGGTAGGACTTACCATATGTTCCCGCCTTGAAAAATATGTCACTATACCCACTAGGGTAACAACTCGTGACGAGGTTATCGAACCACGTCGTGCCCATGAAGTCAACATGGTAGCACTCCTGGCCGGCCGAAACCGTCGTCGATGGGCAGTATACCGCTCCCGTACAGCCCCATACCGTAGTAGGCTGCACGAATGGTGTGGTCTGTGGCGGGAGTGTGAATGTCGACGTGTAAATACCACTGACCGTGCGTGTGGCAATGAACGGCGAGCACAACCTCGTCATTTGTTGCAACATAGCAACCGCTTGACTACTCTATGGGAACCGGTAGGCAATCTGGAACCCCGATCTCGAGTGATACGGAGGAGAAAAAGTAAAAGGAGGCATTTTTTCTGGAGGGGAAAGGAAATCGTTCAAGTTGACATCGTGGAAATGAAATGGGAAGCTGTGAGCGGCGCAGCCAAGTGAGTGCAAGCCGATTTTCTTGCATAGAGTGAGTGACTGCATAATAGTGACTGCCGCGCAGGAGGATATGTCACCAGAGCGAGATGGATGAGATCAGCGGTCGTCACTGATTGCCATTGCACAATGCTGTAAGCGCCGACTATTGTGAAGGGCTTTGGCCCCGGCGTACCTGCAAAGGTCACTGCATTTCAGCCCCTACATGTATTTGGGGGCATATTTCAATGACACTCTGCAAGTTTTATTAGGCGTTGCACAGGGGCGTCTATTTTTTATTTTTATATTCGTTTTTTCTTTGCGATAGTTAACAAACTGCTTGAATCATAAAAGGACGTTGTACTGGTTAATCCGGGGCACACGCGATCCAGCACGACCGAACAGGTTTAGTTGAAGAAAAGAAAAGAGGCGAAGTAAACAACCAACCTGTCTAGCACAGCACCACATCAATGAATCAATGGAGACGGATATGTTTTTTCTGCTAGGTTTCTGATGTGTTCGCACTATTTTCATCCCACACTATCTCGTGTCTGACCCCAATGCTCGTCAAGGGGATATCTACACTCTGCACACTTGGTGTCCTCCTCCCGCTGACAATAGTCTTTCTTTCACTGCTATACCCTTTCGGCCACAAGTTAGTCTGGGAAGCACCACCCTCGGAATCATCCAGCCGCTCAAAGGACCCATTCACAATATTACCACCTTTAATCTTAGACGATCGGTTGATTGGTCTATTGGGCCCGCCACCAATGGTCGCATTGACGCGGAAATTGCTTGGTCCGCTGGAGTTCTTTATGGGCTTTTTCTTGAAGAGCCCCCCGATGACCATGTTTATCAGCGGGCGCATGGTGGGCAGACAGGCGCAAATAATGCCCATGGCTGGTTCTAGGATTGTCCACACCCAGAGAGATGTCGCAGCTACTATTGTGCATTAGTTTGTCGACTTAGGACTCTTTTGGTAGCGCTAACTTACAGGTCATATCGAGATTTTGTCCGTCTCTCAGGAAATAGAGACCGCTTCCAAGTCGAACGCCACTTATCACAATAACCCTAAACCGTGTTAGCCATCCGATATGTGGGCCTGGTTCTCATGATGACTTACGCGCCGGCCAACAGGAAAGTTCCCCCTATCCCCACCTTCTTTGGCACATCCATCTGCAATTTGCAGACTTCATATAGAGGCAACGCCAGAATCATAATATCAATCGCGATGTTGGGTATAGCGATGCCGACAAAAATGTTGTATGCGCTGATGCATTTCCCCTCGATCTCCATCCGCCAAAGCTTGTAGATGGGTACACACTGCACGAACGACACAACCTCGCCGGCGATGAACCACATGCCGGCCATGGCTCCGAGCACGTGCACGCCCCAGTTGACCAGAGAGGTTGGGAAAATGCGCCGGTACATGCTGATCACGGATGCTTTGATTAGTGTGATGATGGTCGTGTAAATGAGCTCGACGGCGAACAGGCATTGCAAGCCCTGGGCCACTCCTTCGGAGTTGTTCTCTAGGTTTTCCTGTAGCGGTCGGCCTAGGCCTCCGATGTAAACGGCTGAGGGGCGGGCGTTAGAAAATGCGACGATGTTTAAAATGGTTCTAGACGACTTGAAGCTCACCTAAGATAGCGCATATCATGATTGCGTATAGGAAGGGCTTGGGGGGTGCGGGCGGTGTTAGCGATGTGCAGCATTGTCTGGCAGCGCATGTGAGTAATCAGGGAACATACCAACGAAGCTACGATGAGCCAATCGTCGAGATCAAGGTGGCCACCATGAGATGTTCTTAACCGAACCCGCAGCACAACAATAACTGTAGCCAGGGCGCTGAACGTGATACCTATGCCAACCACGGCTCCGCCGCTTGCGTAGGCACCGTACACGAACTCCCGCTCTGTGTACATGACATCGCGAACCAAGAGGTGCGGCATCGTTGTTCTTAGTTTGGGTGGCGTAAAAGGAGGCGTTGAATATTCGTTTGGGCGGACTATAGTAATCCGAACTGGGTTGCCGAGGCTGTCGCCGCGCGACTGCAACACATATCGTTATTACGGTCCGTAGTGCGAAAACAACTACAGTTATTAGTCAAAGACTATGAGCCAAGAGCCGACAAAATGATATATCAGGTGAAGAAAAGTTGGAACCGATCGGAAGAAAGTCTTAACAGAAGAAACACTAGACCGAGCGCGCCAAGACTGCCCGCGCCGCAGTGCACTCGTCCCGTAACTGATTATCCCGGGGAGTCTAGAGCCGTTTGTGCCAACCTGGGCAACGCAAAGGCCGAGCGGAGGCTCCGCTGTCATTACGCTGATCAGCACTATTACGCTCGGACACTAGATGCTGGACGTTAGTGCGGATGATTTGGTTGCAAATCGAGGCTTTCCCAAGTGCTGCCAAGTTTATCATGGAGTTAATGTGTAGACTGTTTTGTTGGCAGAGAGGGGGACGGAAAGGCTAACAGCCACGTCGCGGTGCTTTCACAGGTACTATTTGTTGCCGTTCCAGTGCTGCTACCGTATTCAGACTTCACATCGTGAGATTGTTGCATTCGTTTAGAAAACTGCCGTTGCGGATCTGTGACCCTGCAAGATATGAGAAATGATATGAATTGAAGTGGGTAAGGGTTAGCCTCATTACCGAACTTGGAAAACCTCCGACACGCAGACGAACTAGGGGTGACAAGTTAAGTGGGGGAATCTATACCACTTTGGATCGTCGAGGCATCACCATCCTTGGACCTGGAATACAGCCATCAGGGATTATGAAGTCATGTAAGGTAGCATCGCGGCAGGTACAGTCTGTGTGTCCTTGGATTTTATCTCAAAATAGGAGTCGGGTTTTAGGTGGACGAGAGAATTCAGGTTTTCGGTGGACAAGAAGATTCAATGCCCGGCTCACCGAAGAAACCCGAGCTCTGGTTTCGCAGATGCTTGGCTACCATTGGAAGGCACTCGGAAACGACATTTCGTTACTGGAAAGTGATCTATCGGCCGAAATTTCACCACCGGGCCCCTTTCAAGTACCAGAATAAACTCGTTGCAAGAACAAACATCTCGTTTTCTTCCTATGATCCACCACCTACGACCCAGCAGATCCACTGTCCTTAAAGAAATGGTTGAATCTGAATTAGACCCCGTAACATGACTGTCATCAACAAGGTGGACATTGTCTGCTGTGAGCTGTCGGCAAACAGCGCCGCTGTCATGAGAATTACGGGACACTACCGCGGGACTCCCGAGGGTCAATGCACGTCCGATTCGTCACCGCAAGCACAGAGAGCGAACCGGACACGCGATCAAGGCAATAGGGCCTACATTGGCAGTCTGGGATGAAGTATCAGCCTCAAGCCTTTCCCGAATGGTGCTCATTCTTTTTGGAATGCTCGAGGATTATTCATGACTTCTATATGACGGACTCTATTGTTGTGATGAGAACCCGAGCGCAGATCTACCGGTTCAGCTTTGACGGCCGCTCAAGTTTGGGACTCAAATCTCTTACAAGCACCCGATGCTGTGGATATAATGAGAGAGTTTTGTAAGCAACTATTCGATACACTAGCATAGTGTGTACTGAATTGAAAAGCTCCCGAGATTGACCCGTTTCGCTATCTGTCACGATGCTGTACTCTCTCGCACTACCCCATCTTGTTTCCACTAAAATCTTGGATAATGTTTACTCCGGGTCCGTCAATCGCTTCTCTGAGCCGCCATCGTCCACGAGGAATTCTTCCCCTCTGCCCTCCGCCTGGGCCGTGGTGTAGCACTTAGTTCCGTTGCATAGTAATCGTCCGTTCCCTACGCACTGATCGAACGTGTTGTGCCGCCCATTTCTCGGTCATTGGTTGCTGGGATTTGTAATCTGTGTAGAAGGGTCGAAGCGTGGGGTTGCTAATACATGAAATGCCCAAGAGAACCTCCAAGACTCAAAGGAAGACGGTTGCGGGCATGCCGCCTATGAGGTTGCCTCACATGTCGTTGGTGAAGACGGTAGCCAGTCTAACGCAGGTCGTTGCGACCACTCTGGCATGTAGTCAGCGAGAATGAGAAGCGAAGGGGAGCACACCTGATGCTAGTTACGCCATGCCAAGACTTCAACACGCAGGGATGCCAATCTTTTCCATGGCTCTCACGTGTAAATTCCAAACGGCGTACATTAGCAGCCGAGGGTGATGAGATCCGTCATGATGTTGGTAATGATGAGAGAAGCACACAGACCGATCATGGCTCCAGACCGTCCGCCGGGGATAGTCACATTCCATTGGAATGGTATGGGTTGGCAGATGACTATCATACCCAGAGTGTGGCAGAGCGTAAGCTACTACCAAATCCAAAGTCATGTAGATTGTGACAATGTTGCGCCGTGATGCGAACATTCGTAGCTGCATGTCAATTAGGCGAACTTTCGAATAGGGGTGCTCTTGCACAAAGAACCTATGGCGAATTAGCTGTAACTGATACACGGCGTGTCGTTAGTCTTGCTCACAACTGATTGGTTGTGCATATTTGTATTCGCGGTGAGTGCAAATCACAAGACGAGACATCCGACACACTGTCCTGTAGAGAAAAGCAACTCACATTGGTCGTACAAGGTGCTCTCTTTGATCATAGCGTAGCTCATGCTGGCTGGAGACCATCGACCAGTATTGATATTGGCAAGTGGCGGGAACGTGGAAATCAGTGCCGCTTACACAATCCCCGAATGGCTAGGCCAAAGATGCCCATGATCTGTGGAGGAAAGAGAAAGACATGACATGATGTCAGGCAGCAAGGTTTTCGGAATATCTCCAGCCTGTGAAGCCTGTCCATAGATTTTCGACGCTGTGACGTTTTAATTTGTATATCTTAGTCTTGGTGTGTTATTTATTTTGGCGTTCATCTTTCAACTCCGTTAATAAGAGTAGTGCATATTCATTGCGTAATACCTGTTGCTACATCAGATTCGACTGTCACCAATAGGAGACTAGGTTTGGCAACATCAAGTTAAAAACCAGCAGATGTATAGACGAATTACAGTTGAAGCCGAGTTGCGCCTATAAGCGACGTCTCACTTGTGGTGGAAAATGTCAAGATGTGGCTCTTGGCACGGTGACACGCACCTTAATTCTCACAACGTCGCAAGTTTAATAACGACCGACGCTCCTATCGTAGATAACAAGCCCCTTGAAACTTTTTGACAGAATTGCCCACGCGCCAAGGCTTGGCTAACCACCCAATGCCAGGGACTACGGCCGTAGTGCACGTATCAGCGCTAACGATATAGCGGTGGTCGGTTGCCAGCAAAGACAAACAACGAAATACTTCATTTTCATGACAATCTACGCAGCTTTCGACGATTAAAACTCCTGCTTGGTTTGGTGGAAAAGTAGACGGTTCATACTGGCACGACTTGAGTGGTAAAGTTGCAAGTCATGAGGGGACACCATAGTATTATATCCGACCTTATAGCTACCAATATGACCGCATTCTGCAACGAGTGGATCCTTCATCTTGTGAAAGTCATTTGGTCCAATATATCAATGAAAGGTGTATGTGTGCCCTTGCTGTTCTGACAGCAAGTCCAGTAGAACGACCAAGAATGACCAGTCAATCATCCAGAAGTCTGGGCAGTAAACAATCAACCATATTCAGACCAGCTCGATCATGCTGGCACCGTGGCTTTCCCGATCTGTCACTCGAATAGGCTGGGTTCATCTTGGTCAATATTCCTCGATCTACTCGACTTCTCCTCACACTTGGTTCTCACAACCTCCATTCAATACTTTGGAGCAAAGACTCAACATGAGCACAGATAGCTCCTCAACAGACCTCAATGGTCTTGCTATGTATGTTTTAACGACCACCAACATCTTGTCTCCTGTGCCTTTGGATCGATCGTGTCCCGTATCGCTCCTCCACCCACGACGTCGTTTTCCGGGCTCCAGATTTGCAGCAGCGTCGTTCATAAACGAATTTTGTCACAACTTTGTTCTCAACGGCAGATGCATACATGAAACCAAACGAATGCATGAGAAATATGGCGAGACGCGTTCTTGTCATTGAACCACATGTTCTTGACTTCTATCCTTCAGGAGGCGTTTAATGCTTTTTCGAGCTCGACGTGAGTGAAGCTTTGCCTGAAGAAAAGGAACCAACAGTTACCCCTCTCTCCGAGCTATTTGTTCAGAATGGATCTTTCAGTCTTGAAGTAAGATAGCACCAACCGCAAACTCGGAGTACCTGGTATATTTACAGCCGTCGTGTACGTAGCGATGCGCCCAACTAGAGGCTAGATACGCACTAACCTCATAGTACTCGAGCACTAGTTTTAGTCCTTTCTTAGCAGTAAGCGTAATTATAAGTTGACTACAAACCTTCTATTCGTGGCTATCCGCAGGGCATGGGCCTCCGCTATATACTACGTCAACCGAGCTGGCAAACAAATCGGAGATATTACGGCGTAGACGTTCTCGCTCTCGGAAATAACTTTATTGCAGGGAAACTTGAAACGAGATACCAAATATTGATTGGGCTATTCATAGGTAATAGGTAGGTGTGCAGAGCAAAGACGTTCGTCTCTGAACCAGCAAGACTAGATAAAGGTATGACCAAAGTACCCTTGCAGAGTTTCTCATGGTGACATTAGGCAAGTCGGAGTCATTGTACCGATTTCATAATGTCCATCCATAGCTGGTAGGCAACGCATCCTGGGTATATTCGCCTCCGATGCTGCTCTCTAATCTAGTAGCGCATCTCTATAATCTACCTTTACAGTACAGAGCTTCCCTTGACCTCCTCGGTGGTCATGAACGGTGTAACTTGGGGCTTAACAGGCTTCGGCTTCGGCGGTGTTCCAGGAGGCTCGGGCGGCTTTTCATCAGAGCTAGAGCCAACATTGTTCTTCTTCTTGTCCCCATCTGCTCCTGCGTCTGGGCCTACTTGCGACTCACTCGAAGGTTGTGGTTGTCGTTGCTCCTTCGCCGAATCTGCCTTTTCCCGTGCATCCTTGGTAACATCATCGCCATCTTCGCCCTGTGCCGCAGCCGCCGCATATGATGCCTCAGACCCCTCTCGACCAGCCATTTTATCCTGTACCGAAGTACCAGTCTGAGAGCCTGACGAGCCAATGTCTGTCGTCTTCGGGCCTTCCTGTCCCGCCTCCGCTGGAGCCAAGCCTGGAACCTGAACCTGGCGGGCGTTAGCAACTGCGTCCTCGTCTGCTTGGTCAGCCAACTCCAACTTATGCTCCACACTGTCGACTAGTCGATTCATCTCGTCCTCCATGTCCGCCTCTCGCTCCTTGACGCTGCTCAGTTGCCGCTCCGCCTCCTTCTCGCCCACCAGGTCGCGCCACATCTGCTCCAGCTCGTCTCTCCATCCCAGCTCGTCGGCCAGCTTCCTCACACCGGAGTCACAGTCGCCCAGGCACAAAACGTCATCCGCGCGTGAGCCAACGTCGCCCACTTTCTCCTTGTTGAAAAGCACGCGCGGAACGCCCTCGGCGGCCATGATGGAAAGGCTCGCGAACGGCTGGACGCTAAGACTCGTTCCCAGAACGAGCAGAAGATCGGCGGAAGCGGGTGCACTGCGATTCTCGAAGAAAGCCGAGGGAAGCTGCTCGCCGAAGAAGACAATATCCGGCTTGACCAAACCGCGGCATTCAGGTCTCACACAAAGAGCCGGCGCGCCGCGCTCGATGTGCTCGCGCATCTCCTTGTCCGGAAACTCCGTCATGCAGTCGATGCAGCGCTGTGTGGCGAAACTGCCGTGGGCCTCGACGATGCGATGTCCGGGGACACCGGCGACGCGTTCGAGACAGTCGATATTCTGGGTGAAGAGCATGCGCAGTAGCCCCTTGTTGGCGAGAAGAGCGATGAAGACGTGGGAAATCGTTGGCGAGAATTTACCAGGGTAGAGCTCCTTGGCGAGCATGTAGAAGGGCAGGGGGTTCTCGCGGAAGTAGCTGATGTCGAAGACGCATTCGGCGTAGGGGAGGTTGAGGCGCGCGAGGTTGTGGTAAAGACCTGTCTTCGGGGACCGGAAGTCGGGAACTGGTTGTTTATCATTGGTTACGTGTCTATTGAAGAAAGCGCATCAAATGCAATCGCTTCATGGATGGGAAACATGAACAGCACGCGAGTATATGTAGGCAAACATACTTCCGGCTGCAGTAGATAGACCCGCGCCCGTTATGACGACAATGCGCCGGGCCCCTCCATTCTTGATGAGTTCGGCGACAGAGGTGAGGCTGCGATCCTTGAGGGTCTGGGGCGGGGTGCTCTCGTCGACGATACTCGAATTCTCGTTGCCCATCTTGTTGGTTCGTTCCCGGGCTCGAGGGCGCTGCCCTGTCTGTTGTTTGCGTTTGTGTTTGCGACCTATTTTGAAGGATTAGGGTGACATCCAGGCGGTTGGGATGGGGAAAGTGTGATGATGCCTGGCGGGAACGATATAGTTCCAGAGCCAAATATTGATGGTTCCGGCGCGATGATGCAGATTTGTGACGTTTATGCGGGTGGGTGGGGGATTAGCGCAACTCTCTTTTATCTTATCGCCTGTGCCTGTACCTGTCAAGCTGTCTTGGCGAAGATAAATAAAATGTTATGGGCCACAAAGCATCTTTAGAACAAGGAGTTGCTCCCTACCCGGCAAAAATAACCAAATATTAAAAGCGAGAGCTGTTGGATTATATATGAGGGTTGTCTTGATAAAACCTCGGTGCCTGCTTTAGGCAGTGCACTTGCTGCCTCATTGGAGTTTCACCTTCGTGGACTCGAGCAAATAACATTCCTTGTGCTAAGTCGTGACAAGTTCGGCAGACGCAGGTGAGAGTAAGTGCCTTGGGTCATAACACTAGATCTAGGCACTTTTTTGGATCCTAGGAGAACTTACCCACCTGCGATAGTGATGTTATAGATATACTCGTCATACTCCTGACCATAATGCCTCTTCTGTGTGCTAGAGGTTGTTTTCCTGTTTCCACGTCATCTGGATCAGGGACTGCCGTAATGACAATCTGTGGTCCGATGACACCACCTCCCATGATGCGGCTAGCCTTCTCGTCTAACCGATACGCTATATCCCTATCATCATCAGCTCGGGACGTGTTGCCACTCCAGGACAGGCCAATGTTGGTCTCCGGCAAGCTATGCTTTGCCCTGTTGTGGCTACTTTGTGGGTGCTGGTATTGGTGATTGGACAGTGGATTGAGTATTTGAGCGGATACAGCGGTCTTTGGAGGATATAGCCAGCATTTGGCTTCAGTGAAAAGTGGTCGAAGCATCGGCAGGCAAGCTGACAGGGGGTTCGCATCAGTCTCAGTATGAACATGTTTATAATGTACAATACAACGCTACATACCTGAGACCACCGCCAAGTTGACCTCTATTGTGGCCCATATAAATATCCACGCAACATTCCATGACATTTCGAGTTCCTCAGCGTGGTATTGGAACGAAAATATGATGACAACCGAAGATGCGGAACAGACACTCCGCCAGTTAGCCCATTCCTATCATCAGCAACAGACCAGGACGCACTCACATGATACCAAAGAGAAACAGTATCATGACCCCTATCTTCCGCGAAGCTGTCAATTTTATCTTCCAAATTTGCACGACGGGCAGGGCCATGATAGTGAGATCAAGAAGGAGATGCACTATGACCGTTCCCAAGAAGAAATACGCTTCATTGACGATACATACAGCATCCGGGACAGTCTTGTCCCAGAAAGCTTTGACGGGTACGCATTGGAAGACGGTCAGAAACGTCTAAAAAGGGTGTCAGTTCCTTCCTAACCAGGACGTGAGTTCTTGCCGAAGTAGCTACCCGTATCATCAGCCATATCAAGGAGCACACGGCCAACACTATTATGGAGATCCTAATGGCCGATGTCGAGAACATGCGCCAGTACAAGGCCAAGATGGCGAACTTAGAGCAGGCGAGGGAGAAGGCATAGCAGAGCTCATCGATATAGAGGTCCCGTCGAGCATCGCGTAGAGCTTGTTCGGGCGGTAGACCGGTGTCTTTGAGGAGTAGGCCGAAGCCAACTTGGGCCCCTGCATTGTGTGTCAATGACCATCCCCAGGATTTGGCTCGTAGTTCTTTTCATCCATACAGCTCAATATGACGCCATCCCATCCCGCCGCAAATAACTGAACAGCGTTATTTGAGTTTCAGCATAATGATACGCAAGGGTGAGGTGTACTTACGTACGCAGCTATAGCCAGATAGTCATCCCACGAAAGGGAAATCCTCGTGATCCTCCTCGCCACGAGGCGCAGGACCAAAGCAATAGTCGCCGTCCCCCACGTCAGCGACAATGCAGCGAACAGCTCTGGTTGTCGGGATTGCATGGTGACGAACAGAGAGGAACTGTAAATGTCACAAGACACTATTGGGTAGAACAAGAAGCTGGGCAGCATGGGAATCTAGAGTTACATCGTGAAGGTTGCATAGATTGAGTGCGAGATCTACCGCTAGTCAGAAGATAAACAACATGCGTTCACTTCAATTAGCGCGCGCCGGTGGGATCCTACTACCGCCGTTCACTGTATCATGAATTTATCAGAGCTTGGATATCCTCCGCAATCGGCACTAGCCTCATTTGTGGAAGAAGGAAACTGATGCCGATATTTGGGGGTTCAGAAGGTTCCCTTATGTGGCAGGATCCACCAGGTGAGTCTCAACTACCATTGCATTAGTTCGCTCCAGTCTAATCAGAAGGGTCACTCTAGACTGTAAGCTAATGAAAGTCAGATGTCGTGCGTACACGCGTTGTTGGACGAAACCATACACCAAACTAATATTCGCCTTTGTGGACAAGGTGTTGTAAGTTTTCCCAAATGCGTTAAAACCAAGTGATCTACTAACTTCTGGAGTATGCCATTTGCCCGTCTGATAGCTCTTTGATGGGCCTTGGGAGTTCATACTTTACTGTGAAAGCATGTACAAAATTTGCGAAACTACAATGCATTAAGATGAAATCAGACCAAGTATAGCTCAAGCTTTCCATGGTCAGCCGATTCTCGACCCATGACTTACATACCGCTTATGTAGTTCTCTAAACAGATATTCTTTACAATGCTGATTAACACGGATTTCCAAGATTCGTATTATTCGGTTAAACTTGCTCTATGGGATCTGTTCGGCATATCTCGAAGTATAGATGCGCATATATAAATGGCGAACATTCCCCATGCGGTAATATGTTGCACTTCGACAGGTTAAGCAATATACTGAAGTAGTGAACGTATTTTATAGCAGCCCCTCAGTTAGCCTACACAGCGTCTAGTGTATAAACAACTCTTCCAATTTTCCCTTTTCACCCGCTTCCCAAAGAGACCTTGAAAAGACCACCAGTCGCTGCTAACGCATACAAGCCTTCTCATCATCTGGGCAAAATTTCACAATCTGGAGATTCGGAAGGGCACTAGTTCCGGTTTGCCGCCGTCACTTTTGACTCAGCATCAAGTTGGCTCAAGGTCCCAGAAGATCAGCATGACCCGCCATGACGGGAGGGGGGGATCTGCGCAAGGTTTCGCTGCGGCTGGGAATCCCAGTCTCCTGTTTCATTAATGACGTCGCCTATGACTAAAGACATATGTAGATCTGCGCCTTGCGCGTTCCGACCGCTGAACAAAATACTCATTCCTGTATATTTCAGATGACGGCACTGCATGCATAAGCAGCTAGTTTCATCTATATCAAGATGTGTTGTGGATGGTGACCTCACGACCCTGTTTGTATCAAGAAAGTTTTAGCAATCGGTTATAGATGCTTCGGAAAGTAATGGTTGACCTTGACGCTCATTTTTACTTTGTGCGCTTTAGGATAGCTCTTCGGAATCAAGTATGATGCACACCGATAGTGAAAGCTTACTTTCAAATTTGTAATACTCAGATTTGGCAGCCTGGCCCCATCTTTTTGAATCCTCGGAGCTAAAATTTAATGGTAACGTAGTCCACGGTCCAATTGCACACTTTGGCAGATCTTATACGACAATGTATAAGTTAATTCAACCACAACGCCTATCATCAATCGAAATTACTCAGAATCTTTATCTTCAGACGTCTCTACATCATTTCCACAAGTGCGCGCATTATGTCCGGGCTCGCCGCAGATTCTACAGCGCCGTACACGCGCAATTCGCCGCCTCGTACGACCACCAATTTGACGAAATTCGTCATGTAACTGCCCATCAACCTCTCGTTGTCCGCGTTTAAAAACGCCGGTAAAAAATCTTCTTTCGAGATATGACTTATATGTGCTCGCATGAGATCTTCGATTTCTTATCCGTACGCTCTTTTTAACCCGCGAAAACAACCAACATCAAGAGGCTGGAGCTTATGCGACGAATGAGGAGGCATACAAAGCGTGACGATATTGTTAGCTTTGCAATATACCTCGAAATCGGTCGAGTGATGGCTTTCGTGACCGTCGAGGATCAATAGGCGATGAGTACCTTTCGTACGACACTTGGTGTGATGATCGAAGTGTTTTATCCAATCTTCGCCTCTCTCGTTCGTAGTCCAGCCATTTTTAGTAACTGCGATAACCCAATCAGGCGGTAATGGGCTGTTTTCGTACCATGACGAGAGGTGGGTTTTGCCGGCGAAAATGATGTACGGAGGGAGGGCATAACCGGACGACCCAACGCCTTGAATAACTGTAACCCATTCCCGATTTCCTTGCTGGGCTGCTCTAGGCCTTCCGCGCCGATCAGAAGTCGTCACGACCATTTCGGACGAGATTTGGCCCATCACAAAACCGGTCTCGTCGAAGTTGTAGATATCCTCCTCCTGGATCGCGTATTTCGCAATTGTATTCCGTACCAGGTCAAACCACGCGCGATACGCGTCGGGGTCTTCGCAGAGGACTCTCTGCTAGTCGATCCTTCGATTTAAACGCGTCCGGAGGTCTGGTTGTCGTCTTACGAGGCCCAGTTGACGCCGACGCGTCCCGCGTCACGACTTCGAAGTAATCGGTTGGCCATATCTTCAACACCACTCAATCGGGGAGGAAATGCTCGCGAATCTAGGTCGGTTATATGTCGTACGATTGCCTCTTCTTCGGAAGGAGTCAACTTTTGCTTTGGCGATCGCGTAATCGCTCGAGCGGTTTTACCGTCGCGTCGATACGCAAGGGTTCTAAAAGGTACGTTATAGATCTGACCAGCGCGACGTACACTTAATTTTGGATCAGATTGAAGCGCATGTAATGCTAGAATCATATCACTTTCATTCCAAGAACCAACCATAGTTATGTGGTGAAAACCCGCAGGTCAAAGTGGTAGCGTACGAAAATCTGCCGAAGTGTGCAATTGGACCGTGGACTACGTTACATGAAACGTGTAAATCAGCTGTATTAGTAGTCTTCCGTAATGCACCACTGTATAATCGACACAGGTATAACAGTCCCCCCTATTGTAACCGCGAGAGTTCATCACCCAAAACCAACACGTGAAAACCCATTCCCTCCACTCAAGCGAACGGCCGCGGCGAACCCCCGTCGCCCGCAATCCTCTCACACTCTTCGTGCATCACAACCTTGACACCCTGCCCCGGCCGCCCAACAACCTCGGGGACATGGTATTGGGCGTCCCAATCGCCACAGTACTCGACACGGTCGAACTTTTGCAAGACCCTGACCACTGTTTTGGCCACAGTTAACAAAGCTCCTTCTTCAAGACAGTATAGTCACGACAGAAAAGAACAAAAGAACCTTGAAAACTGAAAAAGTGAAGAATAAAAGACTTACAGCAATAAGACATCTCGGTCAACGCGAAATTCTGGCCCACGCATATCCTCGGCCCGCCATTGAACGGAACATACAACCACGCCCTGGGCGTCCAGGTCTCCCACCTTTCGGGACTAAACACCGCCGGATCGGCAAACTTATCACTGACAGGCGGATACAGCTCCGGTCTCCTCTGCATGCTCAACGTGCTGTACACGACGATATCTCCCTCAACGACGCTTATTGGCAGCTGACCTAGCGCTCCCGGAATCGTGGTATCCCTCAGTGCCGACCGCAAATTATACGGCACGGCCGGGTACAGCCTTAGCGTCTCGTCAAGCACGTGCCGGAGGTACTTCATATTCTTCAAATCCTCATACGTGGGCGTGCGGGTGCGTCCTACGGCATCCACGACCTCAGACCGCAAGCGCTGGAATTTGTCCGGATAGCGCGAGAGTTCGTATAAAGCCCAGGACAAGGTGGCGGCCGTGGTATCCCGCCCCGCCAGTAGAACGGCAACAATCTGGTCGCGGAGCACGCGAGGATCACGGGTGTACCTCGCAATACTATGCAAGAACGTAAACGTACGATCGGATGAGGTCAATTTCTCGAGTTCCTCCATCGGGAGACTAAGCGCCTGATCAATAAACGGGACCACGAAACGGTCGATGGTCGCGATGTGCCGGCGGTAAGTGGACCGCGGCACGATATCCGAAAAGGGACCGATGGTGGTGAGTAGCATCTGAATGCGTTGGACATCGTTGAAGGCCTCGGCGAAATGGTTGCGCGGGTTGGCGAGGCTGTTGACGCTGGTTCCAAGGAGGAAGTCGGTCGTCACGTCGAGCGTCATCCGGTAGAAGAGATCCATAATGTCGACGTAGGTGCCGTCGCGTGGGATCTTGTCGACCAGGGCGGAGGTCCATCGCTCGAAGATGGCGAGGTCGGAGACGCGGTCTTTGATGAACATGGGGCGGATTAGGGACCGGCTGTCGTGCCAAAGTTGGCCGTCTGTCGTGAAGATGCTGTCGCCTAGGAAGGGGCGCCATAGTTCGTTGAATGAGGGGCTGTTGTGTCGCCTGTGTTAGTTGATGCATGTTCCGAGAGTGAAGTGACGCGCTGGGTATAGATAATGTGAAAGTCGAAGAATGACGTGCCACGGGCAGCCACTGACCCTTTTCCAAAACTCCCAAAGTTGGTTGTCAAAATGGCCTTGACGTGCTCTGGGTCTCGCGTCAATATATAGCGCTCATTGGGCTTGACCTGGATCTCGACACATTCGCCCATCGCTGGGTTTGCCTGAGCGAAGCAAGAATCGAAGAACTCGAGTAGCCTGTGCCGCATCTGCGCCCGCGCAGCATTGGTAAACCATAGTGCCGCTTTCAGGGGAAGAGAACGTCAGTATTAAGTTCATTGATTTGTACCTTACAAATTTAGGTCCGGTGAGGGTGGAATAGAATATCAGAATGAGGAAAGAAGGACGATTTACATGTCAAGGGGTTCGTAGCCAGTCGAGGCGCCCGCACGCCTCCTATCTTCCGAATCCGAAGTTCATGGCGAGTTACCTGGACGAGGTAGTACAAAACATATAGTCCCAAAAGGGCTGTGGAAACAACAAGAAGGTTCGGCATGCTCAGATGCAATCTCGTCAGCATCTTGGATTCTTATTATCAAGGTAGGTGGTAGTCGTATCAAGCAGCTTTGGGTTTCTTTGGCCGAATGCTGCTTAACCAACTTGTACCCCTTGTGCATGAAGAAAAAGGCAAAAATACAGAAAATAGACGGGAACCGCGTTTGTGTCTGAGTCACGATGTTCGGTAAAGGAAACAAAGGTTAAATTGCGTCGGTAGGTTATCAGAACGAAAATATCCGTCTGGGATAGGGGGAGGAGGGTGGAGGGCAGGTCAGGTCAAAAGGAAACAAACAAGCTGTGACTTAAGATTATAAGAAGGTAGGGATTACTCAGTGTCTATACATGCACCTACATCTCAAGCTATAACCCTAGCTTCATATCTTCAACGAGGAGAGACCTTGCAGGATCGCATGCAAAAACCTTAAACCCCCACGACTTTCCCAAACCTGCCGGTCTCGAAACCCTCTCCGCTCCGCCCCTAAATCTCGATCGGACGTAGCTGGGTCTGTCGCGTGTTCTCGATGTCAACCCCGCAGATTCTGTTTTTGAGAATGATACCATCCAACGGAATGACCATCCAATAGAGAGCTGACGTAAACCGCATCGAATTGCTCCATTGCGACCAAATCTGCCTGATGGCTCGGATTTGCATGTGTTTCGTGTTCATCTGATGCTACAAACCTCGGCACCAGCTGTTATTCTCTATGCTATGTCGAAGGCCATCCTCCTTTTACAGCGTTACAAGTCATTCGTTCGCCTCTTCCAGCCTCTTAGCTCACGTACAGGGCGAAGAGCGCAGTATCGATTCCGCACCTGCTGCTGAATGACACCCCGCGAAGCCTCGAGATCATGAGCCAGGTTCCCGCCGAAAGTAGCGCGACCGGTTAGGGTTGGCCTGACAGAATGCTATTTGTCAGTCAAGTAAAGTTGGACTGCACATTCTTTCTAACGTCGAATCACGCAAGTGCGACTCGGAAAAGGCGGGCAGCACGTAATATCGTATGTGATTTGCGTTGATATGTATGGATTATCGGACGCTGGGCTTAGACACAAGCCGGACCATTGTTTCCCATTAGTTTCGACCCCTACTTCTACCCATCCCTTTGGTCCTCACAGTCACTGGAAAGCAACGATCGTTCGTGTACCAGCATGGGCGGCACAGCTCTGTTACCATGTATGAACCGTACCTTTCACCACTCGGTCACATCCAGGGGTGTATGCCGTTTGCGCCCCAAACTCCAGGTACGGTATTGATATACTTCGTATCAGCTTTTGGTTGTAAAACCTAGATGCATATTATGCAGCCATCGCCAACCAATGCTTTTTATGCAACATGCACAGCGGCTGGGAAGCTGTTAGTATGACGTAGCCACGCATTCGGAAGTGAAGCGGCCGTCTGGCAAAATCACAGCACAATGCTGGATGTTGGTGTGACATTCTAAAAAATCTGGTCCGAGGTCAAATAATTCGTTCCACCGAATGCATCGTAGCATCACCGCCAAAGAAATAAACGAAAAACCAACCTCTCGACTTGTCCATTATTTTGCCCACTCGACAGTCTCGAGAGCCAGCATGACGAGTATCAAGGTCGAGGGCAAAATCCTGCAGAATGTGAGTTAGCTGACATTTTCAAATCTGGTTTTAGGCGTAGCCAACTCACCAGATGACGTAGCTCTGGAACAAAATCTTCCCCATGACCCCTTCGTACACCCCGTTGATCTGGCAAATCTGTGCCAATTGCAGTGCGCTTGGTGCACCAGTAAGTAGGAAGCACACAATGACGAAGATAGGGTCGTCCAGGATGCTGACAGGTACGTATTTGGCAAAGAGAGCGATAACAGGCGCCATGATGAGCGTGGGTAGGACCATGCGGCTGAGCAGCGATGCAACCAGAAGTCGGGTGCCGATCTGCTCCTCCTCGGGGTCCGTAGTCGCTCTGTTCTGTGTGTTTCGAGCAAGGTTGGCACCCAGAACCACTAGAATCAGGGGAACTGCGACGCCGGCACTCGAGGATATGGCGCTGGTCACACTAGTCTTGACAAAGGATTCTTCTCGGAAGAAGAGGCGCTGAAGGTCGGGAACCGAGGCAACGATGATGGCAATGAGCATGGCCCACAAGGGTGGGTTCATGAACTCCCACAGAAAATGGTAAAAACATATCCATACAGACCATGAACCAGCTAATATAGCTTGCATAGGTCTAGGTAGGCATTGGTATGCCCTTGATGATGTGTCGACGCTTCTCCGCTTCAAGATTGCGATGCTCTTCTTGGCATTGAACTTGGCACGGACGAAATGCCCTCTGATCCCATCGGGAATTTCGCGCTCGTTGGACTCGCGCATACGAGGAAAGGACATCATGTCGCTGTCCGGTCCGTTGACAGGCAGGCCGAAAGACTCGGAGGAGCTACCGGTGCCATTAACACCATTCGAGCGCTTCTTAATCGACGCGTAGATGCTTCTGTTCGGCTTGCGGGTTCCATGACTTTCATCTTCCGAATCGGCTGGGGAGGCCCTTGATGTCCCCACCACCGGTGTCCTGCCGGCTGGCTCGTATACATCCGACTCATCCGACTCGTCCCTGTGAGCATCGTCTGCATTGCTGCCATCGAGACCTGGGATCAGCACGTCCTCGGTAGTAAGCGGCGCGTTGTCCCTGTATCTACCCTCCTCGATTCTATCATCTTCAATGCCTTGTTCCCATTCGTCATCCTGCTTGTCCCGTGGTGCCAAGAGAACGTGGTAGCCCCAGCTCCATCTGACTAACTGACCCAGCTGTTGGAAGATCATGAGATACAGGATGCCCCGGGCTGCAACCTCGTCGTCATTATCTCCCTTGACCTTGTCCCAGTGAAGCCCCTTGAGTGTTTGCGATAGCGAGATGACGAGAGAAATCGGAAGGGAGTTGGAGTTGCCAAATACGCCCATCGCAGTGACAAAGTTGGCAGGTCGCTTCTTAAGTCGGCAAATTTTCGAGACGCCGATCGAGACGAAGTAGGAGACAAGTGTCTGGACGATGAAGATGACGGGAATGACACCCAGCTCGACAAGCTTGTCGGCATTCAGTTGCGACGCGAGTTTGGTGAAGATCAGACATGGCGTGAATAGCATGACATTGAGGTTGGCCAGAAACTTCTGTTTTTCCGCGTCAAAGTGGCCGAGTCTTGCGATGACATATCCGGGTAGACTGACGCACACCACCTCCAGCACAGCTCCAAAGACCAGTATTATCAAGTTGAGGAATGACGGATGCGACTCGTGGGGGACCTTTTTGAAGATCTCGAAGGAAGGCATGTCGGGCTTCCAGTCGGGAGCATTATTGTTGAGACGGAACGACGCTGGGTAATTTAGTGACCAGTCCATGGTTTTCAAGTGTGTGGTATGGTCGAAAGACTCGAGAGGCAATCGGATGGTCTCAGAGTCTAGGTTTGAACCTTGATATGACAGCAGAGCAGGATATTAGCGGTGCCCCGGCATCCGCAATGGCGCAGGGGTATTGCCAAGTCGGTAGGCGTCGCACCGCCGGAAGTAAAAGTCTCGCTTGGCAAATGAATGGCTTGATGAACAAATATCAAGGTTCGTAATTCGTTTAGGTCTGTCGACTTGGCTGTGGCTGCTATCCTTGGCTGTTGTGTCGTCGAGATTCAAACGTGCTGTCGAACTACATTGATGCGCTGGGGTTCTAGGTGGAACGGAAAGGCGATGGGAAAAAGCTGTGTGGCGAAGAAATGATATAAGAGTTCGGCAGAGCAATCATTGGGTGGGAAGACAAGTAGCAATCATGGAACGGAGGCAATTGACAGTTCACTGGGGGCGCAGACTAGTAATGCGTGGGACGACGGATAGGATAAAGAAGACGGGTCTGCATGGAGGCGTGGCATAGTGATGGATGGGCTGGACCTGGCTTGCGTGGCTTGCGTCTTGCGTGGGATGTGTTGTTGTGTTCCGTGTTCCTGTAGATCGTCCATGCTGATTAGTAACGGGACTAGCCCCGCTGAATATTGAGCTGCCACACTAACTGGCTGCACCGCCTGGCAGGTTTTCCGTCTCTGTGGTGCACGGTGCTAGCGTCAGTGCGACCCACCAGGCCGGAATCCAAGACTTTCCCAATTGTAATGAAATGGTGTCCTGGTGGAATCAACGGCAGCTCAAGAGAGTCGGACGATGCGGATGCGGTATATCAAGTTTACACTTGTCAGAGTCTACCTCACATGGAAGCTAACTCGTCTTCGGGCTTCCATATCTAATCCATTGTGCGTGTGTCCTCCGCCAAGATCGAGTGGAAGTAGTCGATACTTCCGAAGTATTGGCGACTTGTAGCTTGTTATACAAAAGTGTCTAACCAGTTGGTTTCAATGCAGCACGTCGGTTTGTTGGAAACGTTGCCTTTTCGCCACTGGTCCCAATGGGCAACTTGGGATCTCATGAAAGGCCTTGGACAGTCCTACTCATATCCAGTTTATATTTACCAATACGCGGCCGGTACATTTGTAAATCTTTTCAAGGAAGACGTGCTGGGCGATAATGATTACGCAGTTTTGACGACATGACAGGTAACATAGGAAACGATCTAATCGGGGGAACAATGGGGTATCAACGTCACTGGGTGGGTTCTGCGCCTGTCACACCACTAGCTACGAAGGGTCGCTGGCTAATGATCCAATAGGATGAATTCCTGCGAGAAACATAACCTGTTACTGTCTACGGACGGCGGCCCAAATACTCCAGTGCGACCGTCTTCCCACGTTGGTGGGGATAGGCAGCGGTGGGTTGCAGACGTGGCGCTTTTTAGAGTTGTACAACCGAAGCGTTTCATCTCGAGGCCTCCTGGAAATATCTGGTGCCTGACGTAGTGTTCGATGTGCACTACCCAATCACTTTTCAGTTCAACAGCTCACAATACCTATCGTCCTGGGGCAGGGGTTTTCCATACAGCAGGATGTCGTATCGAATGCGGCCGCCGCAGTCAATGTCGTATCCATTTTCCCACGGCGAGACCCTGATTTAGACAGGTCGTGTTCATTTCGAATTTCGAGGACGCAAGTGCAAAGTGGTAAAAATGACGTCGTTGCAGAAAAAGCAATGATTTCTAATTTGCCCGGACCGATCCCTCCGGCATTGTCAAACTCATTGGCTGGCGCTCTACATAGCACGCACGGCCGTTCCCAGATACCTTCCTCATATATCACGCAAAGTCGCAGGCTCAGACTGAGAGCTTACAAGAGCTGTGCCGCAATGCCTCATATCCTAGAGGAGTTGTCAATTTTTCAGAGCAGTATCAAGATTACCTAAATATTGACGTCTTTTGTCAGTTGCTCGAGAGATGTCCAAATAATTCTGTCAAGTTGGCGGAACTTCTTTGGAGCCTGACAAGCTCCAGACACTTGGTGGATACGCCCCGCTTGTATGACTTTGAGCCTCACTTTGCATACATTTTTAGCTTGCTACCCGATTTCCCAACTTCTGACCGATGGTATAAACTCAGACTTGGTCATTGGCAAACCTGGGACACCATGCTGCCGCAATGTCGTATGCGTATAATAGAGCTCTGGTTCCCAATAAGTATATGACCGGTCGTAGCTTAGCGGTGGATGTAAGTATTGGGCTTGATTAGTCTGCAGGGCAGCGTCACCAAGGCCGCACACGATGGCAGAGACGTTTCTCGTTCTTGGAAAAACCATTATCGATTGAATTTGGCATCTCGCCGGAGCCCAGTCCAGGCCCATTCAAAATCGCGAAATTGTAATGGGCTGCCGTAGCTTGCGTAGCTTGCGTAGTGCTCCATGACACGAGCAACGATCAAGGTCCTGGAGGGAGGCTTGGGGTCGACAATGACGTCGTTACGTGTTCTGTCCGAAGGGTGTGAAGGATGCAAAGTGTGGAGACAGCTGGGCCCAACGCCTGACGGGCCACTGATGTTTGGGGTTGTAAGCCATTATCCATGTACGGACGGAGGGGTTGAGGGGCAGGCTATGCCATTTTATCGTGCAAAAAGTAGACAGGTGCAGGGAACATGACTGCGCAACCGCGATTGCACCTACCTGCAACATTAAAGAATTCCGATGACTGTCCATCTCTCGACGCAGCAAGCTTTTTTATGTTGCATACCATACTGCTTGGAATTTCTCCTTTCGATAAACCCAACAGGCACGACCACCCAACTTCAACAGAGTTTGGCCAACATCACCACCAGCATCAGTTGCGGAATGAATCTGACCGACTGAAGCTGTCCTCACTACCCACCAACGCCTCCATCTATCGCACGTGTCCCTTCTGGGATACCCTACTCTGCCTGAACCAGAGGCGTCCTCATCACTGCTGCGAGCTCAATTCAACGTGCCCTGTGGACGCGATACATCCAGGCCAGAACCAGTCCTAGACCCTCACAATGGCCGACAATGAGCCGTTGGACTCGCCCTCAACCTCATCTGAGGCCAGCACTCCCCTCGGCACCCCGACGCCCGATGAGACACCATCAACCGACGCGCTGCCCAAGAGGATGCCCTCGTTAAGGTCAGTGTCGGATCCGCCTACTCACCCCATGTCGGCATCCTCTACCCCTCTCGGAGTCCTGTCGAGCGCGAGACGGCCGCCTGTCACCACTGGATCGTCGAGCAAAAACCTTCCTGATGATATCAATGCGAAGATGCGAGCCTTCCACCTATCGCGCCAGGGTAGCTCCCCCTTGATCTCGCAGCCCAACCTGGCGAGTCCACAATCCCCCGCCGGCGCCAGTGCCCTAGCCGGCGGGCTCCCTGGCAACGCTCGATCCGGCATGACTCCTGGTCGATTACAACGACCTGGCGCTCCGTCTTTCCCGCAATCGGCGCCGAGTGTCCCCAGCGCTACCGCTCCGGGCGGCGGCCTGTCAGGCAAGAGACGATTCGGGCTCAAGCTGGGTGATATGGCTGGGGGGCCGACGGCTCCTTCGCCAGTTTCCAGGCCCAGCGGGCTTCAGATGCCGCAACAACAGAATGAGAACACCGGCGCGCCGTCGCAAATGAAACAGTTTGCCGACTACATCGACTCAGAGAAGGGATATCTGACGTTCAAGGGGAAGGCCATCATCACAAACAAGGGTGTTGACTTCTCCGACGGTTCTGTCTTTAGGATATCTCTAGACGAGGTCGAAAAGCTAGACGAGCTGGGAAAGGGCAATTACGGCACTGTATACAAGGTACGGCACAGCAAGCCCTTGGTGCCCCGATTTGGCCCTGGACTCTCGGGCTTCAAGTCAGCTTCTATTTCCGGGCTCCCCAGTACCGCGGACACGGCAGCAGCATCTGTCGATGGAAAGGCCGGTGGTGGCACCTCTGGGAAAGTTATGGCCATGAAGGAGATCCGGCTTGAACTGGACGAGGCGAAGCTCTCGACGATCCTGAAAGAGCTTGTCATCTTGCACGAATGCGTGTCACCATACATAATAGACTTCTACGGCGCCTTCTTCCAAGAGAGCGCTGTGTACATGTGCATAGAGTACATGGATGGTGGATCGATCGATAAGTTGTACTGGGGTGGAATTCCTGAGAATGTGCTGCGGAAAATTACGTACTGCACCATTATGGGTCTCAAGGAACTCAAGGAGAAGCACAACATCATCCACCGTGATGTCAAGCCAACGAATATATTGGCTAACACGCGAGGCCAAGTCAAGATCTGCGATTTTGGCGTTAGTGGAAATTTAGTGGCGAGTATTGCGAAGACGAATATCGGCTGTCAGAGCTACATGGCGCCAGAGCGCATTTCCGGCGGCGCATTCATGTCAAGTGGTGCATCGGACGGGACATACAGCGTGCAGAGTGATATCTGGAGTCTGGGCCTTACCATCATCGAATGTGCCATGGGTAAATACCCGTACCCTCCTGAAGTGTCATCGACCATCTTCAGTCAACTCAGCGTAAATTGCCATTTCAGCTCTCTTAAACAAATGGACATCACACTGACTCTTTAATGACAGGCAATCGTTGAAGGCGACCCACCAGATCTGCCCTCCGAGGGTTACTCTGACGTTGCCCGTCTGTTCGTCCACGGCTGCCTGAACAAGGTGCCCAAACTTCGACCCAACTACCAAGCTTTACTGGCCTCTGAATGGCTCCAGGGTTTGACGAAACCCGAGACTATTACCGAGGAAGACGAAGAGGCAGCCGAGAATGATGCCAGCGCTGAGGCCATAGCCGGTGCAGCGGGCCATCTGGATCTCAGCCATTCCGCCACCGAGGACGCGGAGATCGCCGCTTGGGTACGAGGAGCCTTACAAAAAAAAACGACTGGCGAATATGGCGGCACAATCGACAGACCCGCATTGCACGCCGCGCCTCTGGATGTCGGCAGTCCTATAGCTAGTCCCCAAGCTTTCCCCTGAAGGTCGTTTGGAATGTCTCAACGACCAGAGACACATCCGCACAGGAGAACACTGCACATTCCGCACCAACTCTTGTTCCTCTGCCGAGACCAGTCATTTTCGGTTTCTCTCCTCAACCCTATTCTACCAATTTGAGAAGAACCTGTGGAGAGCAGGTTCTCTACACAAGTGCATGACACACCAAAAGTCGAAAGACTCATGCACATAGCATCAACCGGCGTATTCTTTTCCCAACACAACGCACGCACACAGAGGTATGGCGAATGGGCCGGCTTTCTCTTTTTAATCTTTAACATGACAGCAACGGGGCCAGGGACTCGAAGCTCATAGGGCATATGGTGGAATGACTCAGGCGCCCCTGTACACGAATGTTTTTCATGGGATGGTATGCTTACCGGAGTTGTTGGTACACGACAGGAGACGAAGATATAGCCACTTTTACAGAGCTTACGCCTATCGTTGAAGAGGAACTGGAGATTTCTTAGGACGAGCTATAATATTGTGGGGGGGTTTAGGGGAAGGGTGAGAAGTGAAATGGGGTTTAAGGAGTCGGTTTCAAGATGCGGTCCCACGAAGTGAGATGATGGATGGACAAAGTTTTTCCTACAGGAGATAGCGAATTGGTTGGACGTCGTAGGTCTGGAAATGAGAAATTTCTACCGGGAATTGCGGTTTGGGTCGTGATTATGATGCTTGGCGCATAGATGTGTCATAACTTTCGGTCCACTGGCGGGTCGAATATGACAAGGCCTTGCCACGCTGGAAATGGAGGTCTCCCCATGAGAGTGAATATAGTTAAACCCTGATGATGCTCTCGATTTTAGAAGTCGTCTAGAAAAGGATGATTGATAACTGGAGGAATTGTGAAGGTCAACCCTCGCAGACTCACTACAACCAGGTGACGTACAGCTGGAACACCTGCCATGGCAGTGTCAGATGGGAAGCCAATCATAACCCTTGTAGGAGCCCCGCCAAGCGTGGACGACTTAGTCGCGCTCCCTCAAACCTAAGTTGTCATCTTCTTTCCTTCGCTCCTTAGAGTAGAATCTTCGTCGATAGCACCTAATCGAGGTCTCTACCAATGCGATGCAACCCAGGTCGTGACAGGAATAAGGCTCTACGGTCTTGCTTAGAACTTGTTACATATGTAACGAGCTCTTCTTCTTACTTACGAGATAAAGTCCGGGGTCTACTAGATCTCTTAGCTACCTGGCTTGAAGAGGCCTTAATAGTTATCTTGATCTGATTAAGCGAAAACGTTGTAATAATAGTATGAGTTTCGGCTTTCGATTTACCACCGTCGAAGTAGAGGTGAAAGTACCTTTTCGTTAGCATGAGTAGGCTAGGCCAGAATTAGTATAGCGTTGCCTTGGCAGTGGTACACTGGTACTTGTCGGGGGGGTGAAAACTTTGGCCTGATACCGTGGTAGTACCAGCTTTCCACGTGACTTACCAAGGAAGTGGCGTTACTCTTCAGGATTAGGTTACCGCTTGAACATTCTCATGTGCGTCGATGATCAGAGGATCGTGAGACGCGTCGTCTGTTTCCAAGACCAGATGAGAAACTCAGAAAGGGTCAGGAGACCCTCGAATCAGACCAGGCAAACCGATCAGCTGGTCTTATGTGTGACTAATTATGGAAAAATCAAATGCGTCGCAAATTCTCTCATCAGATGGATTTTGATAGTACACTTGAGCTAAGTTGCGGCTTGCGGCTGTTAAGTGAGGAGCTGAGGGAGTCCTTTCCAAGAGGACTTTCGCCATTCTCGGCTACGGTGACTGATCTATTGTGCGTGACCGTTGGAAAAGACTTGTCCGGTACCGTGGTGGTGAAAGCAAAAAGAAATGGAAAACCCAAAGCAATTTTCCCTAAATAGATACAAGTGATACAAGTGATACAACAAGGCATTATTTCAGGTAAGATGCAAAAATGCAGCAAAGGTGACGGGTGAAATCTGGTAAAAGTCAAAAATTCAATGTTGGGGTCTGGCCGGGGATTGAACCCGGGACCTCGCGCAAACTAAGCTAAGGGTGTACCCTAAGCGCGAATCATACCACTAGACCACCAGACCTAATTGGTTGAAATTTGATTGTCTTGTTGAGTACCATATCGTAAGTGTGGAGATCTCGGTATTGTTTTCGGGTGGCTGCAGATCCACCTACTCCCCCACGCCCACTTACTGGTACACTCGAGGCCACACTTGCCCACAGTCGTCACTATCCAAATCGTTGCATAGACGAATAATATTGAGCCGTTACTTTCATCTTTAACATGTGGTTGCGTAGGGTAGATGATGAGCGGTGTAAGAGTGATCTGACTATGAATAACGTCAGCTTGTTTCGCGTGGTCTCTCTCCTGCCTGATAAGACTGGCTGGTGCTTCACCCAAACCCGCAGCTGCTCCTGCGGTCTATCTAGTGTTCTTGGTATCGCAGGGGACACCGATTGCGGACATATCGGATCAGCCACGGAAACAGTCTTGTGATATCCTCTTGATATCTTTGACTCGCTTTCACGACTTCTCAAGCACCTCGCGCAGTCTACGATTTGTTTGGCCTGCTACGCCTGCTCAGTTTCTAAGAAATCCTACCAATTGACTCACCATTATATTGGCTTGACTAGAATGAAAACGTCGATCTATCTCTGTTGCCGTGTCAGACAGAACCTTATGCCAGCCAAAAGTTGAATTAGGCTCCACCCAGACAATTGTGGTCATACTGGGGTATATACGATTCAACATGCCGCCACGAAGCTGGCACTGCAGGCCAACAGGGTCTATGTGGTCGCGGTCGTCATTATGCTACTTTCAGCTTTGTTTCGCCTCCTGGCGGCATCCCGTGACCCACAGAAATAGACCAACGAGGCCTTTCTCATACGCTGGTATTGGGACGCTATACGCTTTTCGCGCAAGATGTTGGACACATGGCGGCAGGGATGCCTGCTTTGAGCCAACTATGTGCATGTACCAGTGCTGTGGGTTGGTTTGTGGGATGCATGTTTCCAGGGGCTGTGGCAGAGTGCATACATCCAACCACCAACATGGGTATCTCAGGGTAGACATGCGACAAATTCTCAATAGTTCCTCGTAACCTTGCTAATGCAGCCTAGATGCCCAGCCCAGGAGGTAGTGATCATAAACGCTGAACGAAGTCACAATCGGGCCTTCCCAGGGGTATATGAGGCAGCGCAGGGCCGGGGAAGTTTCAAAATTTCCCTTCTTCCAGTTCATCTACTTCAACTGTCTGCGTTATCCTCTGTACCATAGGCGACTTTTTATTAGCAAGACTAGCCCCCATCAAATATCCTCACATTCCAACAGTCGCCACATGAGACATGGGAGACCTTTCCCAAGAAGAAATCCTTTGCGACTCGGTCGCGATTGATCAGCTCTACAACACGGAGGCACGGAAGTCACTGGATATCATCGACAGTCTCCGGGAGCTGCAAGTAGGCCAGATTGTGGATCTGCCGCAGATTATTGTGGTTGGCGATCAGTCTTCCGGCAAAAGTTCCGTCCTCGAGGCTATTTCTCGTGTGCGGTTTCCCGTGAGAGGAGGACTGTGTACTCGTTTTGCAACTGAGTTGGTGCTCCGGAGGGCAGATCAAAACAGTATCGACGTCCGAATCCAATTCGCCACCGAAGAACCTGCCTCCACCAACGAGCCTGCGCAGCCATTCCGAAGAGCTAGTCTCGACAGAAATGATCTCTCTGAGATCATGAAGGTGGCCGAGGAGCGCATGAGCAGTCATGCGGGAGGCGCGAGGGGGTTCTATAAGGACATATTGCGGGTGGAAATTGCTGGCAGTGATGTCCCTCCCCTTACGCTTGTCGACCTACCGGGCTTTTTCCATGCGGAAACATCCGAACAGTCGCAACAAGACAAAGAGATGGTGGATTCACTGGTGGAGAGCTACATGCGCCAGCAAAAGAGCGTCATTTTGGCAGTGATTTCAGCAGACAACCAACTTGCCAACCAGAAAGTACTCGCCGAAGCCAAGCGGCATGACCCGAAAAAAGAGCGCACACTTGGGGTCATCACCAAGCCCGATGTTCCAAGCCCCGGGTCTCACAATGAGAGGACTGGTATCCGACTCGCGCAGGGCCTGGAGAGCATGCACAGGCTGAATCTAGGCTGGCATGCTCTGCGTAACCGGTCCGAGGGCGACGAAAGGCTTGACGCGAGCGCAAGAGATGCCCAAGAGGAGCGTTTCTTCCAGACTGGCGCCTGGGCCGCCATACCTTCAAGCAACCGAGGAGCGGGGAGACTGCGACACAAGCTCAGCAACGTGCTGCTCGAACACATCAGGAGGAACTTGCCTGTAGTGATTCAAGACATTGAAAACGCACTTCAGAGCAAGCGAATTGCGCTGGAGAGCCTGGGCCCCTCACGATCCAGCCCAGAGGAGCTCAAGTTGTACTTGATCGGCATTGCCGAACATTTTCAGCGAATCTCCCGAGACGGCGTTGAAGGAAGGTACAATGACCCATATTTTGGGGATCTTGAACAAACCGAAAACAAGCTCCGGGCTCATCTTCGCAATCTCAACCGCGCCTTTCACATCACCATGTTGAAAAAGGGGGCAAATGAGCTTGTTGTGTGGGACAGCGACAAACATGGTGACGATGACGACGGGGACTCCCCTGTAAGTCATCACGAAGGATTCGGAGGCGAGAATATTAGAATCCCCGAATATCTTCAGGGATTTGTTGATCTATACGACTTCCCAGAACCCACTTCGATCGGGGAACATGAGTTCAATTTGACGCTCGAGCGACTGGCGTCAGCCAATCGAGGTCGGGAGTTTCCCGGGTCTTCCAATGACGAACTCGTCATTCAGCTGTTCAAGCAGCAAGCCCAGCCCTGGAGTCGCATCGCGGCGCGTCATCTGAACCTGGTGACCGACTTCGCCAAGGTCTTCGTGGAGAACCTAATTCACCACGTTGTTGGGGGTTATAGCCCTACCGTCACGGCCCTGCTGCGCGGCTGTGTCGATCCCTTCTTTGACGACAAGACGAATGTCCTGGAAGCAAAAATTTCCGAGATCATCCGCCCTTACATGTCTGGGTTCAATGCACCACTCGAGACGGAGTACCAGAGAAGGCTGTCAACGAGGGCTGTTCGCCGTCTTGCAGATCGCATGTCTCATCTCCTCGAGAATGGGCCGCCTAGGGATTCGAATGACAGGTCAAGGGAGGTGCCCAGCCGCAAGCAGCTGATACAGATCATCATCAACGAAAACGAGCAGGACTCTGAGCGAAATGAATTTAACACAGATGGGATCATCGACAGGATGGTGGCATATTATGATGTGAGCCCTCTTCACTTATTTGCACATGCTCAAGTGCAATCACCTTAACTCTACGCGCAGATGTCTTTATGTACGTTCACAGAGAATGTTATCAACCTCGCGGTGGAAAATTGTTTGGTTTGCAATATTTCGGACATTTTGACGGCAACCAAAGTACACCGTATGAGTGACGAGGAGCTGAGGCAGTTGGCATCAGAGTCAGACGACGTGCAGTCTAGAAGACAATCTCTCCGAAAAGAAGTCGAGAGGTTGAAAGATGCACTTCGCAGATGTCAGCCGTATCGGCCGAGACAAAGTACAGGTTTGTCAAGGAGTGTTCCATAAGTTTGGTACACCAATAGTTACCAACGCTAATACCCCGTTATCAGTGCTCCCGCTGAACCTCTCGCGTCAGCATGCCAGCTCAGGACTCAGGCAGTCAGAATCAAGTGAGTATTTTGGACACTGTGGGATCTTTTAGATAGAATGAGTCTCTAATATGGTTCAGGGGCCACGTCGCCTAATCCGGCACCAACCTCCAAATCAGGTAGCAGTGCAGCGACGCCCGGCACTACAACAAACGCAGCAACAACAGCCGGTTGGGCATTCACAGCTCCAGCTCGAACAAGCTCATCTACTATGCCCTCCTTATTTCCACTCTCGACTACGAATGGCCCTGCTGCTACCACCTCGAACGCCGGAGGATGGTCCTTCGTTTTCCCGTCCAACACTTCCACAGCGACAAAAGGACCAAAAGCCCAGTCAGGAAGCGGACCATCACTCTCTAGCAACAACAGTAAAGCCCCTTCCTCCATTTCCTCACCCACTCCACCCTCTACCTCGGTTTTTCACTCTAACCTGCCAGACAGGAATCTTTAACCTAAATCACGGCTGATACCAGGGTGGAAATTCGACCGAGCTTCGGCAATGGCCTGGCCCAGGATAAGCTCCAAATATCCTTGCGCAGGACTCTAATAAGACATAGTTAGCCGACGAGCTGAGACTCGTTACGTCGACGGCAGGGGCTGTTCCGGAAATACCTACGTCAAATGAAGGAAGACGTGTTAGCGGGTCGTTTGTACTCTATATATAGGTCCGGGTTGTATTAGATATTTGTTCATCTTGTTATTGAATCTCTGTGTGAATGGGAAAATTTGAGTTTTACTCAAATGGCATGCCAAGTTATATCACCGGAATACTGGCCTGCTGTTTCAGTGGTCAAGTTTATGCTTGAGCATACGGAAACAGTGCGTCGACAGAATTCTTAGTCTTCTATATACTTGCATGGAGTAACAAAGTAGAGCAAATATAATCAAACGATTTACCAAATAGAATCGCATCCAGAAATTGAGCTAGCATACGACTGAACAGCCCGCACGTCCGCTTTATTCGATCACCCCAGCACCTCAGTGTCGACACGCCTGAGTAAATTTCGAAACTGGGGTATCCACCTAATCATACCAATATGGAACAAGATGCTTGGGAAAGCAATACATGTTTATTAGTTCCTGCGCTTGGTGGGTATTGGTAAAAAATGAGTGATACTTGTGCATCTCGCGTGCCTTATCTAACACGCGCGCTATCATCCGTTCCTCTCGTGTAAATAGTCGCCCCTTCCACGCCTCCGGATACGTATCTCCTAAGCGTAGTCTTCCTTCACCCTCCGGCCTCCTAGTTCACTGCGTACACTCCTTGTGCGGCCCCACCGCTTGCCACCTCCGGCAGCCGAACGTTGCGTCCTAGTTCCTATGCAAAACAGCACCGTAGCTATGAATATGGCAGCCCACGCGCCCCACATGAAGCCGAATGCGTAAGTTCCCAGCTGCGCATCTTTGTCGTCGGCTAGGAACGCATTGCGCGCCTTCACGAACGTGGTGGTGATAAGCGCCACGGCGACCGTGTAGAATAGGAGGGCAACCGCCGAACTCAACCCCGCAAGCCCCGCGCCCAGGCGTCCGCAGCAAGCGAGGAAGCTGGAGAACCAGGCCATGACTGCGAAGAACAGGCCGAGAAGGAAGAAGACCCAGCCGAAGCGCCACATCAGATAGTAGTAGTGGTTTGTGGTGTTGTTACCGGCTGAGCCGGCGAGTTCACTAGGTGCGTTTGCCGCATCCTGGGACCAGGCCCAGCCGAAAGCCGGAGCAGGCCACGCGCCGCTGCAGTCGACATTGCCGGGGGAGCAGATGTAGAAGTACGTCCATTGGGAGCGATCGCGGGCGTCGGTGATGGAGCTCGTGTCGGCGGAGAGGAAGTAAGTTTTGTTGAGAGGGTTTGCATCAGAGACCCCGGCGAGGACAATGAAGAACATCATCACAATGGCACCGGCGAGGAAGGTGATACCAGCAAGGCTTAGGGTAGAGCCTACGATCACAAGTCAGTTAGGATAAGGCGGGCGTCGCGGGACGGAAGTCATACGGGAGATCGCCATGGCGTTGTGTTTGGTCAGCGTTCCTTAAGAGGACATGTGTAGCAGGACGTCAAGCCGATCGCGCGGCGCGGGGAGTATGATTGACGGATCGCAATCGCCAGTGTTCGAGGTTTTCACTCGGCGTGGGTAAATACTGGAGGAAATGAGGGTCAGGAATGGTCGGCACAAAACCAGAAGTAAGGCCTCCGATCGGCAACGAGTGTCGCAGCAACACGGTGGATTGTGGTCAACTTGGAGGAACATACCCGTGAGAAATTTGTTGTCGCGAGGAGCACCAGTTGGGTTGCAAGATTAATGTCTCAAGCAGACACCCTCCAGCCAGTCGCACCGAATGTTCTTGCTTGTACCGGGCAACCGGATCACCACTTGTCGAGATTAAGATTAAAATAAGTTATGTACCGATAAACTTGTATCGACCTCTGACCAGAAGAGAAGCCAGGGGCTGGTCAAGACTCGCTGGTGATTCAATCGTATGAGGATGGTAGAAGCCCCCGCACCATTTTTGTACAATGCCGGACGAGAGCGACTATGAAATGACCGCTGTGCCGGGCGGGTAGGCTGGAATGACGACAAGCGCAAATGTTCTACGGCAGCTACTTACCCCATCGGGCGTAGCCGTCGTTGCTAGAAACAGTAAGGCGTCTGGCGACTTGTCGAATCGAGTGCCACGGGATCCTGCATCGTTGACTCAATATTGCGCTCTACGTCATCCTGGCAACAGACTCCTCGGAACTGGCGGCCGTGAACCCACTCAGCCACTCTCGTGGTGTTCAAGGCCGTGTGGCTTCTGAGATGGCGGAAACCCCAAGCCGAGACAGCCGTTGTGATTTGACCCAGGAAAATAGTGGACTTGCTTGGGTGTGGGTATGGGCAGAATGCAAAAACATCCAGCCACATGAATTCACGGGTCCTGCCGTATTACCATGCCGATAAGATCTGCCGGTATCGGTGCGTGCACCATCCTATGCAAGGAGCCATCCCAGTTGCTGGACAAACAAGCCTCCATCCTTGTCGAATCTACCCCGCCAAACCCAGATCTCGGAGAAGATCGACAAGGTCCTATACATAGTACAGAGCACCATGTCAAGAGGGTTCGGACCGCGCAGTAGCCGCCATGGTTGTTTCTGATCGCCCCATTTTCCCAGTCGTGTATTTGGATCAGGATGGCTTCATAAATATGGTTCCTCGCTGTCGCTGGTTCAGGCTCCGTTGGCGGTGAGCCAATCAGAATTATCGCAGCCCACTTACACGTCCCCCCAGGACCATCGTAACGAGTGGCACTGCGAATGACGACAACTCAATTATAAGAAGGATTCAAATGGAAAAGCTCAACGTCTGAATTTATGACTAAATCAATACATTGCAACATGGTAGCTCAAGGTTGAGTTCATGACGCCACGTCTTCTCTAGTCTATACCCTACCATGGGTACTCCATTCTGTGCAAGATGCCGTCCCTTAAAGGGGCATCAGTACTATACGCATTAGTATATCCAACTCTGAGATCACCATCGGCACAAGCGTCTCTGTATCACATCATACCTCCCCACCAAGCCCTCTGAGAACTCCTCCCCGTCCCTACGAACAGGTTTGTAGTCAGCCCCATGTACAGGTTGCCGAGACCATTTTCGCTGACCTAGGAAGGAGACATGCAGGCTTAAAACCCATTAAAAATGCGGTCATGGCCCAAACCAGCCCCACCAAATGCTGTCAAACAATTGGAACCCGCACCTGTTACTATAGTAAAGGCCTGACCTCCCTATAGGGGCGGCATAGCGCCTAGATGGCACCCGTGCTCCACTCTTTGACAGAACCCGATACGTGAAGAGATCCTCGACCGCTCGCGTCGTGGTCGTGGCTCACAGAATAATGTTGTGGGTGGTTCATTTGGCCGTTTGACTGTCCCCGTGGCGAGGCACAAGTGCAAAGGTTGCAGACGGTTGTCCACACTAGCGTTGGATTCGGCGCAATGTGAAGCGCGGGGCAGTCTGTTGCAGTTTTGTAAATTTCATGTAGAGGTTGTAACCCAAGTTCGAAGCCAACGGGATTGCGGAGTAGGAAGCAGAGGCACGTAGAGCGTGTATATAAGAAGCTCAATATCGGCTTAAGTTATCCATCTCCATCTCTATCATAGTCTTACACTTATCCCATATCCTCTTTTACGCTGGTTAGAATATCTATTGGATTGTGGGCAAATGGTCTTGTATTAAAGATGATATGGTCTCTGGAGAGTCCTGCAAGAAGTGAACAGCGGCCATAAGGGTCTCGTATAGATAGGAATGAACGATGCCTGTCCCACAGGCAGGACTTGTGTGGTTCGATGGGGGGTGGTCATATTGGCCCATAACGTACGATACGTGGCCATATGTCCTTCCAAGATTGGTAGCATTGAAGGTCCATCAATATCCTCGTTGTTTTCACTCGCCTGTTCTCTTACTTAGCTATTATCACCTTCTCTGCATCAAGATGGCTTCTCGTTCTGCCTATCTTGCCAAGTACCGCGGATCGGAAAGCACGGCGCCCATTTCGCCATTTTCATTCCAGAAATATCTGTAAAGATTTTAGTGCCACCATGCAAGGGGACTATTATCTACGTCCGGTCAAGTGGCTATTGTAGTTCAGAAACTCTAAATCAGCCGTCGACATCAAAGAGAAAAAACAAGGAAAAAGGGCTGGCGCGCGACACGCCCGCCTCCTCAATGTTAGGACATCCGAGCTCCTATCGATAATGTTGACAAAAGTCTAGGTCAATACCAAACGGTGCCAAGAGTGGACCGTGGAGTATCTCTAGATTCGATGGTCAAACCTTATCAGCTCTGACGCTGTCATTATTGGAGATAGTCAGCGAGATCCCCGAAAGCACGGTATTTGGACAAAGATGAGCTAGCCAAGACTGGGAGCGAATACATAGCAGGCCGTTGTCGGCCGTTTATTTAAAGTTCGGACGCTGGATGTCGAAAGGGTCCAGGACGCAAATCGCTAGCGCTATACACATTTGGAAGGGTTCAAGCGGCGATAACAGCGGTAATGGTGGATAGATACGTAGTTATCGAAATATCATGCTTTTTCACGCTTCTTCCCCATCCCACTGCCTCCATCGTGTCTATCTAGCTACCTTGGAACCATGGCCTGTTCCCTTAAAACCGCCGGTCTCGTACGGCTGAGAAGATTAAATTACCAAAGACGAATCAGGTAGAGATCTTGCAGCAAAACTGGGCAGTATTATATACTTGGAGGGGAATTATTAATAGCGTAGCGGAGAAAGTGGTATAGAAGGCTCAGATGATCAACTGATGGTACATCCTTTAACGAGCCGAAAGACCTACAGAAACTTCCCTAGAATGTACCTAGCATTGATTGTTGCTTTTTGGCCCGTTGTTCCAAACCTTGGAAAATTTCCGTCAGTGTTACAAGCTCTCTATATGCCAACAAATGGACAAACAGTAGCCTCAAAGATGACGAAGAGTATCAACGGTGTGACCAGAGAAAGGCAAGTAGCTGTGGAGCCAAACTGTACCATCCAAGCGCGCTCAAATTACAACTTTCAAGATCACATTATCTCCATGAGTGGCCCACGGCATTTACAAAAAAACCCCGTACATGCCACGCAGTCTTAACTTCTATACATCACAGGAGAAGAAAACAAAGCACCTGCAGATATAACTCTACCGTACCGGACGTGGCCTGGGCCACGGCCCATGAAAATTTTGAACATGATTTCTCAACTAATTTATTCCAAGTATCTTGATGTCGTCTCCTATACACTTGAGGTGTTCCCAGAAGATGAACCTATCCTGCTCAAGCTCCTTAATTCCAGAGAAGTGCGTGCGCTCAAAATGATTGTTTACTACTGCCGGTAGACTGTACGTAAATGTTCTCTCCTTGTAAGAGAGGCGATTATCGCCGATGCAGCAAGATTATTACGTTTTTAGTTTGAGCAGCGGGGAAACTTCTTACTCGGGAAGCTCCTGAACTAGTGCTGTCATCTGGACCTTTGTTCGTTATTAGATATGGTCCTGTCTAGCCGTTTCTTGCTTCTGATAGATTTTTAAGATGAATTCGCAAATCACAACACAAAGCTGTAGTGTTTCTTCAAAGATTAATGTCTCCGGATAATGACAGAGTTTTTTTCAGCCGTACGCGCCTAGGTATCTGAAAGTTTGCCCCCAGAATATCTCTCGATATGTCACGTTCGTAGATTGTAAAGTTAAAAGCCACGATACTCTTCCTAACCCCTCTTTTCACGGTACCCTTGCTTCGCGCGAATCTGTTGGGTTAGATCGCAAATTTCGTCGGTACCAGTCGTTCTTAAGCTCTTCTCGTTTCTGCTCTAGAGCCGCTATCTCGGGATCTGGTAGTATTTTCTCCCATACCTCGTCGGGCACTATATTCAGTGAAGCGCGTGGATCGTGTTCGGCTGATGTAAGTGAAGAGTACAAACATGTCAGAGTGCTGGATGCATGGCACAGGTATAGGGACGTGCGAGTCATGGCCTAATATGGAAGTCTTGGTATACTGAAGAATCGGAGGAACTAGTGCCCTACGGCTCCGATATACGGGATCTACGGCCCCGACTCCGGGCTCTAGCTATCTATGTAAGGGAAGTTATTTGGGAAGAAGATAGGAAGCTCAATGAACCACTTTGGGCACCCCTACCTGAGACCGCTAGTGACCGCTAGTGACCACCCGGTGCTAACCAGGAGGGAAGCCTACTACTCCCCATCACTCTGTACTATTGCCTTCGGCCTAGCCGTACCCTGACAAATACGAAACTGCCAACGCTCCGGAATGGCCCTGCGCAGACTATTTTGATTCTCATAACGGGCTTATAAGAACGTTCGGCAATCGCTATGTTGACTACTACGACGGCAAAGACGACGACGAAGATGAGGACGGTAAGACCAGTCCAACACGCCCGCAAGAAGTATGGGATGATCTTCATGAGAGCACTATACGGAGCAACATTGGAGTGAGGAAAACTACCAAGCGTGCGTCGATCGGTATTTACGCAGGTATTATGTGTATACCTGGGTTATGATGTTTGAGGACTTGGAGTTGGATGCCGGGGAGCGATGGCGCGTGTGAAACGATGGACTTCTATGCACCTTAGTATGCCGTAGTTGATGAACTTGATGCTCCATCTAGCGACTTTGTGATGTTTTCGACGTTCATTTCAGTGAAAAGGTCGCTAGCTGCTGCTCGATCCGCAGTATTTTGGTATCCATGGCGACATGTTCAGCAACTTCACCCAAGAGCGTAACAATATCATGCCATTTTCTATCGAGTGTTTTCTGATAGTCTAGTTCCGGATGTTCTTGACGGACATGCAGTCGCTACGATAGATGACAATATGGACTCAACCCCTTGAAATCAGTAGTCATTATTATATATTCCAGTCGGCTGGTGTAGTTGGTCACTTCGCTGGTAGATAAGTCCCGATTTGAGCCTCGCCCACTTGGGTCGGTGACGAGTCGCGGGTTCGAATCCCGCAGCTGACACACAAGGGGGTTTAGTCAACCCTTACGGCGCGCTGCCCACCTTGTTGACTTCGCCTACCTAGCGATAATAGGGAGATTGGTGCAGTTTAGGATTACGAGCATCCTAGCCAGTCGACCGTCAAGCACTACGTCGGCGGAATATAACTCGACAGCCGGTCCAGAATTCGAATCGTTAATCCGACCCCTTATCGGACCTCGCCTTTCCGATAACGCTCGTCGGCGAACCCGTCCCCTCACGATAGAAGGCGCGCAGCACGCCCTCTCGCCGCGATTCTTGCGAGCGTCTGACCACGTTACGGTCTATCCACTTGAGCGTATGGTTGAGATGTATACGCTCGACGAGAACCCCAATTAGCAGATACTACGACTTGTCGCGACAAAAAATAGTCGAGCATCTTCTGCACATCAGCAGCATCCCACCCCTGAGGACGAATTTAAGTGCCACATTACCACACTTATCGGTAGTTCAGGCAGGGGTTGTAGCACAGACTTAGGGAGGGACAGGAGGTTTAGTAGTCATTTGGCTACAAGTTTACCTGTATAACCGCCCGACGCGGCTTAAGGGCCCGCTATATCATCTATAGCCCCTTAAGGGAGTACTTGTAGAGGTACCGAGGGTTAACACCTACGGCGTATTTAATATTATTATTATTTTATATATTCCAAAACTCCACAAGAAAATATCTGTGGCGAGTTAGATATTGCGAATTTCAAAGTCTTAATCTAGACGTGAGTGATTGAGATACGACGTAAGGTTTCCGACACCCGATTGGTCATGTCCCTCCTTATCTCAGTTGAGATTGCATTGGTCATGGAAATGAAGCATTTGCACGTACACCACAAACTGACAAACAGACAACAGCAGGGGAGTTTCCTATTACACCATTGCGTCCTCAAATAACCCTGCTAAAAGTTACAGAGCTAAAATGCTTGTTTTATTTTCATTTGTCAGGAATTCCAGGGGACCATGTAAACTATCGCGGTTGAAGAGCCTGCTTTAGGAAGGTCTTGTTGATAGGAGGATATGGTCCTGCGGAATCGTATACGAAAGCTGTGCATCCCCGAACAAATTTCCCCAGGCTACGCAGGGAGGTAAACAAACTTGATAGGGTATTTAAGACAGATCAAGCAAGAGGATGGCCAAGCTTTCTTGGCATCTTACCTCGTGCAGAGTCAGAGAACACTGCGGGCTTAGTTCACCATGAAGAATCAAACATTACTCTCGTTGCTTGCAGCTCAAGCCGCCGCGTCCCGATTTTTTCAAGCTAGCACCAAAAGCCTGAAAGCCATTCAGGCCGCCAGCCCCGACATCGCGACAGACAGCTTCGTCCAAATCCGCAAAGTTGCAAGCAAATCGCAACGTTCAGCATATACCAAAGCCCTCCTGCGCGGCCCCTTGGAAGATGGCCTGTACAAAGCCGCCACTGCCGCTGAAGAGCCCCTCGACAACCTGCTAGAAGAAGAGTATGTGGGCGCCGTTTCCTTCGGCAATCAGTCCTTCCAAGTCATCTTCGATACCGGATCCAGCGACACCTGGCTCGTGCAATCCGGCTTTCTCTGCGTCGACGAGGAGGGTAACGAACAGACTGAGGACGACTGCTACTTCGGCCCAGCATTTGACGGGGCATTCCAGTATGGCGAGATTCCGGACGAGAATTTCAATATTGCGTATGGTGATGGCGAGTTCTTGACTGGTGTGTTGGGGTATGAGGACGTGACTGTCGCCGGTATCACGGTGCTGCATCAGGAAGTGGGGCTTGTCAACTATTCGTACTGGTTCGGCGACGAAGTCTCGAGTGGGCTGGTTGGGTTGGCGTATCCGTATCTTACGAGTGCGTATGCGGGGACCAATGCATCGAATGACAGTTTGTCAAACTTTGTGGAGTACGATCCTGTGTTTACGAGCATGGTCAAGCAGAACCTGAGTGCACCCCTTTTCAGCTTGGCGTTGACGAGGAATTCGTCGGAGGGGTATATTGCCTTTGGGGGTTTGCCCCCTGTGGATTATGCAGGTGAATTTGCAAGCACGCCTATTTTGAAGGTCAGTTCCGAGGGATAATCCCATGATTATGAATCTTGGTGGTATGGCTAACATGAGTAGATCTCCATCAACGAGCCGTACAAGAGCATTCCCCAGTACGAGTTCTACACAATTGTGCCAGACAGCTACACGTGGAAAAACGCAACCACCTCGGCTAGTAATATTCCCATCATTGTCGACAGTGGCACCACGCTCGCCTACCTACCGACCAGTATGAGCCCACATGATGCCCAAAACCCGAGCATGATACTAACAGAAATGTGAAGATATTGCCGAGCCCATACTCGCGGCATACTCACCACCAGCTGTCTATCTGGAGAACGAGGGTGCGTATTTCGCACCTTGCGACGCCACGCCCCCTGAATTTGGCATCACCATTGGTGGCACCACTTTCCAGATTGATCCCAAGGACATGATTTATACTGACATTGTTGACCCTGATACCGGCTACTGCCTTGCTGGTATTGTGGATGGAGGCGACGAAGGGAGCTTTATCCTGGGTGGTACCTTTCTCAACAATGTCGTGGCGGTATTTGATGTGGGGGCCGCTGAGATGCGTTTCGCAGCTCGTGTGCCGTACTAAGTGGTCCTTGGGAGTAATTGTAACTTGTAGCCTGGAGAATAGTTGAAACAGCTCACTTCATGTGCCCAAATATCAACGGTGCGATTGCATCTATGTTAGTGGCGGACCTAGCCAACCATCACTAGCCCGTTTGTGATACTTCAATCTATTAGTTGCTGTGCGGCTGCCGTCGTCTATAGTCATTTTAGGCGACACAGTCACATTGGGGACCCTCTGTAGCAAAAGACAAGATAAATTCCCCACTTCACGTGTATACGGAATAAGGATCGAGCTCAGCCTTACTATCCTTCCGGATATATCTATTCCAAGTTTTCGACTTCTATACTTATATACCTATATTGATAGGGGTTTCACTCAGGAGTCAGGCGTGACCAGAAAATGAGACGACACGTGAGGACAGAGTCATAATGTGTCCTTTGCCGCGAGAACCTTTCATGTCACCACGCCGAGTCACGAGTTGCCGCCCTGTCGTGAAGTTGACCAAAGAATCGTTGCTGTTTGACTAGTCTTAAAATCAAAACCGATCCAAGGTAAAACTCTAAGCATTTGCATGTTCCGACGCCACGTTGAAGGCTGTGACCAGATTCGAGGAACCCAGATAGCAGCCTCTTTAGAAGCCTCGGAAGAATAATCCTCTACGACGCAGCCTTCAACTGTGGTGATCGATTCATTGACGATGCGCTTTACCTGGCCCACATCTCCTGTATAAAGTTAGCGCAATGTCGGCTTGTATCAGCGCTCTCTGTCCATCTGTTGTATGTCTTTTCCTTGCACATACGTTAGACCTGTGTCCCTCCCCCGTCTTTCGCGTTCGATTTCAGAGTCCAGAGCGTGCCTATGGGACCAGCTTCTGCCATCTCCCGTACCACAGAGCTCGAGGGTTTGCCTCATCTCGTTGTGAGAAAATTACCAGTCGAGATACAACGGGCTGTCTTTGAGTGTTTACTCTTCTTCTACACATTTTCCCAATGCTGGTATATCTGTTGCTTTATTTTCGAGGACGTATAGTTGAGGACGTGGTCTATACGGCGTGGAGACGCGGGGGCATCGCCTCGCTGCTACAGCTAGACATCAAGGGGGCATTCGATACGGTCAATTACAGACGGCTGATTTCCATATTAGCCCGGAAAGGCTACCCGGAGTGGGTTCAGGAGTGGGTACGCAGCTTCGTGGAGGATAGGACGGTACGCCTCCGGTTCGATGGCAAGGAGTCAGAGCCAATCCCCCTACGAGCTGGCGTCCCCCAGGGGTCACCGCTATCCCCGATACTGTTTATATTATACATTTCAACGCTGTACGAGGAGCTAGCGGAGCAGCATCCACTACTTTTAGTAGTCGGGTTCGCGGACGACACGAACCTGCTAAGCGTCGGCACCGATCCAGACACGACCTGCCGCCGGTTGGAGAGCGCATGGGCTACGTGTCAGCGGTGGGCAGTGAGGCACGGGATGGAGTTCGCTCCTGACAAGAGTGAGCTAATGCACTTTACTAGGGCCCGAGAGCCCTTGCCGCAAAGTATTCGCCTTGGGGACGCCACAGTGTCGCCGGTAGTCTCAGCCAGGTTCCTAGGAGTCTGGTTCGACCGCAAACTGACGTGGCACGCCCATGTTGAGCGTGTTAAAACAAAAATGGCAACTCAAAAGCTAGCCCTGACAAAGCTAGTCAATATGTCGTGGGGCTGCGATCTTATACGGGCGAGGCTGTTATATACGGTGGTTATCCATAGCGCGATCGCCTTCGGAGCGACTGCGTGGCATACTATAAGTGAGGAACCGGCAGGGCCAGCTAAGAGCCTGATGGGGATACATAACGAGTGCCTCCGGGTAGTCTGTGGCGCCCACAAAGCGACGCCGGTTCGCCACCTGGAAGCAGAAGCAGCAATCCCGCCACTAGACCTCTATCTTAGTGCCCGGGCTGCTAAGTTTGAAGAACGGCTACGACTTAGCGGGAAGAGAAATCTGCTTCGCAGCACGAGCGCTAAAGCGTCACATATACTCCGGCAGGATAGGCCGGCGAAGAGGAAGCAGGCGTCGCAGCTACTCCGACCGGCAGGGTACACTATGGAGAAGGAGGCCCAGGGCTCCGAGTGGATGAGTGAGGAAAAGGAGGTCCCGGCTGCCCTCCTCGGCCACTGGAGGAAGAGATGGCTCACCGGAGCAGAGCATCACGATCGCCAGCGACGCGCTATCGCTGAGGAACCGGAGGGCCGTTCGATGCAGATACCGAAAGGGGGCAGGTATTTCGGCCTGAACCGACTGGAGGCGTCTACGCTGTGCCAGATCAGGACGGAAAAAATAGGACTAGCAGCCTTCTTATTCAAGACAGGGGCTTTTGGCGTGTACTCGCCGCTATGCCGCTGTGGCGACGCCCCTGAGACGGCAGAGCACGTAATCCTCTTTTGCGGGCTGTTGGAAGGACCGAGGGAACGATTACGGGCCGCCATCGCACCACGGCCACTATACTCTCGCAGAGACCTCGCAACGGCAACAGGAGAACCAGTAGTTAGTGGGACTATTGTAAGGTGGCTGCTAGGGACGGGTCGGACAGCTTCAAGGCCCAGATAGCATCGATCTTCTCAGGGGGGACTTTGTTGGTAGGTTGAGAACCAACGTAGTATGGTAGTGGACGCAACGCAGTCGCCAATAGGGCGAACCGACGACGCAGCGTATGTATTTAGTCCAGCCATTAGGGCACGGTTTGACATACGGGAGTACTAGCAGAGGTACCGGGGGCTTCGAGCCTACGGCGTATTTAATAATAATAATAATATTTTCGAGGATTATCGGCCGAATCCGACCAGTCCAAGGCTAGAATGTCCTTCATCCGGCTCGTGTCCAAGCGAAAGCATCAGCATCGATGTCACCAATGTGCTCAACGAGAAGTGCATTGCCAGAATGTGTACTGGGTCAAGGACCAAAAATTGGCACTACCTGGCCTTGCTTCCCAAAACCGCCATTTTCAGGTTTCAATTCGCTCATAGAACGGTTGGCGCCATTCGATTACAGTTTCAAGACAGCACGAACTCACCACGGCTTGGGCAACCCAAGCGAGCATGGTATGGGTTCCACAAAACCCATGATCTGGGAGAAGTGAAGATCGCTCAAGACACAAGAAAAAGAGGGCTGAACCACGCATCCATCATTGACAAGTGTAAGCCTTGAAGTTCGTCGGTCTAAAAGTTGGAATCACCGGTGACTCAAAGAGCCCCGAAGAAGCAGATATACCCTTACCGGGCTAGTCATCTGGGATCACAATACCATTGGCCTCGAGGACATAAGGTACGAAGCAATTGATATCAAGACGTCTAGTGCGAAGCTGTTCCATTACCCAAGTGAGCGCATTGCCAGGTGTATTTCTTTTCGGCAAAGTGGACAGTACATTCGCTGAACTATATCCCGGGGCGGTATGCGCTATCGCAAATCGCGTGTCCAACCAGTGGATTCGCTCATGCTATGGGAATTGCCTTCCCACTCCTTTTCCAACTACGACCTGGGGATAGAAGTCTTAGATCTTATTCAAATCGGATGCTCTGACTTAGCTAGCGTTTACTACATATCTGATATTAGTACGTATCCACGGATAGCAGCTAATGAATTAATCCATATAATATTAACCTAGTACATCATTATACCCTTAGGCGAGGAGAACCTCAACAGTAAAGTCGGTTATGTAACGCTTACTAGGATCCTATGCGTAGAGTTCTTCGTGTCGAATCTAGTTAATAATAGCTCTAGAGTTAAATTTTTTTACCCGGCAGCTCCATAACTGTTTTAACTGCTATAATGAATGCGGCAGGATGACATAATCCCTTTGATACTCTACCGATAAGCTACCACGGCCTAGGAATAGCCCTGACGAGGACAAGCTCTTTAGCTCGTTCGATTCGCTACTGAAAATCGTCTATTCTAGGTTATGATAGATCAGCTATTTTATACAGAGTTATCGAATCATCACAAACTGAAAGAGAGACGCGTTAATACTATAGTCACGTAATTTCCTCGATGCGAGTGCATATGGGGTGTGTATTGTTGTATTGGGAAAGGATGGCCAAGTCAGCTATTCTGGCCTGGCAGAGCTGTTTTATAGCTCTTATCTTATCTACCTTATCTATAGCTACAGGATAACCCCCCATGGGGTCACGTATCATTCCTATACGATGAGAGTGTGTGTAAAATATAGTTAATACGGTTAGTAACTTTCGATAACCGGTACATTGAACTAGCCTAGTTAGAGGTAAATTCTGGTTGTAATTTTCCAAACTCCTAGAATAATACTAATCAGGGTGGGCGTCATTCCACCCCTTTATATGGCGAAATAAAGGCTAGTAATAGTAGTAATCGATCTAGCGCCTTCCGCCGATTAAGACAAATCTAAGAACCTCTAAAAGCCTTGGAGTTTGAGAGACCCTTACATTCAAATAATCCAAAATGAGTCAGATTTGATTTGTATTTGCAAACCTATGGCCGATTCAATTTGGTGTGATTGTTTGCTAAGCCGTTGCTGTATACTGGGCGCTGTCACCCTTCCTACTAGCACTCCGAATCTGAAACTTCTCGCCTTGTATGGCTTCTTTTCATATCCCGGCCGCAGTTGCTCCTGGATGGGTCCATCGGCATACATACCACATACATACCTTTCCTAACCTGAACCCGAATTAGAGGCTGAGCTTGAGCTCGAGCTCGAGCTTGGTTCGGAGTCGGAAGAATTTCTATGATTGTCTTCCTCTTCCACCTCAATATCATAGGGCGGTGGTCTACTCTGCCCAACTGCCTCCTCGTCATGCTCTGCCTCAAAAGGCTGGTAGTCATGGGTATCAATTTCTAGATTAGTCCCATAATTATGGAAAAATCTTTGGCTGACTTGTTCGCGCCAGGAGGTCAAGGCGGCCGCGCGACGACGTTCAGGGCCGAAGCACCAGTTGTCGCAGAATATCATGAAGCAGAGGATTGCGCTGAGAGGAGCAAGAATGGTGGCGCTGGTCATTAGAATCATAACTAGCGCTGCTTGCGGCGTGTTTCGGTAATCGTCAGCTGGGGCCATGTTTGTTAAAATTTGGTAAGCTGGTTGTTTTAAAGCCTCGATAGGGGTGTGTTAAATGATGGCACCGAGAACTCTCAGGCGGGAGATAGCTGCGACTGCCGTAATTGGACACTCGAGGGTATGGCTTTGAGTTGTTAATTTCCTTCGCGAGTGATGGATTTGGTGGCGATATAAACGCTGATGGTTCTATAAATATGTTGGGATCTGTGGCATATCAGGATTATTGAAGTCGACAGTGGCATGCGGCTTGAATATAAATAGTATTCCTGACCATACGCTCATGACACCCTGTAACTTATTGTACGATCCCGGTGAATGTGAACGTCAGTTTCAGAGTCTGACAAGTAAGAGATGACGCACTGATTAAAGTGTTTGAACACTTTGAAGTAATCAATCTCTCGACGGGCCAGGGGTGGTCAACAAAAGTAAAACTGCAACTATCAGCCAGAATGCGGTTGCCCAGAGTCAAGAATACACGAGCTTTGGTAGCATCGATTCATGCATGTCACTGTGGAATGTCACGGCTTATACTTCTGAATGTTATTCGAAAGACATTCGACTTGCTCAAGTTTTATGTCCTGGCCAGTGCTCGATTCTCATGAGCTGACCGATGTCTAAACACAAAAATAAAAGGGGCGTGAAAGATGCATGGCAATCACGTAAATCCCAGGCCACTTGAATTGGGGAAAAGAGGAGAAAAAACCCTGTACACACAGTATAGCGACCATAAACAACGGATTACGGATATTAGTCGCCTGCTAAATCGCTTTATTGTTGTGAACATTTGGGATCAAGGGCCTGACCGAAGCGGTGCCTCTGTAGTTAAGAACGAATCAGTGATGCAGCTCCTCCCTGTCAAATTATACGCTACCATCTAAAAATTCGCCCTTTCCTTCATTGACCTGCACTGCTAGTAGTTCTCCCAATAATCATTGACCCTAGAACGTCTTGGCTTAAGTATGCTTCGTATGAACTACCCATCTTTCAAAGTACTCGATGTGTACCTGAAAATTATTTGGGTAGTCAGAAAAAAAGAAAAGAAGTTGTTGATCCCATGCAGCTAACACCTAGTTAACACACATACGACGCATGCAGATGTCTTCGGCATCCTTCAAAGAGCAGCATGCAATGTACCGGCAGGCAAGCTGCTGGAAACAACGACAATGCCAGCCCGGATACGAACACCTAGATGTACTAAGCGGCGCAGGGAGGCATGATTCTACATGATCTGTGGTAGCTGCCCAGGGCAGAGGCGGCGTCCATACGAATTCGTACCGAGATATCACCGTTCAGCTATGATCTTACACTTATGAGTATGTTGATGTCATTGCAGGCAGTAGGATCCGGAATCTGAAATGCTGATTCGACGAAATGGAGGAATACAGCCGGGGAATGAATAATAGCCACGGTCCACGACAATTGGACGCTAAATGAGTGGCTTGTACAATCGTCGCGTGCATGATTATGGCTAAAATGATACATCACCCCCGTAAGCATGCCAGCTTGCGATAGATTGCCCGTTAGCTTCCTGTCTGACGGGGTATCGGAGAGGTATGGTTGCATAGCATCAGCTGATGGTCAAGTGACGCAGCGGATTCATTCAGTAGTGCTGTGAAGATGCACCAGAGCAGGGATCTTGATCCTGCCTGGTTCGTCTGGAAGTGGCGACCGCCAAAGCTTCTCAGAGCTTGGGCCACCCACGATCGAGTTCCGACACCAGGAAAGCCGTCTTTCCTCACCGTTATGTCCTGTCGAAGCTCAAGCTCCTAGAAGCGGTGGTAATCAATGCGGACGAGGAGGACTGCAAGCTCAATTCGCAATGCCTCTCCTCCACATCAATCTCAAACCCGTTTTGACCAGCCGAGGCTATCGCTTCCCACCGTACTCCCTCGCAGTCTCCATTCAATTGAATCTGCAGCGTTTTTTTCTCGAGTACAAGGCCTCGCTGTCAACCCCAAATCCGCAGCCCCCACCATTACCGACACTCTTGACCTTCACGCCCGCCCCAACGTACACTCTCGGCCGGCGCCAGATCTCCCCCCTGTCTCCCTCAGAACTTGCGCGCCTGCAGGCACCGCTCCACGTCTATCACCACGGAGAACTCGAAACCTTATCGCCCGACGTAATGAATGCGCCGCGCGGCGGTCTAGCGACCTACCATGGCCCAGGACAGCTCGTCTTCTGGCCCACCATGGACCTGCACTCGCCGCTGCACAAGCGATTCACCGTGCGCGATTATGCTTGTCTTCTCGAGAGGACCACCATCGGAGCCATCGAAAGTGCGACGCGCAACGACGGTCGGGACGGCGTCAAGGGCTTCACGACTGAGAACCCGGGCGTTTGGGCGCGCCATCATCTCACTGGAGGCAAGAGTTGGAACAATGACCAAGACGAAGCTCATAATAAATGGGAAGAGCGCAAGATCGCTGCAATGGGCGTTCACTTACGAAGGCATGTTACGGGGTTAGGGGTCGCGGTCAACATCAACATGCCCATTACTGGGCCTGAGGAGTCCAACCCGTGGGCACGCATCACTGCCTGCGGATTGGAAGATAAGCAGGTCACGAATGTCGCGTCGCAAGACCTTAGTCGAGACTGGTCCGAATCGTCGCAACACGACCGTATGAATTCACTCTGGGCGGAGGAGTTCGCGAAGCGGATAGGAGTTGAAGGCGGCGTTGTGGCATGGACTTTTGACGAGAAACACCAATCCCTTGCGACGCATGAAAACGACCGCCTTCTGCAGGTCGGAGATGCTTGGCCCGACCTCGAAGATATCGATGTAGGCGATTTCATTGGAGGCTTGGATGACGTTTCTGGGTTGTAATGACATCTCCAAAACAAGACGTTCATCCCTCTGCCATATCACCATACCTCTACCATATATGGCAGAGTTCGAAGTATTGCCAGCGGGAAAAACAGCGGCGGAACGCGGAACACTGAACACCTCAACTCCAGCATGGAAAACATGCCAACCCCCACGCACGTTGATCATATCTGCAAAGGGCGGTTTCAAGTGACAGATGGCCACGACCAACGAAACTCAGACGAGCCCCTCAGGGATTTCGTTGTGCAGTGCGTTTTGACGACCAAGCCACCACAACACAGGTTCTCCAAAATGCCAAATTGAAACAACCAAATGTCGCCGGGCCGAGTGATCCCCCTAGCCGCAGAAACCCCTGGCCTCCGGATCTCCTTCCCGGCTGACAAAAAAGTCCTGGAGCTCGATCCCATCTCCGCGGGCGAGCGATCCGGCACACCGGGCCACAAGGTGCGCCAAGAGATGTAAGTCGACTAAATTATTACGCAAAGTCGGCTGGTGTAGTTGGTCACTTCGCTGGTAGATAAGTCCCGATTTGAGCCTCGCCCACTTGGGTCGGTGACGAGTCGCGGGTTCGAATCCCGCAGCTGACACACAAGGGGGGTTAGTCAACCCTTACGGCGCGCTGCCCACCTTGTTGACTTCGCCTACCTAGCGATAATAGGGAGATTGGTGCAGTTTAGGATTACGAGCATCCTAGCCAGTCGACCGTCAAGCACTACGTCGGCGGAATATAACTCGACAGCCGGTCCAGAATTCGAATCGTTAATCCGACCCCTTATCGGACCTCGCCTATCCGTTAACGCTCGTCGGCGAACCCGTCCCCTCACGATAGAAGGCGCGCAGCACGCCCTTTCGCCGCGATTCTTGCGAGCGTCTAGACCACGTTACGGTCTATCCACTTGAGCGTATGGTTGAGATGTATACGCTCGACGAGAACCCCAATTAGCAGATACTACGACTTGTCGCGACAAAAAAAGTCGAGCATCTTCTGCACATCAGTAGCATCCCACCCCTGAGGACGAATTTAAGTGCCACATTACCACATTTATCGGTAGTTCAGGCAGGGGTTGTAGCACAGACTTAGGGAGGGACAGGAGGTTTAGTAGTCGTTTGGCTACAAGTTTACCTGTATAACCGCCCGACGCGGCTTAAGGGCCCGCTATATCATCTATAGCCCCTTAAGGGAGTACTTGTAGAGGTACCGAGGGTTAACACCTACGGCGTATTTAATATTATTTTTATTACGCAAACTGGCCGGGGCATTGCGCCGTCCCGCTGTAATGACCTCTTCTCTCTCTGCCCCACGACGCGGGTTCTGGGCGTGATAGGCCAGGACCCCTGGGACTCGGGTTAAAATAAAGTTTGCTAGGCGGGCCGTTGTCCAGAGTCTTGGGTTGCACTAATGGTATCGAAAAGTGAAACCCCCATGCATCACCTAGGCACTGTTTCCAAGATTGATTACACAGTTCTAATATCGAATCACTCTTTCCGAGTTGAGTCAAGTAGCCAAGCGTGGTTTAGAGCTGAGCTGAAACGGCGAAATTGTGGGGGAACACAAGCAACGGTCGACACCGGCTTCGGGTGTTGGGAGAGGAAAAAAAAGAAAAAAGTCTACTCTAAAACATTGACGTGTCAAGCGCCTGGCTGCAGGAGGCTTCGGCCATTGTACGACGCTGTCGTGGAATCATTGTGGTCATTTATACATCCGAAATCGGGAGATTCGGGTGTTAGTGCGCGGGCACCTAATTCGGTGAGGAGCGAGATCGATCCCCCATCAGCTGCGGTGAGAGAGCATCGGTATCGGCCCGGCGCGGCCCGGAGAGGCCAGGAGAGGCCAGGCGAGACGTGTCATGAGCGATTAACTTACTTAATTCCTTACCTCTTTGGCCTCTATGTAGAAGTAGAGCTCATATGCACTTTGGTCCAGGCCCTATGCATTCCGATCCGCCCGAGTTCATAAGGCCGAAGACACATGTTGCAATCCATGCTTAACACCCAAAAGCCAATAAGATGCTGATCAAATACCATTAATTTCCGTGTCAGGCGATGCCCATTCATTCTTTTGTCTGGACCTAGTTACGTAGCTGGCTAGTACGTCCGTCTGCCCGTTAGTCAGGTTGGCCCTCATTCCAGACGCTGTCCCTCTCGACTGAATTCTACGCCGTGTGCTCATCATACTGCTTGCTGATGTTGCTCTGACCAGCTCCGTCCTAAAGAAAACAAGCAGTAGGTGCCGCTGTACTCCGTGCATTAATAACAAAACGCCATAAGGTTTTTCAAATTGATTATTGCCTCCCCCAAACCGGTGGCTCATGGCCATGAATTGTATCGTAGGAAAAAGAATTACGAGTGGGGAAAAAAGAGCACCGCCCTCCCAGTCTATCCTTTACACTCCTTTTTTATGCCGCCTCCGCAATTCTCATGACTCCGTTTACGAGCCCCAATCCTGCTCGCCGTCGGAAACTCGTCATCGTGGTCTGGCTTGTATTCTTCCGGTTGAAAGTGAGGGTTGTTGTAGTGGGCGACATTAAAGTGGCTGTTTTTGAACGTGTTGGTCGTGAAGGTGGGTTCCGTGGCATATGTGTTCGCGCCCACCATTTCCGGGAGGTCGGGAAAGTTGTATTTGCTGAAACGCAGGCGGTGTTGTGTTGGAGGTACAAGGGGCTGTTGCGTTAAGGGCTGTTGTGGCGGGGAGGGCTGCTGTTGCGGAGGGGCAGGAGGAGGCGGTACTGCGGTTGCGGTAGAGGCGGGCAACCCATCGGAGAAGTTTGAGATCCAAGGCGACTGGGGAGATTGCGAATAGCCCTCTGTCATGGGAGATGTTGCCGGAGGAGAAGCGAGTGGCGACATGATCGGTGCATCAAAGCCAGGTATCATGGCCAGCGTGCTCAAGTCAAGAGTGGAAAATGTCTGCAAGGAGGGAATGGTATTTTGGATCTCATGTTGATGTGACAGAGATGTTACGCGGTTGACTTGCAATGATTTGGGTGGTGGCGGAACGACAGTGTCGCGATAGAGAATGTCATAGTGACCTGGCCGATATAGCAAGTGAATCATGGATCCGAGAGCAGCGGGATCTTTCCTATTAGCCTCTTCAGGCATGCGGTGCACGTTGACCTGATCTCCTTCACTTCGGTCGAGGTATGCAATTTCCAAGACAATGTTGGCAGGCTCGAGTAAGACGCGGAAAAGCAAAATAAGACCGAGGTGATCGATCTCTCTGTCCACGGGCAATATCCACGAATCACAGTAGCTGCTGGCGTTTGGGGATACGTCGCAGAATGGGGCGTATTCGTCGTCGTAGTGTTCTTTCAAACACGACGCCGCAAGTAAACGCAGATGATAGATCATAGGCGACGCCGATGTCTCGTCATTAAACTTCTGAGTCAGGATCTCCATGGGATCTTGACCGCTATTCATGGCTTGGATGATCCCATTCATCGTCTCGAAGGTTTCCTCAATCATGTAGTCAAACATGTCGAGTTCATACCCTCCGACATTGGCGATATAGTCGTTGAGGCTGTTCAACCGCGCCAGCTCGGTTTGAATCCGAGAGATATCGGCACATCGTATGAGACATTCGAAATAGCCAAAAAAGATTGCTACGTGTCGGAAATTAGCCAAGATTCTACAGTATGTGAAGTGGGGGCTCGTGTATCTTCAGTGAAGTGTTCCAGTGCACCGATGCTCGTCAATTCCACCCCCGCCTCGCAGCCTGTAGCAGGATTTGCGGGGTACGTTCGCGAAGATGCGCAGAATCTAGAAATTGCCAGGTTCGAACTCACCTCGCCAGCCACAATTTCCGTCACCTTGGATCGGACGGTAGTGGGAATAAGTCCGGGGTAATGCCTGGAATGTGGATTAGTCAATTGAACCAGGGCACACAGTTGACCTGGAAGGGATGAGCCCATCGCCGGATGCGTCTCTTCCATCTCCAATACTTGAGGCGACGGTTCACAAGTCAGAATCCTCTTACCAAAGTTTTGGCGACATATACCGGATCTGCCTTTGCGTACTCCTCCGTTATCGCATGGCTGGTGATTTTGACGCCGACCATTGGGCCCTGTTGGCAATGCAGAGACGCAGGTCAGCCATCTGAAGTTTTAATGGGGGAAAGAACCCGAGTGCTGCACGCAGGGAAAAAAAAAAGAAAAAAAAACAGACAGCAAGCACAAGCAATGCCTCAGGACTTACGCTGAGCTGAGGCTTGAATTCGCGGGCAGCTGCCTCCTGCTGTGCGAGATCGCTCTGCTGCTCCATCTTGATGCGTCGGCCGTGGCCAGAGTGGTGGTGATCGCGTGGGCGAATGCCGTGCTGGTGATGCGGTATTGAGTTGTAAGGAAGCTGATGTGGGTGGTTGTTGGCCAGCAAAGAATTGTCAAAGGCCGGCGAGGTAAAGACATTGTTGACATTTGGTCCCAGTGGTGGCAGCCCGTCAGAGCTGGTAGCTCTCCCGCCGCTACCGCCGCCCTGACCCAGCGGGGTGGGTGCGAAAGTGTATTCTGGGATATTCGCGTTGCCTACCCCATACGTCGTCTGGAAGTAAGCGAACGGTGTGGGTTGCGGCTGGAACATGCCTGAGCCTGAATCCGAGCCTGGAAGCTCCGGCTCATGAAAGCGGAAGAAGAGACCGTGGTTTTCTTTTTGTCGTTGTTCTTGTTGTTGTCTGTTTTGCATGCAAGTGCAGGTGCGGAAGGTGCTGGTGCAATGGAGATTTCTCTTGGTGTTGCTGGTGCCGGCAGCAACAGAGGGCGCACAGAATCGAGAGAAGAGAAAAAGAAAGTCAAGAAAGGAGCAAAAGGGGGGAACAAGAGAGGAGGCGGAAGAAGAGGAGGAAATGGACGTCAAGAGTTCGAGAGAACCAACCTGGAGGTCGATGAATGGACAGGGAGGGGATCCAGAGAATTGGTAAAGGTGGGCTTGCCCGTCTACATCAGTTCAATAATAGCAGGCGCCGGCTGCAGTAGCAAGCCAGCATTTGATTCATCGGACCTCAATCACGGGCTGCAGCACAGGAAGCATCTGCCCGTCTATGACACGGATTCGCACGTACCGGTTCCCTTCGTTCTATCTCTCTTTCCAGGGGCCAAGATTGCCGTGCATCGTGTGTGATGCAGGGCAATGGTGTGCGCCTTCACCACCCCTCGGGTTAATGTGATAATTCATGTACCTAAATTCTGAGCTTGAGTCTGGTCTCACAAGCTCTGTGCTGACCAGATGGCGACCAAATGGCATCCTGCTACTACTGCTCGCTAGCGATTTGCCCGGTACAATCCGTGCCAGCCTGGTGCTGCACTGTAGTGGCGCATCGGCGACTGGCGCCCTTGCCCAGATTGAAGCTCCTCCCAAAATCGAAAAATCCCGTTGACTGCTTGTTTCCCACAATTACCATGCCTTCTTTCCCGTTGCTCTTATGAAGCATTACACCTGCCTCACCACTCTAACGCGACACAAGCGACCACTCCGTACTTGACTTGTACCTACACAATCTCGGCATCCATGTTGACAAACGCTCGATATGTCAGGTTACACAGGCTTTCTCGAGCCTTCCGTACCCTTGCTTAGCTCGGCCACGGCCTGGCAGAACGACCAAAGAAACGTCAACATCATCCTCTCGTCGGTTGTGTCAAGCTGACCTGGTCAATTCAATGAAAAGCTATCCTCCTTACCCTCGACTTCGGTTGCAGATCAAGATTCGTGGGTAAGGGTACCTATATAAGCCAAGTATTGGGGTCGTCAGCGCTTGCATCGGAGTGGTGTGCTGCACGAACATGGCAACACCTGACCGTGGTTGGTGAGGGGGGGCAATCAGCTTCGAAGCCGAGTGGTGCCCACAGTGGTGCTTTCCGCGCCCCAGCATCCCTTGAGCACTTGCGCGGCTGTGGACGATGTCTTGGCTTCGATGGTTCAGACATTTCAAACCCGTTCATCTCGCAAGAACACGGTCTTCTGGGATTGGCTCGACCGGTCTTCCAACCCATTTCAGCAAGGAGCAAGAAGGCGGGACGGATAGCACAGGCTAGCGTCTTGCGTCCCGGCTGATCGACGGCATCACAAAAAACTGGTGGAACATGACAGCACGACACCAGTCCAATACTGCTAGCTTGGGATGAGTTGAGACATTACCATCACTACACCACCCCCCAAGCAAACATTATAGTAATGCCATGGCTAGGAATCGAGGACTCACAATTTGCTCTATCCATTTTCGTCAACGAAGACAAGCTTCCGAGAGATCTCGTGCTAGTACTTGGCTGCTTCCGCCTTTGCCCCTCCAACGACAAAAGCCATGATGAACGCTTCTGCATGACCCCGGACACCCATGGATACTCCACCCCTACCGTGCTCGGGCTCTGATGTTCCCACCCATACGGAGTCCATTGGCAGAGTGCATCGGTGATTACAGCGGCTCGCTCTGCTACCGTCTTACGTAGATGACTGTCACAATCATTAATTATTTGAACTAATGGCACTTCGCTCCGCAGCAATGGCCAGTCGGCCTTGCAGGCTATCAATAGTGCCACGCTGGCATTTCTAGTCGCTCTGGACAGTATCACTGACCTCGCGATGCCAAGGGTTACACATATGGTCTGCCGTCAGCTTCGTGGGCCAAGCTATTCAGCCGCGCTGCTCTGGCTGGCCAATTGGGTGTTACCTTGTTGCAGTATGTTAATGCTTTTCATGGGCATCCTAATGGGACCTATCTGGTGACGGTGGACGGCGAAGAAGTAGCAAGAGGCGCCAAACCCCGAATTCCGGCTGGTTATGTTGCGTTTAAACCATGTCCAGAGACTACTGCAACGCTGCTGTTGGCAGTGGATCAGTCTTGCTGGTTTGTTCACTTCTCTCTGCAACAAGGCTGGAAATAACCAATTAGCCGTGCTTCGGTATGCCACTCCACCATCCTGATTGGACACCGACGCCCAACGGGGGCTTTTCTCGTAGGTACCGAGTTATCCCCATAGTCGACCAAGTGCCTTTCGTGCCCTTTCCCGCTCGTATTTAAGAAGGCTTCATTGGACTCGCCATTTATGAGAGATGATAGCCCCTAGTCAATGCTCCTCGCGATGATCCCACGGCACTGCAGCAATTGTGCTCGTCGTGGAATTAGAAATACCTTCTGGATGACCCTGCCATTTCTTCGTCTATGTTTGAAAGGATGCCGATGTCATGATGTGCGCACCAATGAAAGCAGGTCACTGTCGACAGAGCCTTCATACCCTGCGGTGTCTTTGCTGGTAGACCACCTGTCGGCATTTACGCTTGTCGCAGCTTCTTGGTTGTGGGTGTCGTCTCCATGGTTTTGCAGCGACATTGGCTCAGTAGTCGGCTAGCCTTCTGACCCCGGCCGGGCCGCGGGTACTCTGAATACAGACATGCATCGGTCATCCTTACAAGTACCTCAGTAGGATCATCTATTGAGACTGGGAAATGGGGTCGATCCAGGTCAACGGTGCTGGATCCGTGGATTATCTCCATTTACCCCTGCTAGCAGTCTCAGAAGAGCTGACGACATTCCAGCATAACGCCTCATTCACCGGACTAGTATTGACGGATTTTGCATGACAGCGCAAGGCGACCGCGCCGATGTGAAGCAATTCTGCATTTGCCGCGACAAGACCGACCACCTTTCAATAACGACTCCGCTACCTCCAGTGGCACCGCGCCTGCAGCTACGTCGTGCTCCCTCTGGAGTCCAATGCACTTGACACCATCAACCGTGCCAACTGCATTTCGCACTGGCCAATCGAAGATTGAGGATAAGAACGTTGTTATGCGATGCATTGGCCGTTTTCCGTATCGTGGTCGTCCTATTAGATGCATCCATCTAAAGTAGGTCGTCCATCTAGGAAATAATACTTCTGTCAACCAATCCTGAACGTTAGGTTTTGCCCCAGATTCGCCAATCAAGACATGCACAAAATCGAGGGATCGACATGTCGGATTGGCTGTCTGTTGGCCTTCCCCAGAACCTAGTGAAAATGTATTTGCCTTTGGGGGGGTTTTCGCCATCCCACCGTTCAACTACGCCATACGCCCGAGGTTTTGAGACATGGTATCTCCATGTGTCTCACGGCGTGCCCCATGGCTTATGCCACAAAGACACATGTCAAGTTGGTTGCTTTCTGCTGTACGAGCTGTCACGTACCACATTCCACTGTACGACGAAGCGCGAAATACCAGTATGGACTTGACTGGGGTGTTGGCAGTTGGTTGCTGTGCTGGCCCCCCGCGTTTCAAATGCAAGCCCGGCCACATACCACCAGTACTCTAGCATCACCTGTATAGTGATAATAATGCCGTTATGTTTCTGGCGAGATTTCGTGTCAATTGCTGCCGACCCATGCTCGGGCTGGCCAATTCGATCCCCGAGAACAGAGGGATTCTTCTCACTCGGCGACGACAAACATGGCTCCCAATAGCCCCCAACCTATGACCACGGTCCCAGGCATGAACATAATCACTATTATTTCGATTCGTCACTTTTTGGCCGAGTCACCTAGAGATGGCCGGACCGATAGACGGCTAGCCACATTCGAGCTGTGGTAGCTTGTAGAAAAAGAAAACTAACACTGCTTCGATGCTGCAATAGCCCACCTTCAACTATCCGCTTCACCTGCCAGAAACGGACACGAGCGGACCCTCAAGTTGAAGAGAATATTCTCTAGCACCCCAACATTGATGAGCACGAGATGGCGATTGAGTTGACTCTCCTCCCCATTGTTGTGGCGGAATGATACGTCAATTGCCAGTTCGTTCCGTCTCATTCGTCGCCGATCAGCTTGCAGCGTGTCTGCAGCCACAGTGCCAACGTACCCGTCTGTACCACAGGATGGTGTTTCTTCGAAGCAGGTCCTGCCCTATCACACCCACCTGGTCAGGAAAATGGCGCCTCTCACCACAAACGAGCCGTATCCATACGAACAACTCACGCTGGTGGGGCCGCTCCCGCGCAAGTTTGCTGCAGTGGACTCACATCCAGGCTGGTGAAGTTGGGCAGTCCGACAGCCACCAAGCTGGTTGCCTAGCTGAAACGCACTCACAACCTCCCTTGCTCCGTCTGCCAACATCGATGTTCCAATGGCTCTCACCCTTGGAATGCGTCAATTCTCTGAGGCCGCCATTGGCTCGTATCTCACTAGGATGGGGTGTCGAAATGATCGACACACACACGGAGCGGTTCGCGATTAGCTCTCCCGCGGGCTGTCCGTTGATCGTTCACCCCGCGAGGGAGCACTCACGATGGATACTGCATGGGCGGTTTGGACGGTTTGCTACGCTGCCATGCACCGGCAGCTGTTCCTATTTGCGCGACCTGCAACGGAACTAGTGCCAGGGGCTATGCTGACCTTTTGTTCCGCAGCTGCGGCTGTCAGGTGAGAGATAGACCCTCAAACACGGTTCCACCAGAACGGCCTGATCGCCCACGACGGTACAATGAAGCTGTGTTTGTTACAGTCATGACGACCTCACATACATGCACACATGTATAAAAGCTAGGGAATATGTGCGACATGGACGGCCCGCTTTGTGCCACTGATCAGCGTTGCATTGGCTGGGACCGATCCCTGGTGACAAGGGTCTGCCACACCCGATGCCATAAGCAAACAAGGAAAGAGATCTCACCCACCCACGCATTGATCTGGGGTAACACGTGAAGTAGAGCGCTTGAAAAGTCTCCACGAGCTGCAACTGGTTTCTTCACTATAACAAATGGCGCCTGGGAATAGTGCATGTGTAATTACCTCATTTTTACACCGAGAGGGCCTGATGAAGACCTCTGCTCAGCCTGAATTTGCATGTGCAGTTTACACAGAGTAGTGGCAAAAAGGCGAGAGCAAGTATTTGCTAAATATAGTAGTGCATGCCAATGCGGTGTGGTGATTTGTCCCATGCTTCTTAATTTCAGGTTCAGTGCTATGTTCATGCTGTCCCCGTCTGATAAGGGGGCGAGAAGTCAGCCACCAGCGTTTCCAACGACCGTATAATCCCTTTGAACCCTAGAATTGACTCGCTCAACATTTTTCCATGACGCTGACATGTTCTCATGTCCGTAAGAGATGCGACTTGGATGCTGGGCCATGTCAATAACCTGGGATCCATCGAGCTCCTGTTTTTGCCACTAATGATTACAGCTCAAGATCTCTAATTCGTGGAAGACAGAACATGGGCTTTGTGTACGAACTACTAGATCGCCTTGGCTGGTCTGAGGGAGGGCCTGTCCTCTGAAAATGATGCTTCGTGTTGGGTCCCATGAGTTCATCCCGGTTTGGGGGGTACCAATGCACACCTACTTAGAGTGCAACCCTTTTAACTACATAATCAAGTTCACTGCAACACCGGTATATCAGCCGGAATGGTTTGAATCAACCGTGGCTCCTCTATGGTGCAGAGCCAATGGTGTATATCATATTGCATCGGTAGTCCTGCCCTTGCCTCTCGGACCCGCTCGCAATTGATGATATTCGGGGTCCGCTTGGACGGTCTACATTTTTTATTGTAGCTTGAGTTTTTTCGGTTTTACTGTTGATACTTTGACGGCTGTGTGTTTCATGTAATCATTGCTTAAGGTCATGTGACCCATGTCAGGAGTTGTCTTCTAACACGAAGCCAGACGAGTAGCCTTCTCCTTCTCTAGGAAACCCGAACTGTTGCAGCATACGTATTTACAGTACAATGATAGGAATCATTGAGAGCAGGGGATTTCCATCTCTAGTGCCGAGTTACATTACCTGCACTCTACGATTAACGTATGAATCAACAGCCCTGACTTTTGGTGGCTTTCGTCAATGCAACATGAGAATATACCATGATATTAATTTTGGGATGCGTAAACAGAGGGCTTGCTGATCATGTCTTTGCCTCCAAACAGATGACTAGTATTTCGCTACCTCGAAGGAGGCCATGGCTTACTTTAAGGCCTGGCTCATTTTTGAAAGATCAAACTTCGACTTCTGTTTTCTAGAACCCATGAGATTATGTCCATCAATTGAGATGGTCTGGAACAAACAGAGTTGACTATCAGGTTTTTGATCTTGAGGATTCTTTTGGTTAGGAGGTTTGGGCACCTCAGCCCGCAGGGATATGGTGAGGTCGATGCCGATGATTTGGTCTTATACGTTGAATAAAATGAAATCCTCTAGGTTCTCGGGCTGATCTTGACGTAGCGTAGACACTATTTTTACATTGAGCTTCAAATGTACCATTTTTTCGGTTGGTGACAGTAACCTGTCCTTCTCCCGAAAAAGGCATTATAATATCTGTCGGCATGTTAACGAGAATCCTATCTGAAAGACTTTCAGATGTTGATGCATATTACAATACGTAAAGAGAACAATCATTCCTAACTACAAAGAATGTTACTGGTGTGCATGCCATTGTTTTGAGTTTACTCCAGTGCTATTACCAAATGTTCACACGGTAGGTTATGAAGTAACTGAAACAATGTCAACATCACGACGCTCTTCTTATTCAATTTCCAATGTCTTCATCAAGCTCTGATCTGACTGCAGTAGTAAGTAGACAACATTGAACATAAACGGCTGTTAGCTCTTTGCTGCAAGATGCCTAAAGGAGTAGCCAGTATGTGATTACTAGGCAGTACTGCAGCAACATATCCCCTTGAATGCATTGCCTGATATTATGGCACATAAACCATTTCAATATTTCCCTCGCGTATTGGATTCCTTTGACAGGTTACCATGCCCTGATCAACAGCCGCACTTGGGTCCTAAAGGAGTTTGTCGGCAGGAAGATTTCTCAGTATGATATCCTAAGCTGTACCTGGGAGAGAGACGAAATTACTTTTTCGAAACTGGCAAGCGAATGAGCTTTTGCTGATAACTAAGTCGGAGTACCAAAGGTCAAAGGCGCCTGCGAGAAAGCTCTGAAGCATAGCATAGAGTGTTTATAAGTCGACAGGAAATGTATCGACAAGTCGAGCTCGGCCGAATTATCTAAGGCAATGTTTACCTGATACAAATGCGCACTCATCAACTACACCTATATGGCAGATTTGTTCACTTACAAACTCGACAATACTCCTTCGTGCGCTAAGTTCCCCAACAACAGATGGTTCAAACATAGGCTGACGCTCTAAAAGCCAAACACTGCGTTACTAACAATATGAAAACTCCGTTTTAGTAGTTTAGTAACTAGACGGAAAAAGGGTTCATTATTTTTAATCAATCTTACTCAGGCAAGTTATCCTAAAGACATTGAATTAATAACCTCTTGATATTATAGTACCTTAAACCCTAACTAGAAGTACGGTAGGTAACGTAGCTGTCATAGTGCTAGCGATAACATAGCTATAAGGTACTGTATGTTGTAGTTAGTAGGAATAATAAATGTTAGTGATGTATCGGTATTGAAGACCTTTAAGTCTAAAATACTACGCCGTCACTCGATTTGGAGAGAGTAGGGCTACGAATGACAATACCGCCGAAGGCTACTACTATTATAGAGAAGCATAGAATAATCGAGGAAAACCTGTATTAATGTATATAGGCGGTTAAGCAACAAAACTCGGCTATATAGTTAGTTATTTAATAGATCTAAATAAGTTCCCCTACAGAGTTTGTCTTGCCCTGCGCTCCTGGTCCCTAAGCTTCATTAACATCCCCTCTGGCGGTTTCTCATAAAACAGGTAGTTCCTGCCAAATGGAGCGTCTAGCATTAAACCCTGCAGAGTCTTGACACGCGAGACGGCAACGTAGCTCAGGCCAGTCTGGAAGTCCCGGTTAGAGAGGTCTGTAACGATCCGGTCCTCTGTAATACTCTGTGACTTGTGGACGGTAATAGCGTAGCAAACCACCAGCGGAAACTGGGTGCGCGTGCAGTTCTTCGCACCGACGAGGAAATCCCTCTGCACAGGCAAGATCGGCACGATCTTTCCACCTTCGGGCGTGGTGAGAAAAGGCGGGCCAGAGTATTTGTCGAACTCGATAAGGATTACGCAGGGCTGATCTCGAGCCGGGTCGGCTTCAGCGGCCCAGCCGATATCATACACAGTGCCCCTAGCGCCGTTACAGAGGCCAACCGCCTGCCAGAGGTTATAGGTAAGCATCAACCGCGCGCCAATACATACGGGGAACTGCTTCGCAAGGTTGCCGGCCTTATCGTCCGCGGTGGTAGCGGCGCCGGGGCCGACGCTCTTGGCCACAACCTGGACAATTGGACTGTACAGACGCGACATATGGTAGTAATTGTACTCGCAATCTCAACCGTTCCGGCGAGCTGCCTGGGCGCCTGTTACGGCGACTAGTCGGTCGGCCCTGTGAGTTCCTTGGCCTGCCGTATGTGCCGGGTTGAGGACCACAACGGCCCTGAGAGGAAGGCAGCCGCGATAGGGCACTGTCCTCATAGTCTGCGTCTTCGTTGTTATCCTCGTTCCCAAGTTGACGGAGTATCCTTTGGGGACGGATTGGCGATAACACGAGATTGAAATAGTCCTCCACGTCGAGGTCAGGGTCAGAGAAGTCTCCCTAATTATCACTGGCCGGGTCCTCGTCGTCGCTAACTATTATCTGGTCGTCATCAACCAATATTTGGTCCCGGACAGGAACTTGGCGAGAAGTATTCGATCTCGACATGCCAGCGGGTTGGAGTATTTCCTGGAGCTGGGATGTAGTAGGAGTCTGGGACACGTCTTCACCGGCACGTCGTCGGGCTCGGTGCTCTCGGCGGACGACGGTTTGCTGGGCTCTTGCCTGGGCCTTCGTAGGGGTTTCTGGTAGCTTCTTTCTTTTTTTGGGTCTCTCAGGCCTACCCGTAGAAAAAGGACCTTGTGGTAGCGCTGGTGCCTGATCAGGCGGTAAGGACTGCCCCAGGTTTGGAAGAGGCGTACCCAGCTCTAGCCGCACTTGCTCAGGTGTTAAGGAGGTGAAGCCATGCGAAGACTGCGCACGGAAGGACTGACCTTAGCTTATTATAGGCGTACCCAGCACTAGCTGTAGAGACTGATCACGAGAAGACTGCTTCTCGAATTGGCCTAGAACGGGCGTACCTAGGTCTACTCTCGGGAAAGAAACCGGCGCGGGAAACAGCTGTCTGGCAGTGCGCTTCCGCAGCTCTGTAGGCGACTGAGGTCCAGACACTAGTCTGCTGGGTGGGGATAGGTTAGCATTATTATCTGATCGCTTTAAGGCTGGTTTGCTCGGTGAGGGACGAATTGAAAGAACGTTCCGCAGCGACTGAATAGCGCCTTGGGCACGATAATGCTTAGGGAGGTTAGATTTGGCCATAATAAGTAAAGGGTGATAAAAACTCTACCTGCGTATCTCGCTGCCCTCGACAGCCTTGACAGTTGCGCGTTAGTGGTCCCGAAGGCTTCCTCCTGTTTACGAAGTCGCTCGCTGGTTTCTCTATACCACAGCGCCCGCAGACGATAGTAGATGCAGTTCCAGGCTGCTCCTAGCAACCTGAATCAGGCTCCATTACTATGTTACGTTATCCCTCGTCGAGGCTGGGAAATTTGAGGGCGATCGTGCAATATTTGATCGCTTTGTTTTTGGAGTTTTTGGAGGGAGAGAGCTTCCAGCTGGCTGCCAGCCTGCCAGCTGAGCCGTTCCACTTATTTAGAGCCGTCATCCAGTTGCGGATCGATTTTCGGCCGGTAATACAAATTCTGGACCAATCAGAGCACAAGAAACTTGTTTTAAGCTTTGACACAGATCGTACTCTACACCAAAACTTTTTAGGTAACAAAGAAGTGACGTAAAGTAGCCTTCGGCTGATTAGCCGACGGGCTTACTCGTCCCTCTGACAGTACCATAGCATAATAATACTATATAGTAGATATTGAAACGGGGTCAGGCGGTCAGTAGGATATACCTACCACCTAACACACTGAACAGACGGCTCCAGTACCAACAGATCCCATCTGTTGGTATTATCGGACGAAGATCGTGGTACTGGTTATAAGAGTGAAGCTCTTACACGTCTGGTGCGCGAGTTGGTCGGATGTGCCTCTGAGACTCGTATGGTGATAATAGGATCTCGAACGTAAAGATAAGCTGAATAACTAAAATAACTAAATAACTGACTGAAAAGCGAAGGTGAAGATATAGATAAGAAGGAGATGATGATATGAAGATGAGGATGATGATGCGTGAAAATGGAGGACTCGTGTCCTATTCTGCCTCTGTGCCTCTTAAAGAAGAGAAAATAAACTTTCTCCTAGCCCCGTGATCTATTTCTCTGATGTCCGGCCTTACCCCGTTACAATAAGAGCTTCGCTCTTATAACCAGTACCACGATCTTCGTCTGCTCAGACCAACAGATGGGATCTGTTGGTACTGAAGCCGTCTGTTCAGTGTGTTAGGTGGTAGGTATATCCTACTGACCGCCTGACCCCGTTTCATTACACGTCTTGTGCGTGAGTTGGTCGGGTGTGCCTTGGAAATGGCACTGGATTGGCCTGATCAGGGCAAGATGACAGCTCCTGTGATTGTCAAGGCTAAGATAAGGGCAGAATAATAGGATCTCGAACGTAAAGATAAACTGAATAACTAACTAACTGAAAGGCGAAGGTGAAGATAACAGGTCGTAAAGATAAAGAAGATGAAGGAGATGAAGATGAGGATGATCTAGAGTCCTACTCTGCCTCTGTGCTTCTTAAAAGAAGAGAAAATAAACTTCCTCCCCGCTCCGTAACCTATTTCCCTGATGTCCGGCCTAGCCCCACTACAGTATATATTTAGTAAGCTTATGAGAAGAGTAAAAGCGCGAAATGCAGAAAATAAGTAAATTATCACGGCGAGCATCGCTACGGCTGTGTCAGGGTCCGGCTAGGCCGAAGGTAATAGTACAGAGTGAAGGGGAGTAATACACCAGGTGGTCTCAGGTAGGGGTGTCCAATATAGTGCATTGATCTCTAACCATCTTCCTATCCCCCTCCAAGATGCCTCCCTTACATAGATAACCAGAGCCCGTATTCGGAGTAGTAGAGCCCGTGTATCGGAGCAGCAGATCGCTAGTTCCTCCGGTTCCTCAGTATACCAAGACTTCCATAGTAGGTCATGACTCGCATGTCCTTACACCGGTGCCTTGCACTCGGTACTCTGACACTAACAGTGGGACTTCCTTCTAGAACAAACCCTTACAGACACTTTAGTATCCTACGCAGCTAGACTAGTGGAGGTTTCGCTACTAAGGTCATATTCTTTTCTTTATATTTACTAAGGCTTAGTCGATTACACGTACCTACTAAGGCACTTTTACTAATCTGATTAGTACGATAAGGCTTTCGATTTATTGACTTAGTGACAAGGGTTTTGGGTCTGGCTTTTCGGTTTTCGGATGATTTAACGTCCCACACCCACATCCGGGACACACCCACATGTGGGACACCCAAAAATGCCTCATCAACACCACTAGCCTCTAACTTCAACCTCTTTTTTCTTTACCAATATCGATTCAATCGTACGAAATTTTACGTACGTCTTCTTTACACTAATATGAGTCAATATACCGAAGATGATATTTATCGAGCTCTTCAAGCAATAGCTACCGCTCAAAGCCTCCGAAAAGCAGCATATGAGCATGGTATGCCAAGGTCTACTCTTTCACGACGGATTCAGGGAGCCCAGTCAAGAGATATAGCCTTCGCTGACTACCAGAGGCTCTCTCCAGCCCAGGAATCTCATCTGGCTGAATGGGTTCGAATCCAGGCTGCCCTAGGCCTCCCACCAACCCATCAACAGCTCAAAGACTTCGCCGAGTGTATCCTACAGATCCACGGAGACACCGAACCACTTGGAAAGAACTGGATCCAGGCTTTTATCAAGAGGAACCCTTCAGTCAAGGTCCAGAGAAGCAGAGCTATCGATTCCCAGCGTATTAATGGAGCCTGAGCTAATGTGATCAGGCAATGGTTCAAATACCTCGCTATCCCTGAGATCAAAGCTATTAAGGCCTCGAATCGATACAATATGGATGAGACAGGTATTCTAGAAGGTAGAGGATCAAATTGTCTTGTTCTAGGATCATCTGAGACTCGTTCTATTGACGACGGGCAGTGAAACCACCCGCAGGTTCAAGGTGTTATGATGATGGCAACGGACAACAAGATCCTCAACAAGACCTTACTATCCGGGAGGTGGAAATAATTAACAAGATCAAGAGCTCCTTGCCCTGATCGGAACGACAAGTACCTCAACAGGTACTAACAACTGGAGCCTCAGCAGGCTGGGGAAGAAAAGGAACCTCAACAGGCCCTTGAACAATCACCTCAACAGGCGAAAGATGGGAACAATGGTCTCAACAGGCACAATCAGATCTATAGGGGCAACAAAAGTACCTCAACAGGTACGTCAGACATTGAATGCCTGTCCAAGTAAAGAGAAATTGGTTCAGATTACTGTGGAAAAGGCCGCTTGAATTCCTATCTTTTTCTCAAGAGAGTGACTATGTACATAAGGTCTTAAATACCCTTCAAGAACGCACTTACATAACTCGTCTGAAACCGGAAAAAAAACGAAAACGAGCACCCAAAAACCCTAACCCCACGTCACTATACGGAAGAAACAGCCTGGATCTCGAGCTTGGACATCTCTTATAGAGTGTATCTCTGCGACTGGTACTGCACTACCCCCACTTGTGATATACAAGGGGAAGCCTGTCCAGCAGCAGTGGTTTCCTCTGGACTTGACTCCATACGAAGCCTGGAGGTTTACAGCAACAGAGAATGGGTGGACGTCAGACTCTACGGCTATTGAGTGGCTACAAAAGATCTTTATTCCTTTGACTCAACCAGAGGACCCTGAAGAGACTAGGTTACTTATCCTAGATGGACATAGTAGCCACGAAACGACAGAGTTTATGTACCTCTGCTTCATAAACAAGATACAGTTGCTTTTCTTGCCGCCACACACATCCCACGTTCTCCAGCCTCTCGATCAGTCAGTCTTTGGACCCCTCAAGGCAGCCTATAAGAAGGAGCTTGGTTACCTTGACCGATGGGATACTACTACTGTCGTAGGGAAGAGAAACTTTCTCCTCTGCTATAGAAAGGCACGTCTAGCAGCATTGACGGCTAAGAACATTATCAGTGGATGGAAACATACTGATCTCTGGCCTTCGAGCATAGCTAGACCCCTTATGAGCCCCCTGCTCCTTGAGAATACGTCAGCACCAATCAGACAGCCTAGTCAGACTTGCAAAGGGTACTCTGATAGTAAGGGTAGTCAGGACTGGGCGTTAGAGACATCAGAAGTAGCCTGGTCAACGCCTAAGAGGAGAGATGAGCTCCAAGATCAACTCAGCTTATTCAGCAAGCTTGATAGTGATCCAAATACCCAGCGGCTACTCTTTCGGAAAGTTCAAAAGGGCTTTGATGAGAAGGACTACCAATTAGCTGTCGCACAGCGAAAGATTGAGGCAATAGAGGCAGAGCTTGAGGCTAGTAGGGCTAGGAAGCGGAGGAAGGTCAAGATGAGCCTAAATTCGAAGTTTACTAATATCAAGGCTATTCGGAAGGCTCAAATAGAGGCTGGTGAAATTGAGGATAGTACAGATGAGTCTAGCGAGTCTGAAAACCCTAGTGACGGTGAAAGCTGTATTGTAGTCGCATTAGAATAAGTGTAAAAAAAGGTTGAAGTTAATGGTTATAATATACAGTGTCATTTTTAGGGCGTCCCAACATGTGGGTGTCCCGGATGTAGGTGTGGGACGTTACACCCTCTATTTCTAATATCAAACTTCCGGTCGTAGCCACTTATAGCTGACCTGTTTCACCATATATAAGGCGATTCTCCTATCCAATTCAATTTCATCCTTCGCTTCCAATTAAGCACCACAGTTTATTCTCACGGGAACCGCATCACAAACCCTTCACGGACACACACCACCGCGCCAAGATGGCAAACATGAAAGCCCTCATCAGCGCCGAAGGCAAGACCGCCTCCGTAAAATCCATCCCCATTCCCACGCCTGCCGAAGGCGAAATCCTTGTCAAAGTGCACTATGTCGCTCAGAACCCTGCCGACTGGAAAGTCATGGCCCAAGTCCCCCCCGGCCGCATCATTGGCTGTGACTTCGCTGGCACTGTATCCCATCCCAACGGCTCTTCATGGCGCGAGAACCAACGTGTCGCTGGGTTCGTCCAGGGCACCGCCGTGAACCCCACTCGTGGTGCTTTCGCCGAGTATGTCGTCGTGGAATCGAGTCTAGTCTATGCCATCCCCGACAAATTGAGCTATCAGGACGCCGCTGTGGTCCCGCTCGCTTTCGCCACGGCAATCCAGGCTCTGTTCCAGCGCCTTAAGCTGCCCGAGCCGTCTAAGCCCGCGAAATCGGCGTTTCCGGTGCTCGTCAACGGGGGTACTTCGTCTGTGGGGAAGTATGCAGTCCAGCTAGCCAAGCATGCGGGTTTGTTCGTCGTGGCTACGGGCTCAAAGCGCAACCATGAACTGCTCGCGTCATATGGCGCGGATGTGGTTGTGGACTATAACGACACCGACTGGATCGAGCAGATCCGC